GGCGCTTCCTGCCCAGGGGCAGAGCGGGTGCGCGTGCACGGGTGTGCTCCAGTGTGTGTGCGTGTGTGTACCTGTGCGAGTATACGTGTGTGCGCGTGAATGTGTGTGCGCGTGTGCATGCGTGTGTGCTCGCGCCATCGGAGTGAACTGGAGCCTGCAGCTGGCTGGATCCCCAGGTGCTCACCAGCGGCGCCCCCCACCCTGGCCCGCGGGGTGGGGGGCGTACGTCCCCAGCGGGGTGACGGCTTCTCAGGAGCCCCACTGCAGCCTCCGAGGGGCAGAGGCGGCAGGAGGTTCCCACACTCCCTGCCAGGCTGGCACCCCGCCCTGCCCGGCCCTCGCCTGTGGGGCCAGGCACGGAATGCGGCTGTGGATTCCGTCCCCCGGGCCCGGATTCCTGTGTCAGTGGGCGAGGGCGGAGGATGCTTTCCGCCCTTTGATCTGCAGCTCCCGGCCCGGCCTCGCCACCACCAGCTCCTTGCGGGGTCCCCACTGCTGGGGCTTCACCTGCGAGCAGCCCCCAGCCCCTCCCTGCCGGCCGGCTCCCCGCCACCAGCGCCCAGTCACCGCAGACCCAGCGGGAGGCCAGGAGCCTGGGGTGGTCGGGGAGCTGCACCCAGTGCCGGGAGGGCCCTGGTGTCCTGGGCCTCGCCACGGGGCGCAGACCTGCCCAGGACCCCCCCAGCCCACTGACAGCTGCCCCTCACTCGGGGCCCTGGTGGGCACCTTCAGTGCCTGAGCACCCCGGACCCCAGCACAGGGGCTCACCCTCTGAGCCTGGGTTGGGGGACAGTCCCAAGGACCCCAAGTGAGAGGGGTCCCAAGGGCGCTTCTAGGAGACGGGATGACCAGGGGACCCCGCTCTGGGTTCCTCCTGTGCAGAGGCAGGCGGGCTGAGGCCTGGGGTGCACCTGGCAGCTGGTGGCCCCCAGCCTCCCAGCCTCCCCCACCCGCCTCTGGAGACCCTTGGCTGCGGCCACCAAGGATCCCCCGCCAGCCAGCCAGCCAGTCCTCACCCCCAGGTGACCTGCCAGTGGCCGGGGGCCCTTCCCCAGGGGTCCCCTCTCTCCCAGGACGCAGGAGGGAGGGACTGAGGCCCTGGGGTGGGCCGGCCGTGCGAGAGGCGGAGCTGCATTCCAGCCGCAGCGGCCTCCAGGTGGAAGGACAGGCGGGCCACAGCCTCCCGGCCCCAGTGCCCTGCCCACTGGCCTGGGACTCCTGGGCCTGCAGGTGGCCACGTGGGGTGCGGGACGGGGAACCCCTGCCGCCGGCAGGATGGGGGCCAGGCGCCCGGCGTGAGAAGTCCCAGCGTGTGGCGGCCACCGCCCTGCCCGGAGAGCGGCGCGGGGGACGGGCTCTGGCCAGGCTGTGCAGGGGGCCCAGGTGTGACTGTGGCCCCGGGCCCAGCGGAGCTGCAGAGCGGTCGGGAGCCCTGGGCGGGCCAGAGCAGGAGAGTGGCTTGGTCACCTGGACAGGCCACCGTGGGGCGAGGACCGCCCACCCCAGCTCAGGGCGTGCTGCCTGGTGACCCCGGGCCTGGCCACTGGGCACTTCCAGGTCTCTGCCCGGCGGTGGTCGCCCTGAGGACGCCAGGGCCCGTCTGCTGGGGAGCGGTGGAGGGGCTCCTGGCCGCTGCCGGCCCCCTACCACACACGCCGCGCCCGCCGGAGCCGCCCGCGCCGCACCCACAGGCCTGCCGCAGCACGCCCGCATTCCTGGCCCGGCGCTGGGGAGCCCGGGCAGGCCTGGCCAGCCGCTGGGTCCCGGCCCCGGGGCCTGCTCTCTGCAGCACCTGGTGGGGCCGGGGGCACCTGGAGCAGGCCAGGCCCGCACAGGGATGGGGCGCGGGGGCCAGGGCCGGAGCCTGCCGCGGGCAGCTGGGGTCAGCGGCGGGGTCAGCGGGCACAAGGGGGCCACCCCACCCCCCACCGCTGCAAACCCCGCCTCCGGGCTGGGCGGTGCCGGGCGGGACAGCCTCGCCAGCCTCGCCAGCCTCGCCGGCCGCGTGCAAGGCCTGTGAGGACAGGCCAGGGCTCCCCCACAGCTGCGCGGGGTCCGGGGTCAGCTCCTGAAGAGTCTGTCGTTTTTCTTCATGTGGAAGCGCGCGTTTCCTGCCCAGTCCCTCCAGCCCTCGGGCAGGACCAGGCTGGGCCTCCCGCTGGGCGTCAGCGCCTGGCCCCCTACCCCCCCCCCCCCCCCCCGCACTCCCAGTTCTGGGGACCCGCCCTGTGCCTGGGGAGGGGCTGCCGCGGTCTGCATGGAGAGGGGCCGCGGCGGGGTGAGGGGGCCCCGCTCTCCTCTCACCCGCTGGGGGGTTCGGGAGCCTTTCCTCCCCAGGTGAGGGGAGGATGATTGACCCCGCTTTCACTTCAGCAGGCCCGGCCCTTGCCCTCCCGAGGGATTCCCTTCAAGGACGAGGGTCCCTGTCGGGAGCGGGCGTTTTCGAGCGCCGCGGGGAAGGGTCTGCACGCAGCCGCGCTGCTGTGGTGGCCGCGGGGGTCGCCCGGGCGGCGGCGGGCCGTGAGGGGCGGCGGAGGGGCGCGGGGGGCGCGGGCGGGGCGCAGGAGGGGGTGTCCTGGGCGTCGCGGGGCAGCCCGGCGTCTCGCGGGCCGGGGTCCGCTCGCCTCTGCCCAGGACTCCCCTGGCTCCGGCGCTGCAGGTCCAAGGACGCCGCGGGCCCCCTCTGGGAGCTGCTGCACTTCCTTCCACTCTTTCTAGAGCCTCCAGAATCGGAGCGGCCGGTGGCAGGCCCCCGCTGAGCTCTTCGCCTCAGAGGTGGAGGCGGCGCCTTGCTGCTGGCTGGGGCCCGGCCCGTGGGCCGCCCAGGGGCACCTCCCTGGGCACCTCCCTCGTGCTTCACCCGGCCCCTCCGCTGGGGACTGGCCCCTCCTCCCCTTCCAGCTCCCCGCTGGCCACCCTCCCCGGTCCGGGCCGCCCCAGGCTCACAGCGTCCGCGCGGGCCGCGTCTCCCTGTCCCTGTGCTCGGGCGGCTGCCCCCTGGTCGCCCGGCAGCCTCCTCCGGCCCCCCGGCTGGGGTCTGCTTTCCTCCCGAGCCGGGCCGTCTCCCCTGCACCCACGTTTATTTTCCTGAGCATTGCAGGAGCCCGTCTTGGGGTGTCGTCATCGGTTTCCAATTGGCTGAAGTGCCTCCCGCAGCTCGTCTGGTGTGGCCTTGGCTGGAGGGTGGGCACCGCGGCCCCTCGCTCAGCTGCCCGCGGTGGGGGCGCCTGGGCTGCAGGGTGGGGGCTGCTTGGCGGGGTGCCCCCGGGGTGCTGCCTGCACTGGTGCTGAAAGCCGCCCGGTCTTCCTGGCAGTCCAGGGGCCCCAGGTCTGTGGGAGTGGTGGGCACCACAGCCCCCCAGGCCTGGCTGTGGCCACCAGGAAGGACGCAGGGGCAGGGGTGTGGGCGAGGACTCGCTGTCCGTCCCGGCACCGCTGTACGTCCAGACTCGGGGGCGGGGGGTTCTGATCAGAGAGCAATGCTGGCCGTGAGCAGCCATGAGTATCCCTGCAGGACCCGCCACCCCACCCTGCCCCAGGAGCTGACCCCCCTGCACACACCACCCCAAGCCCCTGGGGTTCACAGCCCCAACCTCTAGAGCCTCGGGCCGTCCCCTGCAGCAAGAAACCACAGCGCCCGCCTGCAGGGGCTCTGGGCCCTGCTGTCCTGAGCCGGGTCTCACCATGCAGCTAGTGCTCCTGCCCACTCGGCACCAGGGTGAAAATACCACAACTGAGCCCAGGAGGCCCTGAGCCCTGTCCCCGCCAAACCGCCAGACCCTCTGTGGCCCTCTGCCCCAGGAGTGCCCGCCGCCCCGGCCTCTTGGCATCCAGGGCACCTGGGGCAGCTCCTGCCTGCTGCCCAACAGGGCCACCTCCTCTCTCATTCCCCAGGCCCCCAGCTCCGGGCCACAAGCCTGACGGGGCGGATCCTGTCCCCAGGCCTCAGTTTCCCCTCTGAGAGTGTCTCCAAGCCCCTGTCCTGCCAGCCGACTCCGGCCTCCCTGGGCCCAGGTCTGTGAGGACGGCCGGCGGTCACCCCACACCAACGCCAGCCCCGCAGGCCCGGCCCGCAGGGGATAAGGCCGGGCCCCCGAGACCTGCACCTCCTCCTGCTCCCCAGAGCCCGGTTTCTTCGGAGACTTGGCAGACACAACTGTCGCCAGGCAGAGGCGGTGGCGCGGTCCCGGGGGCCGGCCCTGAGGAAGCAGCGGGCAGGCTCAGGCTCCGGGAGCTGCTCGGGCTTGTGACACCCGAGCGGGCGGCCGCCAGGTCACTGGGTCAGCCCTGTGGGGCTGCCCCGCCACGGCAGGCGCGGCATGGTCTGACCCCCACCCTCAGAGCGTGCCGGATGCGGGTGCAGTGATGGCCACCGTGAGTAGGCCAGCCTCCCGCAGGACACCAGCTCCCGGCCTCGGGGCGGGCACGGCTGCATGGGCCGCAGCACCCTGGCCGAGGACCCCAGGCCCCTCCTCAAGGCCTCCCTGGTGCCGCCTCCACGCTGCTCCCCGCACGGCCCCCCGGGCCCAGCCCCAGCACGGCCTGCAGCCCCCACGGCCTCGTCTGCCCTGTCCGCGCCATGCTCCCCTCCCCAGGGCCTTCCCGGTGGCTCTGGGGCCCCCGGCAGACCCCACCGCACAGTGACCGCGCCCCACCCCCGGCCCGGGGGGACCACACGAGCACCCCGCGCGCTCGCCCCCCACCCCGCGCTCACTGTGTGGGCGGCGACCCCAACCAAGAACAGAGCCAAAGAACAGGTCGGCCGCGGGGCTCGAGTTCCCAAGGCAGATGCACAGGGTGGTCCGTTTAATACACATGTACAGAAATGCACTTGCACGGCGGGCGGGCGCGGGGCTGGGGAAGGCACTTGTCGGGCTCCGCCCCCGCCCCGGGACAGGGCAGCCGGGCACTTCTGGGAGCGCCTGCGGCCGGGCGGCCACCTCCCTGCACCGCCGCGCCCTGGCCCGGAGCCCCGGCCCGGAGCCCGAGGACCCCGCGGGGCAGGAAGGTTCTGTAAACAGCGCGCGGCTCCGGGACGGACGCCGGACAAGCGGGAGGTGGCCCCTGCCCGCCGGGCCAGGGCACGGTACAAAAATAGCAACTGTCCGAGAACAGCCCCGTGCTCCGCCTGACAGTCGTCAAATAATTTATACAAGGTTAAAGAAACGTAGAAAATAAACATTTGTTTTTTGTTTTTGGTGTTTTTTTACACAAAATAAAGGAACTATGCACACGGCCTCGGCCTCACTCCTTGCCGGCGCGGCTCACGCTCCTGACCGCCCGGTTGTCCACTTTGGGGCCCGCGGCCCAGCACGCCGGCCTCCTGGGCGAGCCGCCGGGGTCTTTGGTGAATTTGTGCGCGAGGAACTCCTCCTCCTCCGCCTCCGCCTCCAGGGAGGCCTCCCCAGGGCCCAGCTCCTCGTCCTCCGCGTCCTCCCCTCGCCCGCGGCCCGCAGGTCCGGGCAGCGCCTCCCCGGCCCGGCGCAGCGGCGGCGTGAAGTTCTTGCAGGGGTAGAGCAGGTCCTTGTGCGCGCCGCCCGGCCGCTCGATGGGGTTGCGGATGGGGTTGAGCGGCGCCCACTGGTTGTTGGCGCCGTCCTCCCGCGGCAGCCGGCTCCGCTCCCGCGCTTTCCTGCGCTTGCGCGTCCACCACACGCACACGGCCACGCAGGCCAGGCACAGCACGCCCAGCACGCTGCACGCCACGGGCACCAGCAGACCTGTGGGGCGCGCCGTCAGCCGACGGGGGCCGCGCGGCCAGGGATGCCCGCCCGGGGCAGGCAGACCCACTCACCTCCGGAGGAGCCGCCCACGACGACCGTCTCCACCTTGACCTCGGTGACGGCCAGCAGCAAGGAGCCGTTCCCACGCTGCGTGATGGCGGCCACGATGGCGTGGGCCGCGCCCTGGATCAGGCTGCTGTCCGGCAGGTCCCGCGCGGGGCTGAAGGACTGTGCAAAGGAGGGGCTGCCAGACGCCCCAGCGGCGGGCCAGAGGGTGCACAGGCAAGGCGCCCCCCAGCAAGATCTTGGGAGAAGGGCCACGGGCTCTGGAGCGCAGGGTTTCCAGGGTGCGTGGGGACTTGCGGGAAGAGACCCCTGGGCCTGCAGGGGGTGCTGCAGCCCTCCCTGCCCTCCGGCTCTCAGCGCAGGCCCAGGGGCTGTGCCCAAGGCCCCAGGCACACTGAGCCCAGACCAGGCCGAACGCCCAGGCCTTTAACCTGCCCCCACTTCCGCTCCCCCCGCTGGCCCGCAGCAGGCCCCTGAGGAGCTCCCGTCCACCCTTCTCCTTTCTCTGCGCCCACAAGAGTGTCCCCGCAGCCTGCCAGCACTAGTGTCCCCAGCCCCCTGACCATAGGAGAGCATGGAAGAGGGGGCCCATCATGGCCCGGCCCCCTGCGCCCCCGGAGCCTGCAGTGGTGGGCCCACCCAGTACTCACCATGGCCACCTCCACGGCGCTGGCCCCAGAGGCCGGCCGGTCACAGAGCAGCACCAGCAGGCGGTCCCGGGCCACGGCCCTTGTGGCCGGCAGGGCACGGATGCCTGAGCAGATGGCGCCCACAGTGGTGCCCTGGGCAGGGCAGCAGCAGGTGAGCGGCCACCCAGCCCCGAGGGCACAGCTGGCCCCACCTGCCCGCACTCCACCTGGGAGACGGACTTGCCAAGGCCCAGTGGGGCTGGCTGACCCGCTGCCTCCTCGGGCAGAAGCCGCCCTGCACATCCAGGGACACAGGGCCCCACCCAGCTAGAGCCCTCCTGGGCCCAGTGGACAAGTGAGATCTGCCCACGGAGTGGCCTGCCCCACAGGGATGGGGGTGGGGGTGGGGCCACCCTCCATCCAGGACACACACAGGACCAGCGATCAGGGCGCCTCCTACCTGACCCCACGGCCCCTGGGCCGCCTGCACTCACCTGCGGCACCTGCTCATGGTTGAAGCGCAAGGTGAGGCGCGCACAGTTGTTGTCCAAGTGGCCAGAGCGTGGCCGGCAGGGGGTGCTGGGCAGTGGGGGCTCCTGGGTGCCACACTCCCCCCAGGCGGCGCAGGGCGGCTGCAGGCACTGGCCCGAGGCCTTCTCCAGGCACCGCTGCCCCGGTGGGCACTGGGCACTCACGGCGGAGGACCGGCCGGTCAGCAGGCACGGTTTCCGCCCACACCACACCTGAAGGACACATGTGTGTACAGAGAGAGAAGGGGTCAGCCCCAGTGGCCCTGCCCTGCCTGCCACCCAGGGCTGCAGCTAAACTCAGCACCAGAGAGGCCTCCCCACCAGGACGGGTCAGACCCAGCCTCAGTGTCCCCAGTGCACAGGTGGGTGGGCCCGGCGGTGCCTGAGGCTCCTCTTCCCAGGTGCTCCCTCCCACTCCGCCCCACTCCTGCTGTCCCGATGGGGTCCTGACAGAGGGGGCGGCCCAGGCCTGGGCGGGCAGCGGGAGCACCTTGCTGCAGTCCCGGTGGCCGTCCAGGCAGCGGCAGCTGTTGCAGTCCTCCACCCAGGCACTCCCGTGCGGGACGGGCACGCCCCGCGACCAGCAGGGCCGCCCCAACACCAGCACTGCGGGCAGAGGCAGGGTCAGCGCGGGCAGGGTGCACCCCGAAGCCAGGCCTTGCCTGGTCCCACCTGGCACGGCCCGCCCGGTGCCCCCGCCTACCATCCTGGCACCGTGGGCCGGTCCGGCCTGGCGGGCAGCTACAGCGGTACCCGTTGATCTCATCCACACAGGTGGCTCCGTAGGCACAGGGGGAGGACTGGCACTCATCGATGTCTGTGGGGACAGCGGCGGCTCAGTGGGGCCGCAGGTGGGGCTGGGCAGGAGCAAGTCCCCTGTGAGGACAGGAGCCACCCGGGCAGCTCGGCCAGCAACGTGCCCAGCAGCTGCCGCAGCTGGCCTGGCACCACGGTAGCCCGGGGCTGTGCGGAGGACCAGCACCGCCACGGCCTGGGGGACACGGGAGAGGGAGGAGCAGGAGCTGGGACCAGACGCCCCCCGCCCCGCCCGGCCCGCCTCACTTATGCGGCAGTCAGGGCCCGCGAAGCCGGCCGCACACTCGCAGCGGAACCAGTTGACGCCATCCACACAGACGCCGCCGTTGTAGCTGCGGGGAGAGGGGGGTCAGGGGCTGGGCAGGGTGCGTGGGCCCACTCGGCCGCACCTCAGGGTCACTCACCAGGGCAGGGGGTTGCAGTCGTTGGTGTCTGCGTGGGAGGAAAGATGCGTCAGCACAGGGCCCACGCCCAGCACCCAGCCCGGTCTGGGGTATCCCCACACTCGTAGCAGCAGGCGGCCGTGCCAGGCGGGACTGGGGTGGCCTGGGCACCGTCCAGAGGGGATACCCAAGCGTGCTGCTGCGGGCGTCCACTCGGCAGGCAGAAGGACAGGGAGGGTGGAGGCTGCGCTGCCCGCGGGGTCAGAGGACAGCACTGTTTCGGGCACCACGGGATTTGTGCGAACAGGTGCTGGGCAGAGCCTGGGGCTGGGGGCCGGGGGCCGGGGCCCCACCACACTGCCTGCCCGCCCACCCGCCCGCCCGCCACAGCCGCTCACTGTGTGTGCAGGTGCGGCCCTCCCAGCCGTCGCGGCAGATGCAGGAGAAGGAGTCGCCGCTGCCCACGCAGGTGCCCCCGTTCACACACGGGTTGGGCAGACAGCTGCTGTTCTTGGCTGCAAGGGGGACGAGCCGCCTTTTCACCCAGCCTGGCCAGCCAGGGTGCCCAGGCCACCTGCCGCCGGCCCTGGGCACGAGCCCCTCACCGATCGTACAGGTGCTGCCCTTCCAGCCGGGGGGGCAGGCGCAGCGGAAAGAGTCCCCGCTGTCGTAGCAGGTGCCGCCGTTGCTGCAGGTGTAGGCGTCGCACTGGAACTCGCCTGCAGGGAGGCGGGCGCTCAGCAGAGGGGTCCCGGCCCCGCCCCCGCGGCCCCGGCCCCGCCCCTCCCCGGCCCCGCCCCACGAGCCCCACCCTCAGAGGCCCCGCCCCCGGCGCAGCCCCGCCCAGGCCCTGCCCCTCACGCAGCCCGGGCCCGCCCCCACGCGGCCCCGCCCCGCCGGCCCCAGGCCCCGCCCCCGCCGGCCCCAGGCCCCGCCCCCGCCCCGCCCCCGCCCGCGCCCGCGCTCACGCGAGTGGCAGGTCTTGCCCTTCCAGCCGTCGTCGCAGGCGCAGTAGAAGTCGTTGACCAGGTCGTAGCAGCGGCCGCGGCTGTGGCAGGGATCGGGGAGGCAGTCGTTGGGATCTGGGGGCGAGGACGCCGGTCAGCGGGGTCACCGGCGGCAGGGGCTGGGGGGAGGCCGGGCGGGCGGGCGGGGCACTCACTGGTGTCGCACAGCTCGCCCTCCCAGCCGCTGGGGCAGAAGCAGCGGAAGGCGCCCACCTCGTCGATGCACGTGCCCCCGTTGCGGCAGGGCTGGCCCAGGCAGTCGTCGATGTCTGCGGGAGGCCGCGGTGAGCGCGGGGCCCCCTCGCCCCCGCCCCGCCCGCCCGCCCGCCCGCCCGCGGCGCTCACTCTCGTGGCAGTAGGCGCCGGTGAAGCCGCCGTCGCAGGCGCAGGAGAAGTTGCCCCCGGGCAGGCTGACGCAGCGTCCGTGCGGGCCGCACACGCCGGGCGCCCCGGGCCCGGCCTCCAGCCCGCCGCAGCCGTCGATCACTGGGGGACAGGGGCGTCAGGCGGCCTCGCGCGCCCCCCGCCCCGCCGCCCCCCGCGCCCCCGCCCCGCCGCGCCCACCTTCGCAGCCGCCCCCGGGGCACGGCTCCCGCGGCTCCGAGCAGTTCTTGCCGCCCACGTCCTCGGGGCAGGCGCAGTAGTAGTCGCCGTCCAGGTTGTAGCAGCGCGCGCCGTTCTGGCAGGGGCTGGGCTCGCAGAGGTCCACGTCCACCTGCCGGGCGCCGGGCACCGTGACGCCGCGCCCCGCCGCGCAGGGGGCCCGGCCCGGCCCGCGCCACCCGCCGCCGCGAGCCGTCCTGGCCAGCGGCGGGACGCGAACCCGCGGCCACCGGGCGGCGCGCACCCTCGCCTCCCGCCAGCGGGGCCGCCCGGCCCAGGCTCGCCAGGTGCGCGGCCCTCCCGGGGTCACCACCACCACCGCGCCCCCAGCGGGGAGGCCCCTCCCTGCCCCCGACGGCCAGAGCAGCCCCGCTGGGCGCGGGCCAGGGAGGGGGGCGGCACCGCGTGCCCCGCCTCGGGGGTCTTCGGGGAGGGGCCCTCACCTCGCAGAGCGGCCCCGAGAAGCCCTTGGGGCAGTGGCAGCGGAAGCCGCCCTCCAGGTCCTCGCACAGGCCGCCGGCCCGGCAGGGGCTGCTGGCGCACTCGTCCGCCTCCAGCTCGCAGTGCCGGCCGCCGAAGCCCCGCGGACACACGCACTGGTAGCCGCCGACCAGGTCCTGCGGGCGGGCGGCGGGTGAGCCTCGCCGCGGCCCCGCGGCCCGCGCCCCCGCGGCGGCCCCGCCTACCTTGCAGGTGCCTCCGTGCTGGCACTGCCCGCGACAGTCGTCCGCGTCTGCAGACAGAGGGGCGGTCACGCCGGCCCGCGCGCGCCCCGCCCGCCGCCCCGCCGCCCGTACTGACTGATCTGGCAGTTGACGCCCGTCCAGCCCGGCACGCAATCACAGTAATAGCCACCAATCAGGTTTTTGCAAGAAAAAGCATTAAGGCACGGCTGCCCGTCACACTCATTGGCGTCTGTGAAGGAGACAAGGGAGCGCTGGGGCCGGCCCGCCCGCGCCCGGCGCCCGCAGCCCAGCGCAGCCACAGCCGCATGCACAGCGCCGGCCACGCTCGCCGCGCGGCCCTTACCCAGCTGGCAGGTGGCCCCCGCCCACTGCTCGGGGCAGATGCACTCGAAGCCGTCCACCTGGTCCACGCAGGTGCCCCCTGCCGCGCACGGGTTCGAGGCGCACTCGTCAATGTCTGCGGGCGGGACGCGCGGGCCTGAGCGCGGGCCGGGCCGCGGGGTCGGGGAGGGGCGTGGCCACTTGCGGGGCGCGGCGGGGGGGGGGGGGGGGGCTGGGTCGGAGGGGTCTCGGCGCGCGCGCGCGGGGCTCACCCAGCGCGCAGGTGGGCCCACTCCAGCCCGCGGGGCAGTGGCACTCGAATCCGGAGGGCACCTCGTGGCACGAACCGCCGCTGGCACAGGGGTTGGAGGCGCAGGCGTGCTCGGCTGCAAGGAGGGGGCGCGTGGGTGGCCGGGGCCGGCGGGCTCCTCCGGCCCCTGCTCGGCGAGCCCAGAGCGGCCGCACCTACCGCGCTCGCAGTTCTGGCCCGAGTAGCCGTCGGGGCAGGCGCAGTGGTACTGGTCCGGCTCCGCGTTGATGCACGTGCCCCCGTTGACGCAGGGGCGGTGGCTGCCGCAGTAGTTCAGGTCTGCGGGCAGGTGGGCGCTCAGGGCCCGGCTCCGCCCCCAGCGCCGCCCCCCCCTCCCCCCGCGCCGCACCTTTGTTGCAGAGCAGGCCGCCCCAGTTGGTCTCGCAGTTGCACTGCCAGGGCTGCACGCAGCTGCCGTGGACGCAGCCCGGGTACGGGACACACTCGTCGCAGAATCTCCCCTGCCAGCCGTAGCTGCACCTGGGGGGGGCGCGGGGCCGGGGGTCAGAGGCCTCCCCGCCAAGAGGGTGGCCCGGGAGGTGGCCCTCTGGGGCGGCCAGGCTCGGCCTTTGAACTAACCGGCCGGCCGGGCGGGGCTGACGGCCCTGCGGCCAGCACGGTCACGGGCACTGCCCGGGCGCTGGCTGGGGTGGCCGCGCAGCTGTCCAGTCACTCCTACGGGGGCTATTTTGGGACTCACCCGAGCAGGGCCCCAGGAGCCGGCACCGGAAGGGGAGGCCCTGCCGGGACCCCAGGAACAAGAGCCGTGGCTCAGACAGGTGCTGCGGGGCGGGCGGGGCTGGACAGCGGGGTGCTGGCCGCCCGCCCGGGCCACCTGGGGCACGGCCTGACCTCGCCTGTAACTCAAGGACAGGAAGTTCTCTCCCTGCCTCACAGGTGGGGAGACGGAGGCCGGGCAGCCGCGGGCCAGGCTGGTGAGGGGCCAGACGCAGCAGCTCCTGTGCCAGGAGGAGCCGCCACACCCGGCGGACAACCTGAGTGGCTTCTTGGCTGCAAAACCACGGCCCAGAGGCCCGGCCCTGCCTGGCGCAGCGGCAGCGTCCCCCAGGGGGCAGGGCCGGCAGCCAGGACAGCGAGGGGGCTGGGCAGACGTTAACACCAGGCCCCTGGGCTGCTCCCGGGAGGCAGGCCCAGCCTGGCTGGATGGCCCTCAGGGGCCAGCACCCAGCGGACCCCGCCCAGGTCCATGCCACACCACTGCCCGAGTTGCTTTCTGTCGAAAGGGAGAGTGACGGCTCCACGAGACCCAGCCCCACTGCCGCCCACACGGGACACTGGGGCAGCTCGCAGACCCAGGGAAACTGAGGCAGGAGAGATGCAGCACCGGCCGGCCCCTGTGCACAGGGGCCCAGCGTCCCCGCCCAGCACCCAAGGTTCAGGGGGGCACTGGGGACACAACAGGCTTGACACCCAGACCCCCGGTGCCTAGGGCATCCTCTCTGCCCCAGGCCCCCCCTACTCCCAGCGGGGTGCGGTGCGAGCCCACACCGGAGGGGCTGAAACCTGAGCTACAGCGGCTGCAGCTGGGCCTGGGCCCGCGGGGGGGCGGGGGGGGGTCACCCACTACTGTGCTCCTCACTTCCTGCAGCCTGGGGATAGTCCTCCCCGCCCCCACCCGCTGCAGTCCTGCCACCAGGCCTGGCACAGGGCAAGGGTGCAGGGCCCCTTGGGGGTGCCTTGCTGTCCCCAGACCCCCCCTCACACAGGTCAGACAACCCCTGCTACCCAGGACCTGGTTCCAGGCTCCTGCGCCCCAAGACACAGGCCCACCCCTGCCCGGGGTCCCCGCCCACAACCATGCTCCCCACCACCTGGGCTGGGCTCCACGTGCCTGTGGGGGGGCCTGCTGGGTAGCCCTGCCCCCACCCCGGCCTTGTCCACCCCCCAGCTCCTCTTAGCCCCATGAGACCCACACCCCAGAGAGGGCCCTGGGTGGGAAGACCCCCCCCGGGCTGCACCCGCCCCCCCCCGTCCCTTCACCCCTCAACTCCCAGGCGTCCCTCAGCACCCCAAGCTCGGCCCTGTGCCCGTTCTGCACAGCCCTGGTGCCCAGCACCCACTCCCCTCTGCCCACAGTGGCCTCTCCCCTCCCAGGTCGCAGGGCCTCTGGGCCCCTCTGACCCCTGCCCTGTCTGCCCCGTGTCACCTGCCCCAGTGGCCACTGGGCCCCACGGGCAGGGCCCCTTGGCCAGCCCTCCACCCCGAGTGTGAGCTGTGGGAACAGCGGCTCGAGGCCAGCCTGGCGCCGCCGCAGGCAGCGGGGACTCACCTGCACTCCCCCGGCGCCGCGCAGCCCCCGTGCAGCAGGTTGCAGCCTTGTTTACACACGGCTGTGGGCGAGGGGTGCGGAGGGGTGAGGCAGGCGCCCAGGGGACCCCCTCGCCGGCCCGGCCCCGCCCCCAGTTCTCCCCCCACCACCCTGCTGCTTCCCGCCGCGCCCTGCTCACCCTCCTTGCACTCGCGGCCCATCCAGCCGCTCAGGCAGGCCTTGTTCCCATACTGGTCGCAGGTGTAGTGGCCGAAGAAGTCGTCGCGCGGCCGGCAGAACTTGTTGCAGGCGGCGCTGTAGTAGTTGTCGTCGCAGCGCACGCGGATCTGCAGCTCCAGGTGCGCCACGTGGCCGCTGAAGCGCAGGCTCTTCCAGCGGTCCTCGGGGTTGATCATGCCCGCGTGCGACACGCGCTCGATCAGCAGCTCCTCTGGGGGGCGGCCCGGTCAGCGCCGCCCGCAGGGCCCCAGCGCCCGCCCCGCCGCCCGCCCCGCCGCCCCATGCCCGCCCCCGGGCAAGAAGGGAAACAGCGCAGAGCTCCTCCGATAAAGACAGCTGTCCAGACACATGGGTCTCTGTCCCCAGCGGGACCCTGGCCTCAGGCACCCCTGCGCTCAGGACTCAGGGCCCAAGGGGTCCCCAATCGCAGCAGCGCCCGGCCCGGGCCACTCACCATCCGGGGTGGTGTCGTTGTCCCAGTCCCAGGCCTCCACGACGAGCGTGAAGGATCGCTGTGGGCACGGCGGGGGGGGCTGTGTCAGGAGCAGCGGCCCCCGCATCACTCACGTCCCCGCCTCCCCCACTCGCCCCCTGACCCGAGAGCCGGGGCTCCCGGCTCTTCTGACCCCCGCCTGCCGTCAGCAGAGAGGAGCGAGGGGCCGGGCAGAGCCTGGCACCAGAGCGCCCCGGGACCAGGATGTCCAGCGGGAGCCCTCAGTACCTCGCTGCGGCCCAGGGCACACAGGGAGGGGCCTGCCCCGTGCACCCAAGAGGGCCAGGGTCCAGCGCCCCAGCTGCCCGCCCCCCAGGGCACCCCGCGCAGCACCCAGAACAGAGCGAGCACCCAGCAAACAGCCACCCGCCTGGCCGCCCCTGCCCAGGGCGGAAAAGGCCACCCTGCAGCTCAGCCTGGACACTGGCCCCAAAGGCCCAGAACCCCTGGTACCCACCTGCCCGCTCGAGGGTGGCCAGCCCTGCAGCCTGCCCCTCGGGGGTGCCCCCCACGCTCCTGGACACTCCATGGGCCTGCCATGAGCACGCCCCTCCTGCCCCTGGCTGTAGCCGTGGCCACTGCCAGAAGCCACCAGGCGCCTGCCCGTGGCACCCAAGCCTCACCCCAAGACCCCCACGCACCCTGGCCTGACCCCAGGGACCCTCTCCTCCCGCCCCAGCCCCTGAGTAGCCTGACGCCCAGAACACGCCCAGCTTCGCGCTCCCCTCGCGGCCCCCACAGGGCCTGCCTCAAGACACCACCGCCCTTCTGGGCGCTCCCTACCCGGGGCGGTCCCTCCTGCCCACCACTGGACCACAGGCCACCAACACCTCCAAGGCCCCTGCAGCCCCTGGGACGCCCCTCCTGCCCACAGGAGCCCCCACCCCAAGCTGTCCGCGTCTCCCCTCCTGGGACTCCGGGGGCCCGTCCGCCTCGCAGTCCCTGCCTGCCCCCACCCCGCCCAGCCCTGTGACGGACGGCCAGGCCGCCCACGCCCACCCCGCTCTGCCCTGCAGGCCGAAGGAAGGGACCCTGGAGGGCCAGCACGGAGGCCCGGGCGGGGGAAGGGTCAGGCACGGGCCACGGACCCTGGGGCCCCCTGGGGCCAGCGCTGAGCAGCGCCGGGCCGGAGCAGGGGCTCTGAGGCGAGCACGCCAGCGGGTGGGCAGGAGGCCCCCAGCCTGCAGGCCGTGTGGCCGGCACCCAGCTGGGCTCCCCGCTGCAGGGACGCCCCCGAGCCAGCGCTCAGGTCGGGTTACACCTCCTCGCCCGCGCCAGGGCTCCGGTGACGGCTCCCACGGGACGGCGCTCACCTCCTGCCGCCCGCCAGCTGGGCCCCCACACCTGGGCAGCAGGAGAACCTGAGCCGGGCCCGCGCCCCAGCCCACCAGCGCCTCTGCCCACCCTACTCTCCGCCTCGCCCACCGCAGCAGGCCAGAGGTCGCCCAGCCCAGGGCCCGGACGGGGCAGCGATCTGGCCGGGGTTGGGGCCGGGACGGGCAGGGAGGGTGCCTGGCGGGTGGGCCCGGCAGGCTGCAGAGACCCGGCCCGGCACTGGCCACCTCCCGGCAGCCCTGGGGCCCGGCCCCACCCTCTCTGCCGGCCCCGTCGGGCCTGAAGCCCGGGTCTGCCTTCGGGAGACCGCGGAGCCGACGCAGGTGCTTCCGGAACCCTGGCTGGGGAGGTCCCGGCCTCCTGCCCCACCTGCCCGGAGAGGGGAGAGGCAGCTGTGCCCACCTGCCCAGGGCCACCCCACCCAGGAGCCCACACGCCACACCAGAGCCCACACGCCACGCCAGGGACATGCTGGGGCCCCAACTCCCAGCCCAGCCCCACAACCAGTCGATCCCTCCTGGTGGGAGACCATTGTCCAGGTCAGGGTCTCTAGCGCCCTGCCCCCAGTCCAGGCACACCTGCTCACCTGAGCTCTGCAGAGGGGGACCCCAGTTCACCTGCGGACTAGAAATGGCTCACTTGGGCCTGGGGACCCCACTCACCTGGGGTACAGCTGGGGTCCCCAGTTCACTGGGGATCAGAAATGCCGTCTCCCCACCATTATCTCCAGCTCAAGTCCCTGCTGGCTTCCCCCCAGACCGCAAGCTGCCCCAGACAGTCCGGCCCGCTCTTCCCTGGCTATGGCCAGCACCCCCAATCCACCCCTCCAGGCCTGGGTACGGTCCCCCACCGGCTAGTGCCACCGTCCAGGCCCTGCTAGCCCTGCCCCGCCCCAAGCCTTGGGCTGTCCCCAGCCTGTGGCCCCACAGGGAGGAGCCGGCAGTGCCAGGCCGGCCACCGGGCCTGTCCTCCAGCTGCGCCCCGTGAGGGTAGCCCCCGCCAAGGGGCCGGCTCCTCCCGGTCTGGGCCTGCAGACACAGGATGTGGCCACTGCAGGCCATGGGTGGTCCTCCAAGCCCACTGCCCACCAGGTCCTGGGAAGGCTCCGCCCCTCCGGGGCCTCCCCAGCCAGCAGCGGCTCCAGAGGACGCCTGCACACACGCGCACACGCTCACACATGCACACGCGCGCCGGCCCACGGCAAACACGGGAGGTGTCCCCAAGGAGAGCCGGCGAGGGGGCGGTTCCTGACAGGTTCCCCACCTCCAAGGCCTGGGCCCGCCCCTCCTGGGCAGCCAGAGGCCGAGACCAAGCACCTCAGGCCTCACTCGAATGCCGGCCCGAGTGACCAGGCCAGCACCAGGGTGGCCCCGGCCGAGCCGGTTCCCGGCAGAGGCCAGGGCAGGGGTCGGGGCTGGCGAGGGCGTTCAAGGGGTGGGGGGTCCGGGCCGGGTCAGTCCCGGGCCCCCTCCACCCGCCGCCCTCCTCAAACCCTGGCTCCTGGAGCGGAGCAGGTGCTGGGCAGGCAGGAGCCCAGCTCTCCCACCCAAAGCCCCTCCTTGATGCCCAGGCAGTCTGCTTCCCCAGCCTGTCGAACGCCCGGTGGGCACCCCGCGTTCCAAACACGCCCCAACTCATGGGACAGAGCTGGACTTGCAGCAGGGGAGCCACGTGGCCGCAGGGCTGAGCCGGCCGAACGGAAATACCAGGGTGCTAGCATCACTGCCCCCCACACGCCCGGCGCACCGATGGCGGGCAGGACCCGCTGCCCACCACCGTGGCCCCAGACCCGGGGGCCCTGCCCCCCCCCAAGCATCCGAGGACCCCCAGCAGCTGAGGGGGAGGGCCCATGCCGGGTGCCCAGCCTGGCTCCCGGGGCCGGGCCCAGGCCCATTTTGCTGCTGGCCAGCCGGCGGGCGGAGAGCCGCGAGGGACACGCGTTGGCCCGCCACATTCCTGCGGCGCTCCCTGCCCCCACGCGGCGGCTGCCAACTCCAGCAGAAAACACGTCCTCAGGTAGCGATTTGGAGCCCGCTGGCTGGGGCCCAGCCCAGATGACAGGCTGCGGCCCTGCTCGGGCCTGCCGCGCCGCGGGCCCCTCCCACGCCTGCCCTGCACGCCGTCCCGGGCACATTCCCACCTGAGGCCCCGTCCGGAGCCCCGAGGCCGGCCAGGCCGGAGGGGGGCATTGGGCCCTGCGGGAGGGGCCTCAGGAGCGCAAGGGTGGCGGTGGTGAGGCCTCCTGGCCACCCCATGGAGAGGATGCCAGGCCGGGAGCCAGGGCGGGACCAGGGCCAGACACGGGTGGGCACGTCCCCGGTGCCCCTGGCAGGCCGGTCTCAACCAGAGGTTGGCCAGGGCCCCTGCTCCGGCCAGGCACCGGCTCCCGGGCTCCCAGCACCTTGGACACCTCCCTGGCCCTTCCCAGGCCCCCAGCCTTCCTCCAAGTCCTCCTGCACACGGGGTCTCCTCGCCTCCGGTCTCACCCGCCGCCCACCCTGCTGCAGGCCCGCGGGCGCTCAGGGTCCTCCAGGCCCAGAGAACACCAAGTGGGCACCAGAGGCCTGGCACGCGCCAGGAGGGTCACACCCGACCCCCGCCCAGGGCGGCCAGGCGGCGGCTCCCACCTCCTGCCAGGAGGGCCCCAGCCGGCCCGCGCCCGCGGTGCCACCCCCGCCTCCCCGCTGCGGCTGCCCGCGGCCACGCGGGCGCTGGGGGCCACGGAGCCGCCCGCCCCGCCCCCGCCGCCCCCGGGCATCCAGGAAACGGCAGCGGGGCGGGCACGGGCTGGCCCGGGGCCCGCGGCGGCTCCGCCGGGGCCTGCCCCGACCCGCCCCAGCACGCGCGGCGCACATGCCTCGGCGTCCGCGCCCCGCCGCGCCCCCGCCCCGACAGACGCGCGCGGCGGCGCAGGCACACGCCGGGCCCGCCGCCCCCCGGCCCCCCGGCCGCCCCCCGCCCCCGCCCCCGCCGGCCCACGGCCCCGCGCGCCCACGTGGCGGGGGCGCCCCGGCCCGGAGCACGCGCCCCGCCCGCGCCGCGCGGCGCCCCCTGCCGGCGCCCTCCCGCCCCACCCCCGGGGGCGCGGGGCGGGCCGGGCGGGGGGCCGGGGGGCGGGGGGCGCGGGCGGGGCGGGGCGGGGCGGGGCGGGGGGCGCGGGCCGGGGCGGGGCGCACCTACCGGCCAGGCGAACTGGAACGGGATGACGACGAGGCCCGGGTCCGGGGCGCCGCCCGCCCGCGCCCGCGCCCGCGCCCGGTCCCCCGCGGCGCGCGGCGGCGGCAGGTAGAAGGAGTTGCCGCCCAGCACGGGCGTGGCGCCGTGGCCGTAGCTGCAGGGCCCGGTGGGCGCCACGCGCGCCTGGTACTCCTTGAGGCACACGCGCACGTACGTGTCGCACTCGTCGCGGCCGCAGCCCCCCGCGCGCGTCGTCCGGCCGTCGGCGTCGCAGCAGGCGCCGCTCCGCAGCTCGCCGTGCGCGTTCCGCAGCGCGCTCAGCCGCAGCTCGAAGTGGCCCGCGGGCCGCGCCGCCTGCAAACACGGCAGCGCCAGGGCGGCGGGTCGGCGCCCGCCCCGCCCCGCCCCGCCCGCCCGCCCGCCCGCGCCCCGCGCCCCGCGCCGCCGCCGCTCACCTGCACGCACAGCGCCAGCAGCAGCAGCAGCAGCCGCCGCGCCGGGCGCCCCCGGGCCCGCGCCCGCATCGCCGCGGCCCGGCCCGGCCCGGCCCGGCCCGGCCCGGCCCGGCCTCCGGCGCCCGCCGCCCCGGCCCGGCCCGGCCCGGCCCGGCCCCGAGCGCGGCGCGGCGCGGGCGGCGGCGCGGGCGGCTCGCGGCGGTCGGGCGGGCGGCGCTCCTCGGCCGGTCCGGCCCGGCTCGGCGGGCTCCGCTCGGCGGCGCGGCGGGTCGCTCGGCTCCGCGCCCGCGCCCGGCGCCCGCAGCCGCGATCGGCGAGACTGACAGCGCGCGCGCCCCCTCGCCGCCCGCGCACCTGCATATGCATGAGGGGGCGGGGCCGGCGCGCCGAGGGCCCGAGGGCGCCGCCCGCCCGCCCGCCCGCCCGCCCGGCCCCGCGCCCGCCGGGGGCCCCGCGCGGCCGGCCGCGGGGGGGGCGCGGGCCGCGGGGTCCCGCCGCGCGTCGGGGCCGCGGGGCGGGGCGGGGCGGGGCGGGGCGCCGCCCGAGGGCGCCGCCGAGGTCCCCTCCCCTCGGGGCGCCGCCGCGCTCCCGGCGGGCCCGAGGCGGTGCCGCCTCCGGCACCGTCAGGGCCCGGCCCCGCCGCGCGCCCCTGCCCGGGGAGGGCCCCGCCGCGCCGCGCCCGCCGCCTCCCGCCGGCCGCAGGGGGCGCTGCGCCCCGCCGCCCCCCGCCCCCCAGCCCCGGCGCCGCCGCCCAGCCAGCCTCTCGGCGGGCGCTGCGCCCCGCTCGGCGGGGACGGCGGGGCCGGGGCCGGGGCCGGGGTCCGGCAGGAAGGCCCGCGGGGCGCGCCCACAGAGGCTCCCTGCGCCGTCCCGGCGGCCGCGGCCCCGCACCCCGCCCCGCGCCCGGCCGACGACCTGGGCGCCCCGGCCCCCTGCAGGGCGCGCCAGGGGCGCCTGCCGGGCCGGTGGTCACCTTGGCAGTCAGGGAACGAACAGGAGCGCGTCCGCGGGGGCTTCCCGCCCCCCCAGCCCCCCAAGGGCTCCCCCACTGCGGCCCTCTCCGCTCAGGCTGGGCGCTGGGCTTGCAGCCCCTGCCCGCGCTCAAAACCGCCCCCTGGGGTGGCCGGTTCCGGGCGGCTTTTCTGGAAAAGGAGCTTGGGCCAGGCCCAAGGGCTGGGGGTGTGGCACTGCCCTCTGCGGCCAGAATGTGCCCAGCTGGCCCTCCGGCCCACAGGCCGCTGCCCGGAGCAGCCCCTCAGCAGGGACAGCGCAGCTGAAGGACCGCGGCTCCCGCGCTGCAGCTGCCCACCCTCCCTGGACAGCCACCCTCCCGGGCCCCTCTGGGCAGGAGGGGCGGGACACAGGCCCAGCCACACACCACAGCGGGGGAGAGCCCCCCATCCCCCCGCCACTGGTCCTTCCAGGGGGCGGGCAGCGGCTGCTGCCTGCGGGGAGGAGGGCCACGGTGCAGATGCCCCTCACCTCCTCCCCCCTCAGACGCAGGCGCGGACCCCAAGAGGGCACGGGAGCCCCCAGCCCGAGTCCAGGGCCCATCCCTGCCCGGCCCACTGCCCCACAACCAGGGAGCCGGCCTCTCCCTGCCCGACACCCCTGCCCAGCGCTCAGCCAAAGCAGTGAGCGGACGGTCCCCGTCCACCCTCGGGGCCCCCAGCCGGGTGGACAGAGGACAGGCAGAGGGACCGGCGTCAGGGTGCACAAACGCGGTCTGCTCAGACCCAGAGGACAGCCGTCTGTCGCCCCGGGGCGAGGAGCCGGGCCGGGAGGCCAGGGCGTAGGTGAGCTGGGCGCTGGGCCTCCGGGGCCGCGTCTTCCCGCTCAGGGAAGCCGGCCGGAAGCCCCAGGAAGCAGCGGAGCTGGGCTGCTCGGTGGCCGCCTGCGTGGGCGCGGGGCGCCCTGCCTGTGCGGGAGGCCCCGGGTGGGCTGCAGTGCCCGGAGAGGGGCCGGCGGGGCTGTGGAGGCCTGAGGAGGGGGAATTCCAGGCAGGAGGGGCGGAATCGTAGAACAATCCCGAGGGCCCCTCCCTCGTCCACCTCTGAGGCTTCCTGCCGTGGCCGCGGCGTGGGAGGGAAGGGTGGCCAGGCCAGCTCCGGCCCAGGGCTGAGGCAGGCCGGGCTCACAGGGCGCTTCCGGAAGTCTCAGACCAGGCTCTGCCCTGCCGGCGTGGCCTTGGTGAGGGATGCGCACCCCTTTCCAGGCTGAAGCCCGCTCCCCAGGGCCCTCCCCACTGGCCTGGCCCCCTGGGGCGCAGAGCCCCTCCGTCCTGCACAGCTGGGGAGACAGTGGCCTGGCCCCACCTGTCTCCTGCCAGGCCTGTGGGGGCTGACTTGGGCACAGCCAGGGGGTCACAGAGCCGGGAGGGGGGGGTCGCACAGCCGGGGGTCACACAGCCAGGGAGTCACTCAAGCCCCCCTCACCCCCCGCAGGCCCCCGGCCCTCCCGCAGCCGGAGCCCAGGCAGAGTGCTGGTTGGGCCGTCAGGAAGGCGGCCGCAGGGGAGAGGGCCGGGGGCTCCTCACTGCTGGGGACCACAGCAGGGGTATCTGCAGCCCTTGGGCCCAGGGGTGAGAGCCAACGGGAAAGGGCTCCCCCTCTTCCAGGAAGGCTTCCGGCTCTGTCCTGGGGGCCACCAGGCTCAACCCCGTCAGGCTCCCAGCTCCCCAGCCCAGGAGCTCTCTCCGGCAGCTTTGAGGGGCGCTCGCTGACACAGGCCCCGGCACAGCTGGGTGGGGCCCCTCGGCCTGGCCACAGGGCCTCGGCCCCAGGCCTCCCGCGCAGGCTGTGGGGCTGGGACAGGCCAGCCGCGCTCAGGACGGGGCTGAGCTTCCGCTGGTGCTCTGCGCTGCTAAATATAGCGGACAGCAGGGGGTTTCCGGTTACAGCCCCCCCAGTGCTGGGAAATCGATGCCAGCTCCATTAGGCCAGCCATGCCTGCTGACCGGCCCGTGGACTGCCTAGCAGGGGGGCCGCCCACCCCTTGTGGAGCCGGCACGCTCCCCAGGGCTCCATGCAGCCGCCATCCGCTCAGTCTGCCCAGAGCCCTCCCAGGCGGCGGGCGGAGCCCACAGGCCGGCAGGGCCACGCCACGAGGCGAGGCGGGCTGCGGGGCTCCGGGCAGAGGCCCCGACATCTCCGGCCACACGGACCCCAGGGCAGGCTAGAGCTGCAGCCCCTCCGACGCCGGACACGCCCCTGGCTCACCTGGCCCTCCGGGCAGCACAGCACGCATTTGCATACAGGTGCTGTCGCTGCTGAGGCCCTGCCTGGCCTCCCGGCAGCCAGGACCCCGCCCGCCCAGCGGCGGGGAGGCAGGGCTCCGCTGGAGTGCCTGCCTGGGGTCAAGGTGGGGTCAGCCTGGCGCAGGACGGGCATCCTCCACATCCAGCCAGGGCCCCGAGCCTTGAGTCAGTTTCCAGCAAAGCTCCTGGTCCCTCCGGCTCCCCCATCCCCACCTGCAGCCCCCCGTGGGGACATGTCCCTGGTCGCCTTGCCCCCCCCCACCCCCCGCCCCGGGCCTGGGGTCGAGGACCTGATGGCCCCCAGCCTGTTCCCAAGGGCACCGGCCAGAGGGCTGGGCTCTGGTGGGGGGGGGGGCAGCCTTCCCTTCCTCCGGGACACCTCCTGTCCTCCAGGCCGGACCCGGCCCGAGTGGTGTCAGCGGGCCCACGAGTGCCCGTGAGGGCTCTGGCCGCTGTGATGCGGCCCGGCGGGGGCCGGCGCACCCCCAGGCCCTGGTGCTCCGAAGCCCGCCCTCCAGACAGGCCCTGCCTGGAAGTGCACCCCTGGGGCTCGCAGGCCGTCCGGCACACGGCGGTCAGGCAGGGCAGCTGGGGGCTGGGGGGCTCCCGGCCTCCCAAGGGGATCCCGCATGCCCAGGGCGGGGCACGCCATCCTCCCTGTGGCCGCGTGGCCGGCAAGCACCCTCCCTGCCCGAGGCGCGACCGGGGTCTGTCCTCAGCCCGCTGCTGGGCACAGCTCCTCAGTGGCCTGCAGCAGAGGCTCCAGCCGGCGCAGGGGCTCTCCCAGGAGGAGGCAGGGCCAGGCCCGCCCACCACCCGTCACAGGCACAGCGAGGACACGGGCCAGGGCTGGGGGCTTTATTGGGTGTGCAGGACGGGAGGCCGGGCAGCCCTGACCGCGCCAAGGGTCACTGGGGATCCAGGTCAGGGGCCACGTGGCTGAAGAACCACGTGATGCCGAAAATGACTCCGAGCGTCTTGGGCACCTCCGGGTCGTCGGAGAAGGCCTGGGCGGCGCCCAGGGGCAGGTGCAGGACCTCAATGAGCTCGCCCTCCTGCGCCAGGCCCCCACCCGGGCCGCCCCGCTGGGCGTCCGTCACCTCTGCATAGAACAGGGTCTGGCTGGAGCCCGTCAGTCCCACGCCGGCCCTGTGGGCGGAGACGGCCCTGCTGAGCTCCGGGGACGCCCACCTCAGGGCCCGCCCGCCCCCGCCTCGGCCCTCGAAGCAGGCCCAGGACCCCGGGCCACACCCTCCGGGGCAGTCAGGGCCCCTGAGGAAGGTGGACGCTCCTGAAGGCGAGAAGCCTGTGTTTCAGGGAGGGGCTCCAGGGCCTGAGCTCAGGGGCTGCAGTCTGGGGGTGAGCTGCCCCGAGGGCCCGGCCTGCCGTGATAGCGGCCAGTGGTCCAGGGCGGCGAGAGGCTGGGCCCACCACAGCCCCTCCTGCTCACAGGGCCTCCGGCCTGCCTCCTGCTCCCAGGGGCCAGCTCAGGTCCTGCGGCTGCTGAGTGCTGACCAGGAGAGGGCCCCGGGCAGCCTGGGCAGCACCCACACCGCCTCCTGCAGGACGCACGTCCCAGGCTGGGGACAGCAGTGCTGTAGGCCCGAGGGGGCCGGGGCGTGCGGGGCGGGGGCAGGGACGTCCCAGAGTTTGTCCAAGGCTGCAAAGGTGGGCCAGGCTGGGGGAGGCTGGAGCGGAGCACAGGCCCACTGCCGTGAGACCCCAGAACGGGAGGGGCAGGGACTGCGGCCGAGGGCACTGGGGACGCAAGCGGGCGGGGGAGCCACAGGGGGCCCTGGGGGCGCAGGGCAGGTGCCGGCCTCATCCGCCCAGGCCGGGCCACCCAGACACCGCCACGGACTCTTCGCGGCCCTGGCTCCTGGGCCCTTCCTGACGGCCGTTTCCGCGCGGCCTGGCAGGCGCCTTTGATGCAGCGGCCGCCTGCGGCTCCCGGACCACTTCCGCGGCTGCGGGAGGATGAGCTCGGCCCCTGGCAGCCAAGAGGAGCGCCCCCCAGCCGCCCCGGGGCCACCAGGGTCCGGCCTGCCTGGCCTCATCCCCATGAGCCGGGACAAGTGGGAGCCGCCGCGGGGCCCGGCCAGGAGCAGACGCTCTGCCGTCGCCCCAGGACGTGCCTGACCTCTCCCAGCCCCCGGCCACCCCCTGGCCTCCAGGCCGCCCGCTGCCCAGGCTCAGGCTGTAGCCAGAAGCCCTGCACATCCCCCAAGGGGAGCAGACCTGCTAAGGTGTCTCCCCAGGCCTCCCGTCCTTGCCCCCAGCCCCTGCCCCAACCCCAGGGCTGGGGTTCTCCCGGCCCCCCGCACGACAGCAGCGGAGGCTGGAGGCGCCGGTAGCCAGGTCCTGCTCACTCCTGCCAGAGGCCGCTCCCCACCCCAGGCCGGGGCTGCCGAGGCCCAATAGGTGCGGTCCCGGCCGGGCTGAGCAGCGGCTGGGGTCCCCAAGCAGAGCAGGCCCCCGCACAGCACGTGGGGGACACCGAGAGTCCTCCTTCCGCCCCCTTCATTCCCCAGGCCGGAGACCCTCGGAGTCCCTGGAGCAGGGAGGGTGGCGCCCAGCACCCTGTGCCGTGGGGAGGGCGAGCGGCAGGGGCGTGGGCGTCGAGGTCGGCCGGCCCCCGTCCCGCCTGGGCTGCTGGTTCCCGAGCGCTGTCTGGCGTCGCCCCACCCCGGAGCCTAATCCCACAGGAAGCAGCGGTGTCTGCCTCAGCAGCTGCCACCGAGCCCGCCCCCAGCCGGGGCCGCAGGGGTGGCGGAAGGCGAGCTGGCCAGCACCAGCCCAGCGCCTACTTCCGGCCCGGGTCACCGTTCGAGGCACAGACGTCCAACCTTTCCCCGGCCCCATGACTGACGGGGCCCAGCCCGCCGGCCTGTGGGGTGCCGCGGGGGGCCCGGCCCGCTCACCTGTAGGAGGCCACCCGGCGCAGCTCCGCGGGGGCCAGGCGGTAGCCACACTCCTCCCACGCCTCCTTGCAGGCCACCTCCTCCAGCGACAGCCCCGGCTGGTCCACGAGGCCGGCACACAGCTCGTACGTCACTCCCGCCGCCCCGGGCAGCACCGCCGGCAGCACCCGGGGCCCGTCCTGGTCCGCGGCCTCCAGGGAGCCGGGGAAGCGGCGTTCCACCTCGCTGGCGTACACGGCTGGGGGCGGCCACAGCCCCTCAGCGGCCACCCTGGGGCCACGGCTTCCCTGGGAGCCTCCCCCCTCGTCTGCCGCCCAACCCGGGGCCCGCAGATCCGTCCCCGTGCCCCCAGGACCCAGCGCCCGCAGCGCCCCCCAGCACCCCCAGGGCCTCACCCGGCCGGAACTGCTTGACCAGCACCAGGCTCCTCTGGGACAAGTTGAACAGGAGAATGGACACGCTGTGGGGCAGACCAGCGCTCACCACAGGCGCCCCGGCCGGCCCGCCGCCCCCGGCACCCGGAAAGTGGGGGCCCGTGCTCAGAGGGGAGAGGGGCCCGGGCTGCTTTGCCCCGCTGGCAGGCCGCCGAGCAGCCCGCACCCCGCCGCGGCCGCTCTCGGGCACGGGCCCCCCGGGTGCAGACTGGCCGCCCCGCTCAGCCGCAGGCTGACCCCTTGCAGAGAGGAAGGCCACGGCCGGCTGGGGACACTGGGACCACGGGGGCGCAGACATGCGGAGACAGGGCGGGGCCCGGCCCTGGGTCCTATGCTCCAGGGACGCCTCTCGGGGCTTGCGCCGAGGCGGGTCCAGCCCGGGCCTCACCTGTCATGGGTCCTCATGAAGTCCCAGGACTTCCGGACGCCGTTCTGGAAGAGGCAGGGCGGCCGTCAGCAGGCCCAGGGGCCGAAGCAGGGCTGGGGGTCCTCTGGCCGAGCGGGAAGGCCAGGCGGGAAGACCCCGGGCCCGGCCCACAGGGCGTGGGTGCTGCAGCCAGTGGGCGAGGGAGTGGCCTGGGCCGGCGGGAGTGGGGGGTGGCGGGGGAGGGGGGCTCGACGGCCCTGGGCTCTCCGGGGCAGAAACCCCAGGCAGGGGTGAAAGGCACGTCCGAGCAGCCGCGTCCTGTCACCGAGCGTGGGGAGGGTCGTGTGGGGCCTGGGAAGACCATGGTGGGCCCTTGGCGGGCAGGGAAGGTCGGGGCGGCGCACGGGGCTGTCGCGGACAAGGCTCCTTCGGGTGCGGACGCCGGGAGGCAGGAGGGACAGGCGGCTGGTGGCGCGGCAGGGCGCGGAGATGGTGCGAGCAAGGGGGCTGGACAGCAGCGTAGCCCCGGCCTGGCCCCGTGTCTGCGGTCCTGCTGTTCCGCTGCCTCCCCCAGCGTCGGCCCCCCGCCCAGACGCCTCCCATGACCAGTGGTCCTCAGCGGAGGAAAGAGGCCGCGCGGGGGAGCGGGGGGCTGGGGCCGGCCGCTGAGGCCACCGGAGTCGGCGGTGACAGGTTCTGGCAGGTGGGGACAGGAGGGGCCCGGAACCCGGCCAGGCGAGGCGGATCCGGTCCTCCGGGCTCTAGGGCACGGCGGCCACCACCTGGCGGGCACAGGGCAGGTGCCCCATGTCGCGGGCGGAGCAAGCCGGGGCCCCACCTGCGGCTCCCCACCACCAGCACGCTCGCCCCCGTGCAGGCCGTGAGGTGGACAGAGCTGAGCGCCCGAGACAAGGCGCAGCAGAGAAGGGGAACCCCGAGGGCCCGCCTGTCCCTGAGCCTCCTGGAGGGGGTGGTGGGCAGCAGGCCCCACAGCGGGCGCCAGGCCTGTGGGACAGGGGGCAGAGCCGCATCTGGGCAGGGGGCGGAGAGGCAGCAGCGTCCAGCCGGAGTGGCAGCCGTCTCGGTTTCCAAGGGGAGGGAGACCAGCGTCCTGTGTGTGGGTCAGGCTGCCAGGGAGGCCGTTGTGAGGCACGCCCCCAGCGGCAGGCCCAGGCCTGCCTGAGATCAGCCTCGGGGCGGCCACCCACCCAGGGCGCTCCCCCGCCCCTGCTGGCCACGTGCCCTGTGCCCCGGCGGGGTCCAGGAGAGCCCCCTGTGCAGGTGATTCTTGGACCCAAGGTCGAAAGGTTCTCAGCCCCTTAGAGACAGCCCAGGGGGCGCAGGGAGCCGGAGGCCAGCCTGCCCCTCCGAGACCCCCGCCCACCTAGCTGGGCCCCAGCATGGCTCCTCTCTGGGGGCCTGGGAGGGAGCGACAGGGTGGGGGCGGAGTCAGGCCGGGAACGCTGCCTTCGGTCTACCTGCCCACCAGACGGCCCCAGCCAGGGGTGGCTGATGACCGGCCCGCGGAGGGCCCTCAGAGGCACACACGCCTGGTCCAGCCAGCCCCACCCCACCCACAGTCCTGGAGGTGGGAGGCCCCCAAGCTGCGGCTCCCCAAGAAGCGGAGGGAGGGGCTGCATCCTGGCCCTGGCAGCCCCCGGGCCCAGCCCAGGGCTGTGTGGCCAGCACCGAAGAAGGTGGTGACCTCTGGCCTCCACTCTCCACCTGCTGACCCCACCGCTGGCCGGACGCCGCGCTGCCAACCTGGTCTCCGGGGACATGGGAATCCCCCGTCCTCGAGCTGGCAGAGTGGCGGCAGCAGCAGGACGACAGGAGGGTGAGGCGCGGGGGCCTCGGTTGGTGGGTGGAGGGGCCTGGAGAGCACCAGCGGCACAGGCGCTGCCCCGGGGGCCAGGCAAGGGACCCAGACCTGGCCCTGGAGTCCTGGCCGGCGGGCGGGCGGGCAAGCGAGGGGGGGGTGGGGGTGGGCGCGACGGGACAGCCGTCGGGCAGGGTCAGGGAGCTGCAGGGCACCAGCACATCCTGGAGGCTGCCGCGTGCCAGGCACAGAGGTCCCGCTGCAAAGCCTGGTCCAGGGATGCGCGTCCCACACCGGGACAGAGCCGGCGGGCGGGGCCTCTGGTGCGGGCGGGGCTGGGAGGCTGGGGGCGGGGCCTGGGGCGGGGGGGGGCCTGGCGCGGGGCGGGGCCTGGCGTGGGTGGGAAGGCGGGGCCTGACGCGGGCGTGGGGCGGGCCTGGCACGGGCGGGGCGGGGCGGGGCGCGGGCGGCGGGGCCCGGCGCGGGCGGGCGGGGCGCGGGCGGGGCGGGGCCCGGCGCGGGCGGGGCGGGGCCCGGCGCGGGCGGGGCGGGGCCCGGCGCGGGCGGGGGGCGGGGCCCGGCGCGGGCGGGGGCGGCGGCGCGCGGCTCACCTGGCGGTAGTGCAGCGTGAGCGGCCGCAGGTAGGGCGAGGCTGCGCAGCGGCTCACGGCCGCCCCCTCGATGCGCTCCATGGCGGCGGCGCGGCGGGGCGGCGCTGGACTCGGCCGGCGCGTGCGTGACCGGCGCGGGCATGCCCAGTGCGCCGGGGCGGGCGGGGCCGGCGGGGAGGGCGGGGCGCCGGGGCGGGCGGGGCCGGCGGGGCCGGCGGGGCGCCCCGGGAGGGCGGGGGCGGGCGGGGCGCCCTGGCGGGAGTGCGCCCGGGCACGCGCCCGCGGCGGGGCCGGCGCAGGGAAGGCCTCGGAAGGGACGGGGCGGGCGGCCGCGGCTGCCCCCCTGGGAGGCGGGAAGAGCTGGGGGCGCCGAGGCGGGGCGGGGCGCGGCGGGGCGGGCGCCTCTGGGGTGTCGGCTGGGGAGAGAAGGCTCTGGAAGGCTGCGGGCAGAGGGAAGGGGGCGTCGCCAGCACCAGGCAGAGCCGGGCCTCCCCCGCGGCTCTGGGGCCCGGCCCGGGGCACCTGCCGGCCCCGAAGCCGCCCAGGCTCAGCCCTCCCCGGCCCCGCGCGCTGCTGTTCCCTGCTGGGTGCCCATGCTGGCCGGGCAGGGGCCTCTTGCTCCCCCGAGCACCCGAAGGACCGGTCAGGGCCTCGGGGGTGAGGTTGGGGAGCGCAGGGTGGGGGGCTGTGGGGCAGAACCAGGTGCGGGTGCAGCCCCCCAGGTGTGGCCGGGCGGCTTGGCAGCTGACTCCCAAGTTGCTGTTACTTATTGCGGTGTGACGCCCGTGGCCCCGGAGGGTCCTGGCTCTGCTGGGCCCCTCCCTTGGGCCTCCCTGCAGGGCAGCTGGACTGGAATCTCGGGAGCTAAATGGGCCCGTGGCGCTTGCTGGCCCTGCCCGGCGATCGGGTGGAAGAGCATCCCCAGTGTGCGTGGCAGTCTCAGGGTGCTCGGGCCCTTTCTCAGCAGCCAGCTCCCCCACCGCACCCCGCCTCAGGGTGTTGAAAGTGTCCTGTCCTTTGGCCCTGTGGCCAGAGTCCTGGGCCCGCCTGACTCCAGGACAGACGGCACCGGGGCAGGAGCTGTCCTTGGAGACTGGCTGCGTCGGCCTTGACCTGGCCGCCAGCTTTCCCACGGTCCTTGGGGTGCTCTGCCCTGAGACCCCTGGAGGCCCAGGGCTGTCCCTGCCCCCCACGCCCACTGCTGGGCACCTCCTCCTCAGCAGCGGGCCCGGGGGGCGCTTCCTTCCTGGCAGCGGACAGGGCAGTGACGGCCCGCAGTGCGAGCCCTGCTCCTCCAGCACAGGGCAAGGCCAGCGTGCCCGGGGGGCGGGGTGGGGGCAGAGGCAGCAGGGGGGCTGGTGAAGAAACCCCCACCAGGCCACCTGGCTCATGCCCCAGGCACCCCCCGCTGCACAGCCCTCCAGCCCTGGATGTTCTGGGCGCCCCAGACCCCTCCACTTGGGCCAGGGGTGCTGGTGCTTCAGTGGGAGGGTGGCCCTTGGGTAGGTTTGGAGCCTTAGCCGATTTTTTTTAAAGATTTATTTCTGCATGCCGCAAGAGCTGGGGTACAGCCCAGAGGTGCGGGGGTGAGAGGACTCCCCAGAGACAGAGTGGGGAGCAGAGCAGGCGGGTCCACTGAAGCCCACTGCTGAGGGGGCAGCGGGGAGACGGGAGGGTCTGCTGCGCCCTGCGGGCAGCTCCCGGGCCGGAGTCACACTCAGGCCGCAGCAGCCGTGGACAGCTTCATGGCGCTGAGACTGACCCGGGAGCCCCCAGGGAGGCCCCGATTTAAATTTTGTCGAAGTGACACAGCCAAAGAAACGATGGCCATTAGGGGGAGCCCCACACACTGCCCCTCCCTGCCCAGGCGCCAGAAGCCTCTGAGGGCACCCTGCCCCGCGCGGCGTCCCCCTCCCAACCCGAAGGTGGGGGCCGCCACCCACCTCGCACTTGGCCCCCGCGGCCACCCAGGCCGTCCAGGCGTCTGCAGAGGGGAAGGTGTTGCCCATGGTTCGGAGCAGACCCTTGCCCAGAGCCCCCATCCTGGGCACAACGATGTCCGGGGGGGCAGGGCAAGGGCAGCCCCCATGTGCCCTACGAAAGGCCCCGCGGAGCGTCCAGCTTCCCTCCCGTGCACAGGGACACGCCCGCGCCACGTGCCCACGTGGACACAGCTCTGGCCTCAGTGCCGCTGCCTGGCGCGTCTTCCGTGGACGTCATGTGGGCCTGGCCTGGGAATTTGAGGGAACCTGCCCTGGGGGTGTCAGCATCTCTGCAGAGACGACCATCCAACCTCAGGGCCCAGCAAAGCAGCCCGGGGGGCGTGGTGGGGAGAGGGTGGGCCCCGTGGCGTCCCCTCTGAGGGCCAGGCCCGCATCCCTCAGGCGCGCGGCAGCCTGGCCTCCTCATCCACTCGCGGCCGTCGTGGCTGCCTCCCTGTTCCCGCTGTCCAAAAGCCTCCTCTGGGTCCCGCCGGCGTCCTGGGCGCTGCCCATCATCATGGCCTGAGCCAAGGTGGCCCGAGCGGAGCGGCCAGCAGAGCGCTGGTGGCCCCCAGTGCTCGTCAGCCTCGCCTGGACCAACTGAGCGGCGGGAGACGAGGGCCGGGACCACCGTCCTTCACCCCGTGCGGGGTCAGTGACGCTGCCCCGCGTGCATGCGCTGGGTGTGCCAGCTTCCCGGGCCACAGGCGCCACAGCCCTGCGGCGAGCCCCTGCTGCGGACTGGAGACGAGCCGTCGGGCCGGCACCAGCGGCTCTCGTGGAGAGGGACGTGGCGGACACGACGCGATGGACAGCCTGTCGCCGCAGCTGCTCCGCCCCAGTGTGGGGCGGGTTCGCACCGATTTTCCTTAAATTACCCTGAAATCAAGTTGTTCTTCCCTATAAAGCCACACACCTGCAAAACAGGAGGGTTGACTATTTGTTCTGTAAAGATTTATTTATTTATACAAGAACCGGGGTACAGGCCAGATGCTCGGGAGGGTGAGAGAATTCACCAGAGCCAGAGCGGGGAGCAGAGCAGGCAGAAGGACCGAAGCACACTGCTGAGGGGAGCGGCGGGCGGCCGGAGAGGTCTGCGCGCCGTGTGGGATTCTCCCTGGCCGGGGATGGAACGCGCGCTGCAGTGGCTGTGACGGGCTTCCTAGGCTGCGTCTTCATCTCTTGCGCCACCAGGGAAGCCCGGAGGGTTGACATTTTGAAGCAAAATCAGTGGAAGTAATTCAGTGTTTGGGCGTGAAGACGGACGTCACACTGGACAGTTGGAGACGCGTCCAGCGCCCGCTTCGGCCTGTCCTTGCAGGAATTACCTGGGCAGCGTGTCTTCAAGGCAACCGGCTCCAGCTGCTCCAGAAGTCGGGGTGCGGGCCCCCACACGTCCCGGTCACCCTCACTCGTGTGCGTGTTTAAACGTCTCGATGCCTTTGAAAGATGTTTCCCCAAACCACACCCCGCTCCTCCCCCAGCCTCGACACCCCGTTTATCAGCACCCACTCCTGCTTACGAGTGTCTCTCTTTGTCCATCCGTCCCCCCAGCGAGTGTCCGGCACTTGCCTCCGTTCTCCCGGCTCCAAGGCACGTCCCCCTCCAGCTCCCTCCGCTCTTTGAAGCACTTCCGAGTCCTGCCGCACGCGCCCCACCCCGGCGTGGATGCCCCTGCCCGCCGGCCCCGGGGCGCCCCACACCCTCGCCGGTGGATGCCCCCTGCGGGCCATGCCCCGCCCGCCACGCACTCCCCCCTGAAGCGGACGCCCCCTTAGGGGCCTGGCCGGGCGCTGTCCCTGCACCCCTGGTGGTGCGCGGCGCCTGGGGGCATTGCTTCCGCGCGGACGCCGAGGCGGGTGGGGTGGCCGGGGCGATTCCGTGATTCGGGTGAACCCGGGTCACTTTCCAGGGCGGCCGCGGCAGCTCCCGCAGGCGGGGGTCCCTCTTGCCACCACGGAAAACACCCGGGCGGTCGTGCCCCTGCGGGGGCGGAGCCCAGCCACGGGTCCAGGCCCCGGAGACCGGTCGGCAGCCTGGCCGGACACTCCCAGCTCCAGGCGCCCCCCTTTAGACCACGCTGGGCCGGGGTTACTCTGGACACGGCCGGAGCTGGCAGGGGGGCGCGGCCGGGCGGCAGGGGTGCAGGGGTGCAGGGGCTGCCTGGCCTGAGCCCGGGCCGACCCTGGACTCTGCGCGCTGGGCTCTTGCTCCTGGAGCTCCTCCCTGCGCCTCCTCCCGCCCCGGGGGCGCCCCTCCCGCCCCCAGCCTGGCCCTGGCACCCCGAGGCTCCTGCTGCGCGGGCCGTCTCCGCGCCTCCTTCCTCCTGTCCCCGCGCGGCCGAGCAGGGGTGCTGCGTCTGCCTCTGGGAGGTGGGGGCGCAGCTGCCCCATGTGCTCCGCGGGGTGGGAGCCGCGTTGGCTGCCCTGGACGCGTGGCCTCTGGGCCTGGCCGTGGCTGTGGGCGGGGGCGATGGCGGGAGGCCACGTAGGTGTCGCGTGCGGCCTCCTTGCTGATCTGGAAGCCCAGCTCCACCGCCACGGGGGCCGGGCAGGGGGGCAGCCATCCCCACCTGCCCGGCGCCTCAGCCCAGCCCGCAAGCCAGCCCCGGGGTGCCCCGGGGGCCCGCCCGGGCTCCACTCTGGGTGACCCAGCCCACCAGGATCCCCACCTGCTCCCCCGCAGGCTGCCCGGCACCCATCACACACCGGTGACGCCCTCCCGGCCCCTGGGTGGGGCTTGAGGCTCGGCCGGGCCGGGCAGAGCAGGGCCACGTGAGGGCCGGCGTGGCCCCGGCCCACAGGGGTCCCCAGGACAGAGGTCCCACCCCGCGGCGTGCGCTCGGAGGCCCTCGGGAATGGGCAGGGGTGAGTGCGGTCGGGGCCAGGCCCGGGGACCCCCAGCCGGGGAGGGCGGCAGCGTGTCCCCCGGCCCAGCGGGAGCCCGGAACGCACAGGCCCCGTCGCCCAGGGTGGGGCCCCGGAGAGTGCCGTGGGGCTGCCTGGAGGAGGGGCGGGCAGGGGCCGGCGGAGACGGCGGGGGCCGCGGGGCAGAGCAGCGGGCAGGGCCGGCGCGTGGAGCGATGCTGGCTGCCTCCTCAGCGGGCCTGGCCCGTCCCCTCCCGCCTTCCAGGGGGCTCCAGGGGAAGCCCCTGCCCCTCTGGCTCTGCTGCGCCCTCAGGGGCCTGGCCCGGCGGCTGTCCCCGGCCTCGGCCTGTCCGCCGCCCACCGCCCTCTGCACCGCTCCTTCTCCTTCCTGGGCGAGGCTCCAGCGACCGCCACCCGCCTCGTGCCAAGCCCTGTGCCAAGCCCGCCGCCCGGGCCCTCACCCGCCCGCTCCGGGCTCCTTGGCCCACCCTGTCCTTCCGGGGCCAAGCCCTGCCCCCTGCCCCCTGCCCCCCTCCACTCTGGCACACCCTGGTTCTTCTCAAGTGTTGCCCCCAAGTCTCTCCTGTGCCCACAGGCCTGCCTCCGTGATGTCCAGGCACAGACCTTAGCCACGACCGGGGACCGCAGAGGCCCTGGCCTGCCCCTTCTCCAGAGGGCCAGGCCCTGTAGAGTGGGGGGTGGGGAGGGGCTTCTGGGGACCAGCCAAGGGAGGTGCTGCCGCACGGGGGGACGGGCAGAGGCTGGCAGGTCTGGTGGGGTCTGGGGACTCCCCTCCTTCCCGCGTCCCCACAGACCCCAGTCCCAAGCCTGGCCACGTGGAGGCTGCCCCCAGGGCCTGGCGAGTGGCAGCTCTGAGCAGAGGGGCGGGGGATGGGGACTGTGGGGCGGGGCGAGCCCCTGGCCAGGCCTGTCCTCGGCCGGGGCCCAGGCCACAGCCCTGTCCCTGCCTGAGAACCCAGGGGGCTACTGCTGCACAAGGCGGCCAGGCGAGTGTCCACCCCTGGGACTTGAGCCTGCTGCTGTAACTGTGGGCGTCACCCCTGCAGGGCAGGGTGGAGGGTGAGGGTGGGGGTGGGAGGGTAAGGTTCCCTGGGCCTGAGGAGGCGCCCCCTCCTGACCCGGCCCTGTCCAGCTCCAGAGGGTCCGTTGGCCAGGCCAGCCGCCCCCCCATCCTGTAGCTGGGCCCGCGAGCCCCAGGAGGCCCAGCTCAGCGCGGCTCTCAGCCCTGGCCTGGGCCGGAGCCCGGGCAGGTGGCCGTCACCTCTGACCCAGGCTGCGGCGGCCTCAGCCAGGAGCGCTTCCTGCCCACCCGCCCCGGCTCGGCCAGGCAGGAAGTGGCCGCCTCCCGAACAAAGAGGCCGGCGGACAATGGCCATTGAATTGGGCCGGGACGCTTGCGCGGGGCCGGGCCCCAGCTGCCCGCACTGATAAGCCCCTGCTCCACAGCCCCAGCCTGGGCGGCCCGGCCTCCGTGGGGCCCCACGGGCTGCGAAGGGCGAAGCGTGCTTTGGAGGCGGCCGCGGGGCCGATCATCTTCGCAAAAGGCCTCAGCCTTCGACGCGGGGGCCGCGCCTTCCCACCCCTTGAGGCGGGCGGTCCACCGGGGGCGCCCGCCCTTCCGCTCTGCATCCGAGCGCGCCTGCGGGGTCGCCCTCTCCTCAGCGGGGCCGCAGCAGGGCCGCGGGCGCGGCTACGGGGGCACAGGTGACCCTCCTCCCGCTCTGGAATCCCTGGGCTGTGCAGCGGCGTCTCAGGGCCACGGGGCTGGCCCCAAAGGGGCACGTGCTCAGTGTGGCAGCCCAGCGTGGCGGGGGCACAGAGGAGTCCGGCCCCCAGCCGGGGCTGGTGCTGAGGCCCAGAAGCCCCTGGAATCTGGCAGCGGGCAGCCTTGCTCAGAGCGGTCCTGGAGGAGGCGCTCATGGGCTGAGGGGCCAGGGTGGGCGGGGCAGAGGGCAGACCCACCGGCAGGGGCAGCACAGGGCACTGGCCAAGGACGTGTGGGCGTGGCGGGCCCGGCCTGGCAGGATGAGGGCACTGACCTGGCCAAATGCCGGCTCCTGCTCCCTGTGTCCCAAGCACCCCAGCTCCCGGGCAGCCCAGGGACCCTGCCCCACGCCCCGGCCGGCCCCACTCCCCTCCGCGGGCCCCTGCCCTGGCTGTGACCCACCCCCCGGCCATCGCCTGCGTCTGAAGCCTCAACCCCGCCTGCCAGTGGCCACCGGACTCCCCGTGCACTCCGTGGGCCGCGGCCGACCTGTCCCGCAGGCGTCCAGTGGCTGACGCCGGCAGCTGTCCACGTGGGGCCCTCCCCGCGCCAAGCCCGCGGCTTGGGCCGCAGGAAGCGGGAGGCCGGGCGGCCTCCGACTCTGGCCCTTTATCAGTCCACGCCGCTTCCTGCGGCCAGCACGCCCGGGCCCCCGTGGCGCCGGGCCGCCGGGTCAGCGGTGACTCACCGAGGCCTCGCCCAGACGGCCTGCCTGGGACTGCACCTGGCCCGGCCCCCCCCCGCGCCCTCCCCAGCCCGCAAAGCTCGGCCCACCCGGCAGCCCCCGGAGAGCACCCCTGCCTGCCGCCCGCTCGGGCCTGCACCGCCGGACCCACCGGCCCACCTTGGGGGCTCTCGCCGCTTCTCCCGCCTCATCTCCCGTCGCCCGACTGCGGGCTGCGTCGGCTCCTCTGTGTGCCTGGAACCTTCCGGGTCCCCCGAGGCCTAACCGGAGCACCCCCTCCAGGAGGTCTTCCCGGACTCCCACCCCGAGGCCTCCCAGTGCCGGCGCATCACGCCGCCCTCCCGAGTCTGCCGCCACCGCGGGGCCCAGCTCCACCCGCCAGCCTGCCTGCCACCCTCAGGAGCCTGTGCTCCTCCCTGGGCTGGGGCCGGGGCCACCGTGCCCCCTGGCACCCCCCTGGGCTCAAGAACAGAGAGCCCAGGGGCACACCACGGCCCCACAAGTACGGCGCCTCAGCCACCCCCAGCCCCGTCTCCCCGCTGCCGCCCCGCCAACCCCTGGAGTGGAGTGGCGGCCCCCTCACCCCCCACATCGCCCCTGCAACCTCCAGGTGACCTTGTGAGGCCCGCGCTGGGCACCTGAGCAGACCCAGGCCGGGGGCAGGAAGCTGGGCTCTCCCACGGCCTGCTCAGGTGGTGGCACAGCCCCGGGGACGCGGCCTCCCTCCCACCATGGGAGCCCCCAGCTGCCTGCTCCGCCCACTCTGCTGGTGAGGCCGAGGCAAGGGCCGGTGGCCACTGCTCTCCACGGCCCGCCCTCGGGCTCCCAGCACCACGGTCACTGTCGTCACTTGGGGTCACCCCCAAGCAGGGACACACGCGCTGCTGGCGCAGGGGTTGCCTCTGTCCGCACAGCCAGCTCCCCCCAGGGGCCGGGCACTGGGACGGAGGCCCTGAAAAGGGCTGCCAGTGCTCCCCACAGGCCAGGGGCCCCTAGGTCACTCAGCAGATCCTGGGGCGCCCCCTGCTGCCCACGGTGAGCAGCAGCAGCCCCAGACCCTGCAGGGCTACAGCCGACAGGGATCCAGTGGGGGAGCAGGGGGCGGGTCAGGGCCCCCAGGAACATGGACACGAGAAACACTGTGATAAAGAGGCGCGCCCCCAGACGCATGCATGCACCCTCAGGCCTTCGGGGCCCTGTGCAAGGCCCCCATCTCCCGACTGGAGCGGGCCCTGGCTGTGGCTGTAGGGGGAGGGTGGGGCGGCCCCTGGCGCCCCCTGGCGCCCCCTCCCTCACAGCCCAGGGCCAGCTCCTCCCACAGAACGCCCAGCGATCTGGCCCCAGTTCCTGCCCATCTCAGCCTGCAGGCTGGGGCCCCTGTCCGCTGCAACAAGGCCACAGCTCAGGATGGAGAGTCCCCTGCCTGCTGGCCAACCCACCCTGGGGACGGCCCCGGCCAGTGGGGGCGTCCAGCGGGCTGGCTGGGTGGACACGGTGGGGCGACCTCGGGTCGCTGTGTTCCCCGCCGCCCCTGCCCCCCCAGGCTGGGCCCCTCCACCCACCTGCAGGCCCATGTCCCTCAGCCAGCCAGGAGGGGCAGCTGGCAGAGGAGAGGGCGCGGGGACCCCGCTTGTAGCAGTCTGGCACCCTCAGTCTCGCTGCCCAGCCTAGCAAGTGGGGGGCAGACAGCCCGCTGCGGGCCCGTGGGCCAGACCTCTCCCCGGGAAGGGGCGGCCCTGGGTGCTCGCGCCGGCCCGGATGGAAGGCTGCCCTGGCGTGAGGACACGGCTGGGGTCCACTGCAGCGATGGGCTCCTTCGAAGGGGCAGCCGTTTCCCCGTGGACACGCCCAGCCCAGCCCAGCCCAGCGGGCCAGGGGCAGGGAGGGCAGAGACCCCCGAGGGCGGCCCCTGCAGGCGTCGCGCGCTGAGGGGCACAGAGCACAGACCACAGTTGAGTCCAGTCACGCCTTGTTCCCCGCCTCCCGTCCGGACCCTGGGGCGGCCCGAGGCAGTGGCCCTGCTGCCCGCCTCCCGGGCAGGGGCTCCTGCTGCCCGCCGCGGCCACATCCTGAGCGCCGAGCTCCGCCGGCGGGCATGGGCCTTCGCGGCGCGGCCGGGTCTGGGGCCCACCGCAGTCCTCTGACCCGGCTGACGCCGCCAGCGCTGTGGGGGCCGCTGAGGGGCCTGGCTGGTCCCACGTCTCCTCGGGCCAGCGCCTGGGCAGCTGCGTCCGGTGGCCCGGCCCGGACAGCCCACCTCGGAGGAGCTGGGCGGCAGCGGGGATCCCCCGGCCTCCGTGTCCCTGCGTGGGCCGGCCGGTGCTGCGGGCGCGGCGTCCCCCTGTGGCGAGAGCGGGCGCGAGGCGCTGGCCCCGGGGCCTCAGTAGCCGTCCTCGTCGTCGCCGTCACAGCCGTAGTCTGTGGGCACGGGGGGGGGGGGGGGGGCGGTGCAGGTGAGAATGGGCCGGCAGCGCGGGGCGGGGGGGGGGGCGCGGGCGGGGGCCTCACCGCCACGGCCCAGCATCTGCAGGGCGCTGACGCAGGGCTCGCCGTCCTCCTCCTCGGCCTCCTCCTCGCCGTCCTCCTCCTCGGGGTGGTAGGACACTGGCCCGCTCTCCACCACGGCCGCGGGCTGCAGCGGCCCGGCCCCAAGGGCCGGGGCGCTCAGGCTCAGGGGGGCCGCGGCCTGCAAAGGGCAGAGAGGGCACGGTCTGCGGCCACGGGCACCGCCAGCGCGCCGGGACCGGCCCCCCGACCCCGACCCACCCCGGCGCCCGCGCCCCCCGGGGTCCCCCCGGGGCCGCCCTCCACTGACGCCTCCCCAGGCCCCCGCGGGGCCGCCGTGGCCCAGGCTCTGCTCCCCGGGAAAGGCCCGCTGGGGCGCAGCCGCCCACAACGCACCTCCGGCAAGGCGGGCTTCTTAGACGGCGGCGTGGACACCAAGGGCCGCAACCTGGAAGCAAGTGGGCGTGAGGCCCCCCTCCCCCTGGCCCGCCAGCCCCCGCGTGCGCACTGCGGGGGCACCTCCCGCCCTCCCGCTGGCTGCCCGGCCCCCACCCCTGCCTGTCCTGCTGACGAGGGTATCCGCGCGGTGGCCACTGTAGGGGAACCCGTGGCACCCCCCCGGAGTGATCTACACCCCCAGTCTGACCTGCGGTGGGGGGCGGGGCCAGGGCCCTCGGGGGGCCCCAAGCCTGCCCTCCCCTCCCACCCGGCAGGCCCGCGCGCCCGCGCCAGGCTGCTCCCTCCCCCGCGCAGCACCTTCTAGGGCACAGCGGGTCTCAGGACGGCGCGTTGCGGGGACTCCAACGACCCAGCCGAGCCCTCGCGGCCGGCCCTGCCCCGCTGCCCCGCTGCCCCGCGGGATGAAGCCAGGGATTAGGGGAGGGGGCTCAGGCAACCCCAACAGGCATGCACCCGGCCAGGGCTGACAGTGGACCCCGGGCGCTCAGGCCACGGGCGGACTCCGGCGGGGCAGGCCGGCGACCTGAGCAGGAAGGAGGCCCCCCGGGGCCGGAGTCCTGGCCAGGCCAGAGGAGGAGGCGGGCCGGAGCCGCCCCCCTGCAGCGGCCACCCTGTGCCGTCATCAGGGGGAGGTGGGGGCAGGTCGTGGGCCCCTGGAGGGTGACGAGCTACCTGGGCCCTGGCTGGGGTCGCTGGGGACGGGGCGCAGTCAGTCGGGGAGAGGCACGACTCCGCCTCCGGGGCGGGGGCCGCCAGGGCCTCCTCAGGGCCGGGACGGGGATACGGGCAGCCCCACCTGTCCGGCGCCCACCCTGGTGGGGGGTTCGACCAGCCACAGTGCGGGGGCAGGTGCAGGGCACAGGCCCGGGGCCCTTCTCCAGCCCATCAGGGGCTCCCCGCACAGAGCCCCCAGCTCCGCCTACCACGACGGCAGCGGAGGCGGCAGGGGGAGCCCGGACACCGCGCTCGGCCCCTACCTGGCCTCTCCCACCCACCTTTTCCCTACGCCGGCCGGGCGCTCAGGCCCCGGCCGAGCCGGTGTCCTCCGGGGCAGCCTGCGGGCGCCAGCGGGCTGCGGGGCCCCGGCGCCCCCGCCCTGCAGGCCGGCCCCTCCGCCGTCCAGGCCGCGCAGCACGCTGTAGTTGATCTTGCTGGAGATCCTCTTCTGCTCCAGCATCTTCTCGATGGCCTCCCCGGCCGTACTGGCCTGGATGGGCTCGCGGCGCCGGCAGGGCTTCTTGGGCTGGGCGGCAACAGCAAAGGGCCCTCAGAGGCCAGCCGGGGCCCAGGGGCCGGGGGCCCGGTCCGCTGCCCACCGCCGGCCCCGCCACCCCGGGCAGAGGGGCCTACGCGGCCCAAGATGAGCAGCCCGCAGGAGCCCCACGCCCCGTGCCCTGAGCACTGGGGGAACGACAGGGCTTCTGGGGGCGGCCGGGCCGCTGCCCAGAGCCAGCCTGACTCCGGCTCTTCACTGGCATGGCTGGGAGCGCGACCGTGCCCAGAGGCGGCCCCGTGCCCGAGGCAGGACTGTCCCCGCGAGGCCTCCGGCCGCCCACCTTGTGCTCCTTATAGACGCCCAGCTCCTTCTCCTTGGCGATCCGCGCTTCTTTCTCTGAAAGCCGAGGGGGCAGGTCAGCGGGGCGGCCAAGCACGAGGGCTGCCCGGGGCGGGCGGCGGCTCACCCCTCTGCTCCCGCAGGTATTCCGCGTTCTCCCGCATCCACAGCTCGGCCTTCACGCGGGCTTCAGCCTCGTTCAGGATGTACTGGGCGGGACAGTGCTGCTCAGGGTGGGCCCAGCCCCGCGCCTGCCGGAGCGAGCAGACCCCGCGCCCCCGCCACAGGCCTGGCTGCTGCATGCAGGGATGGTCCCGCAGGGGACGAAGGCCGCAGAGGCCTGAGAGGACGTGCACCGGGCCCTGCCCATCACCCTGCGGGTCCAGGCAGCGGGATGCCCATTGGGGATCCTGGCATCCTGCGGGGCGGCCTCAGGGGCCCGCTGGGACAGGCCAGGGTGGTGGGGTGTGGGGAGCCAGCGAGAGCGGGCGGGGCAGTGGGGCAGTGGGGCGGGGCCTACCCTGTCGATCTCCAGGTCGTCGATCCCGCTCAGGTCCAGCTCGCCATCCCCTGGGGCACCTTCTAGGGGAAGGGCCATGTCAGCCCACTCAGGGCCTGCCCTGGCCGGATGAGCACAAGCCAGCAGGGCTCCCACCAGCATCCCAGCTGCCCCTCAGCCCCGTCTGCCGGGGCCCCCACATCCTGCTGTCTGGGCGCAGGAGCCGGGCTGGGTGCACAGTCTCCCCCCACGGTGGTCCAGGTCTGGAGGTGGACACAAGGGAGCTCCGGAAGACAGGACCCCGGAAGCCTCTGGGACCAGGCATCCCCCATCAGCCGCTGGCAGAATGGCACAGCACTGCCATAGGCGGGCCCCTGCCCAGTGCCCATCCCCAAGGCCCGGGCAGACCCCAGCGCTCAGGCCCACCCTGCCCCGGCTCTGGGTGCCACACGGAACAGCCGCCTCCTGTGCACCCTGGTGGGGGTGCAGCTGCGCCCCCTCAGCACAGGGTTCCTGCGCAGGGCCAGCCCTCCAGAGGCCACGCTGGCCTGAGGCGATGCCCTCGACACCCCACAGGCCAAGGCTACCGCGGTCCCCAGGCCTGTCAGGTCCCCAGGGAGGGCGGGCACTGTGGCCTCTCCAGCCAAACAGGCCCTGTCCTGAGCTTCCCGGGACGGCTGCCCACTGCCACGCAGCCCCCCTTCTGGGGGAGGATGGGCCCACCCCCAGCCCATGCACCCCACTCACGGGGGTCCCGGCCTGGGGAGGAGATGCACTCCCGGATGGAGTCCGAGATGCCCAGGCTGGCCGCTGTGGGTAGGGGCCCCAGCAGGGCCTCCAGGGCGGGGGGCCTGCCATCCCCCTCGAGGTTGCCAGCCTCCTCTGAGCCCCCTGGAAGGCCACAGAGCTCCCGGTAGAAGTCCTTGTTCAGGTGGCTGGCGGCGACCTCCAGCTCCTCATCCGCGGTGTCCTCGTCACCAAAGACACTGGCTGTGGGGTCCTCTGCAGGGTCTAGGACATGGGGCCACAGCATGAGGCCGGTGAGCCAGGCAGGCGCCAGCTGGACACATAGGCCGTCGGGGACACGCCGCAGAGATGCCAGGGCCCACGAGCATCGGCCCCTGTGCACCCCAGCATGTGAACAGGGGCCTCCAGCAGGCCCTGCCCCGGGGGAGGCAGGTGAGGAGGGTGAGGGCAGGACCCCAGGGACCCGGCCGGGCCCAAGCACCATCCCACGGCGGAGCCCGGGCAGGGCGCATCCCAACGGCAGGACATGGTGGACGGGCCGGCACAGGGCGGCCACGCTGTGCCCCGTGGGGGGCGGCCCAAGCCCTCTGGGCCACGCAGGCCTCGTGGTGATGCCCAGCCCCATGATCCAGCAGCAGCCGGGTGGCCGCCTCGCGGGGGCCGCTGAACGAGCTGGGCAGCACAGCGCCCACTGTCTCCACGGCCGTCCTTTCGGGGGCCTGCGGTCAGCAAGACACCCAGGGACCCAGGCCCAGCGCACAGCGAGGGGCTGAAGCACAGGGAGGTGGGGGCAGGTGGACTCACCCTCCTTGGACAGGCTGGCCAGGGTCCCCTTGGCCCGCGGCCGGCTGTTCTCCAGCTCGCTCTCAATGGCGTCCTGGTAGGTGGAGATCTCCCCTGTGGGGCCAGGAGTCGGTCAGCAGAGGCGCCCAGGGGCTCGGCTGCACGCGCCCGCATGGACTCACCTTCCACCTCCTCCAGCTTCTTGGACAGAACCTGCTCCAGCTGAAACAGAGGGGCCGTGAGCCGAGGGGCGGCCCGGCCCCCGCTGCCAACCCCGCTCCCCGCCCTGCCTCCCGGCCCCACCCGCCTGCCCCACCTGCTTCAGGCGCAGCTTCCTCTGCCCCGCGGTGTAGGACGGCGGGTCGCACTCCTCCTCCAGGTCGATCTTCATGAACTCATCCACGGTCAGCTGGCTGGTGGGGGTGTCCTCGAACTCCGTGAGCCTGTGCGGGGTGGCGCGGCCTGAGACCAGCCCTCCACTGGCTGGCCCCGGGGGCACCGCACCCAGCCACCGCTGCGCCCGCCCCCTGCAGCCAGCCCTTGGGCACTTGGGCCCAGAGGGAGGGGCTGAGCGGGGACCTGGTGCCGCTGCCAGCAGCGGGGGTGGGAGGGGTGTGGGGGGGCTGTCCCCTGCCCACACCGTGCCGGGTGGCCCCACGCTGCACCCCGTGCGAGCAGGCTCCGATGCAGCAGCTTTAAACGGAGACCGGGCTGACAGGCCAGATGGCTCCCCAGCTGTCTCGGGGCGCGCGGGAAAGGGCCTGAGCAGTGGCAGGCTTCGCCGTGAACGCTGAGGGCCGCGACCCCTGTGCAACCGTGGCTGGGACGCAGGCCGGCACCCAGGCCCCAGTAGGCGTCTAGGACGGCCTGGGAAAGGGCGGGGCGGCTCCGGGGCCTGTGGGTCAGCACGCGGGGCGCCTCGGAGCGCGGCTCACCTCTTCCGCAGGGTGGACTCGCACACCTTGACCACGCCGACCACCTCTCTGACGGTCCTGCGGAAGTCGTGCATCCGGGCGGCCACCAGGAGCGCTGCGGGGGCGGCCGAGGCCAGTGGGCGGTGTGAGAAAGCACGAAGCCCCAGGACAGAGGGGTCGGTGCTGGTGCGGAGCGGGGCGCTGCAGGACTGCCCGGGGCGGGCCCTGGGAGGGGGTCTGCCTGGAAGAGGACAAGGCCTCTCGGCCTGGCTGAGCTACTGTGAGCTGGGTGGGACACTAGCGCGGGGCCCCAGGGGCACTGCCCATAGGTGGCTGCACCAGATGGGGACACGCTACTGTCCCCTGGAGACCCGACCACACACGGTCACCACGCTGCGGTAACCCCGGGCCCAGCCACAAGCTCCGTCTCTGAGGACCCTGCTGTCCCCCCACCAGGGCTGTGCAGACCTACGGGAGCAGAGGGCAGCCCAGGGCAGCAGGGCCTGGGCGGTGGCTCTGGAGACTAGCCGCCGCCCCCGGCCACTGACCTGCGCCGCAGAGGCCCGAGGGCCGGCGCCCGGTGTGCATCCAGTCCCTCTTCATCCTCTGCAGGAGCCTCAGGGCCGTCATGGACACCTCGTGGTTCTTGTCCCCAAACTCCAGCAGGTGGGCGAAGCGTGGGATGTACAGGCAAGGGTCTGCGGCAGACACAGGGCCTCAGTGCGCGCCCCACCAGCGGCGGGCAGGAGGGGTCGCCAGGAAACCCGGACCCCAGCACCGGGAGGGGCCTCCCACCTCCACAGGGCGGATCCCGCGCCCCGCCCAGCACCGGAGCTGCGCGCCCCGTGGCCGTCCAGCAGGCGGCGTGTCCATCCACGCGCGCACCGACCGAGCTGCGGACTCATATCCCCCTCCGTCTTGGGGCAAGGGCGCCCCTCTCACGCGGGAAGCCCTGCCCCCAAGCACCAGTAATGGAGAAAGGGGGTCACCAGGGTCCCCGCTGCACAGTGCGCCCGAGGGCCCGCGTCGGGTTCCACGACAGGGGCCCAGGGAAGGGCCGTCTGGACTCCCCAGCTTGACTCACGCCAAGGACCCAGGGTCGTCTTCAGAGGCCCCAGGTGGGCCTGGTCCGGAGGGGCCATGTGCACCTGCACAGGCGGGAGCTGGGCCAGACCTGGCCTCTGTCCCACCACGGGTCACCGCCCAGCAGCCCTCCCAGCTGCCGCGGTGGACCCAGGCTCCCTCCCCCAGGGCAGGGGAGGGAGTTGGTTTAATGTCTCCCGGTGATTTCTTTGCTAAAAAAGATATTTCTAGAATACCAGGCTGTAGGGGCTCCTCCGTGGCCCAGGGTCAGTCTCAGGCTATCGTGGCCTCTGCGGCCCGAGTTCCATACCGGCCAGGGCGCTGACCTGCATGGTGCAGCAGACCCTTCCTGTCTCCCACTGCTCCCCTTGGCAGCGTGTTTCAGTGGCTCCACTGGCTCTGCTCCCCACTCTGTCTCTGGGGAGTCCTCTCACCCCCGCACCTCTGGCCTGCACCCCAGTTCTACATTTACATAAAAAAAAAAAACTCTTAAAAAAAAACACTTGTGGGGCCTCCCCTGGTGGCGCAGGCGGTTGAGCACCACGCTGTGAAGCTGTTCGCAGCCTCTGCAGCACAGGTTCGATCCCGGCTGGCCTACGAGGGTCCCACATGGCGCGGCAGACCTCTCCTGTCTCCCCGCGGCTCCCCTCAGCAGTGTATTTCGTCAGTCTGCCTGTTCTGCTCCCCACTCTGTCTCTAGTAAATCCTCTCACCCTCCTGTGCATCTGGCCTACACCCCAGCTCTTGCATCAGTAAAATAAATAAATCTTTAAAAAAGGAAAAAAAGAAATGTGCTTGTTAAAAAAATTAAAAAAACACTTGTAACTACTTTCAAACAAGCCATCGGGCAGACATCGCCAGCTCCCTGGAGCTGGGCTCTGACACCGAATCTTGGAGCGGAAAACGGTCTTGACCAGACACTGCAAAACGCCGGGGCCGGCTGGGACGCAGGAAACTGGCACGGCCAGGAAGCACAGTGCAGGTGGAGAGCAGGGGCAGCGCCTGAGGGCCGGACCAGGGCCTGCCGGGGGCGCCTCCAGTGGTCGGGGAAGGGCAGGGGGCTCAAGAGAGGGGGCTTTTCGATGGAGAAAACCAAGCGGGATGGTCTGGACTGCCACAGGCCTGCGGCAGGGGTGTGGCGGGTGCCCAGCGTGGGGGGGCGGGCTCACTATAAAAGAAGGCAAGGATCGGGCACAAGCTGCAGAGGGCAGGAAGCTGCCGCCTCGGGGGACGGCCCCTGCCTGCGGGGCCGGTGTTGAGGACGGGGTAACAGCCGCGGGCCGGCTCCCAGTGAAGCCCACACGGGCCTCCACCGGGTGGACTCAGCAGGGGCTCTCAACTTGTCCCCCAGAGAGCCAGGAGCGGCTGCGGAGAAGGCCCAGGCAGAGCGCTGGGGGGGGGGGGCGCCGAGGAGCCGGGTGGTCCCCCACCCTGACCAGCGAGAAGCAGCCTCTGAGGTCATCGTGGGCTTAAGCAGCGGCTGGAACTAAGTCACCAGCCCGAGGTCCAGGCGCCAGCTTAGATGTCACGAAGCGAGGTGAGCCGGCCACAGCGCCCCAAGGCGCGAGGACAGGGCGCCCAGCCGAGGAAAAGAACCTCCGCCAGGGTGCGGCACAGGGGGGCCGCGAGGCCAGCGCAGGGCGTGAGGGGCCGCCGGGTGACCGCGAGCACGGTCACTGCCGGAGAACCCGGCCGGCGCGCACGCCCGGGCCGCAGGGCTGGAGGGGAGCCCGGGACCTGCTCGAGCCCGCGCCCGCCGCGCCAGAGGGCCGCGGAAAGGCCGCCGCGCCGCGGAGCCCCCTCGGTCCAAAGGGAGCCAGGGCAGGCCGCGCGCACCACGGGCAGCGGGACTCGCGGCCCCCGCGTCGCCGGGCCGGGGCGGGCGGGGCGGGCGGGGCGGGGCCGGGCGTGCGCCCTCGCGCGGGGGCGGAGCCGCGCGCCGGGGGCGCCGGGGCCGGGGCGCGGGCACGCCGTGACGCGGGCGCGCGGGCGGGCGCTGCGGGCGGCGGTCGGCCGAGCAGCGCCGGCGCTGGGCAGGCGGCCGCCGCGCCCCATGCTGCTGCCCCTGGCCTGCCTGCACGGCCGGGTGGCGCAGTGCCTGGCCGCGCTGCTGGTGCTGGCCCCGCCGCTGCCCCGGCCCCGGCGCGGCGCGAGGGCGCACGGAGCGCCGCCCCGCCCGGGCGCCGAGGCCGCCCCCGCCGCCCCGCCCGCGAAGATGGCCGCGGAGCTGTGCCCCGCCGCGGGCGGCGCGGCCGCCACGGCCACCGACATCGCCAACAGCAACGCGGCCGCCGCCGCGCCCGGGAAGGGCCCGCCCCGCGCCCCGCCGCCCGCGCCGCCGCCGCCCGCGCCCGCGCCCGCGCCGCCCGCGCCCGACAACAACAACGCGGACGGCGCCGGCTGGCAGGCCTGCCGGCCCACCCTGCGCGAGAGGTGAGCGCCCCCCGCCCCGCCGCCCCGCCCCGCCCCCGCCTGAGCCTCTGCCCCTTGCAGGAACGCGCTGATGTTCAACAGCGAGCTCATGGCCGACGTGCACTTCGTCGTGGGCCCCCGGGCGCGGCGCGCAGGGTGCCCGCCCACAAGGTCGGTAGCCGCGGGCCGGGCCGCGGGCACGGCCTGACCTCTGCCCGGGTGGCGCGGCCGGAGGCGGGAGGGCCCCGGCTCAGGGCAGCGCTCTCCCCGCAGTACGTCCTGGCCGTGGGGAGCTCCGTCTTCTACGCCATGTTCTACGGGGACCTGGCGGAGGTCAAGGCGGAGATCCACATCCCCGACGTGGAGCCCGCCGCCTTCCTCGTCTTGCTGAAGTGAGTAGCCGGCGCGGGCGGGGCGCTCCTGCTCCGGCCGAGCGCGCCCTGACGCGTCCCCGCCCGCCAGGTACATGTACAGCGACGAGATCGACCTGGAAGCGGACACGGTGCTGGCCACGCTGTACGCGGCCAAGAAGTACATCGTCCCTGCGCTCGCCAAGGCCTGCGTCACCTTCCTCGAGACCAGCCTGGAAGCCAAGAACGCCTGCGTCCTGCTCTCCCAGAGCCGGCTGTTCGAGGAGCCGGAGCTGACCCAGCGCTGCTGGGAGGTCATCGACGCGCAGGCCGAGATGGCCCTGCGGTCCGAGGGCTTCTGCGAGATCGACTGGCAGACGCTGGAGATCATCGTGCGCAGGGAGGCGCTCAACACCAAGGAGGCGGTGGTCTTCGAGGCCGTCCTGAGCTGGGCGGAGGCCGAGTGCAAGCGCCAGGGCCTGCCGGTCACCCCGCGCAACCAGCGGCGCGTCCTGGGGCCGGCGCTCTACCTGGTGCGCATCCCCGCCATGACCCTGGAGGAGTTCGCCAACGGCCCCGCCCAGTCGGCCGTGCTGACGCTGGAGGAGACGCACAGCATCTTCCTGTGGTTCACGGCGGCCAACAAGCCCCTGCTGGACTTCCCCCTGGCCAAGCGCAAGGGCCTGGCGCCCCAGCGCTGCCGCCGCTTCCAGGCGTCCGCCTACCGCAGCAACCAGTGGCGCTACCGCGGCCGCTGCGACAGCATCCAGTTCGCCGCCGACCGCCGCGTGTTCATCGCGGGGCTGGGCCTGTACGGGTCCAGCGCGGGCCCGGCCGAGTACCGCGTCAAGATCGAGCTCAAGCGCCTGGGCGCGGTGCTCGCGCAGACCCTGACGGGCTTCGTGTCAGACGGGTCCAACGGCACCTTCCCAGTGTGGTTCGAGCACCCGGTGCAAGTGGAGCAGGACGCCTTCTACACGGCCAGCGCCGTGCTGGACGGCAGCGAGCTCAGCTACTTCGGGCAGGAGGGCATGACGGAGGTGCAGTGCGGGAAGGTGACCTTCCAGTTCCAGTGCTCCTCAGACAGCACCAACGGCACTGGGGTGCAGGGTGGGCAGATCCCCGAGCTCATCTTCTATGCCTGACCTGGCGGGGGTGCGCTGCAGGCAGGGCCAAGGCCAGGGCCCAGCTGGCCGCATGCGCAACAGGGCAGGTCGCTGTGGAGGGCAGATCTGGGGGGTGCGAGGCAGGCCCTTCCCTGCGGTGACAGCCACGCTGCCGCCCCTCGCCCCCCAGGCCTCCCCTCGGCGTACGGGGAGGGAAGACGCCCTCCAGGTCCTTGTGCTATTTGAGGGGTTTTCATAATAAAGTTTTGACCAGGAGCAAGGGGCCGCGGACGGACGGCTGGCTGCAGCGCCTCACCCCAAGGGCCCTTCGCACGTAGAAACGCTAGGCCGTGGGGAGCCCTGCCCTCCGGTTCACCTGGCTAGTGCCCCCGGGAGGCTGGAGTGGCCTGTGCAGCATGAAGGGCCGCCCCTCCCCGGCCCCCCCAGGCCAGGCCGAGGCCCTCACCTATGGCAGGCGCGTTGATGCACAGCTCTCTGGCCAGGAGCAGGAAGGTCTTCCCCAGCACATACACGTTCACCTGTCAGGAGGGAGCCGGCGCGGTGGCACCTGGGTTCAAGGAAACCTCTGCTCTTTCCCCCAAAACGTGTTTCCCCGTCCGGCTGTCAAGGAGCCGAGGGAGGGCCTGGCGCGCGGGCACCTCTGCCGGCCCTGCCAGCCCCCGGAGGTCCGGGGCAGGACACCCCACCGGCTCAGCCCTGCCCCTCCCGCACGTGAGTAGCTCCAGGTCGCTGTGCTGGGCGAGAAGGGGTCCCCGTCCTGCCAGGGGGCCCACACGGGAGCCCATGTGGGCCTGTCTCCTCCAGGTCCTGCTGGGGCCTCACCTGCGCCCCAGCTGGCCAGACACCGGGGCCCGCCCCAGTGGGAGGCCAAAGCCAGCTGCACATCCAGCCTGAGCAGGGGCTCTGGCCGGCACTCCCCAGGCCAAGGAGGGCCATCACCCGGCCGGACACCGGCCACGAGGGGTGTGAGGAGCAGCGGGAAGCCCTCCCGCTTCCTTCAAGCTAAGTCCTTCCTGGGCAGTTATGGGGAACAAGGCCCTGGACCTGAACCCAACAGGGCTCTGGACGCTGGGCTTTCTGCTCACACCCAGCCCCTCAGGCGCTGAGAAGCCACCCATACCCCCCACCTGAGTGACACTGAGCCCCGGGAGCCTGGGGTCTCATGCTGGGTCCACCTGCCCCTGCCACCCAGGGCCCCCAGGCTGGGCCACTGGAAAGGAGCAGACCGAGGGAGGCTCAGGGTGGGCTGGGAGGCCCCGGCTGGGCCTGAGGGCTTCCCGCTCCCCGGCCAGGGAGCCTGGCCTCTCCTTGCAGGCAGGGCAGCCCGGCCACAGAATGGACCCACACCCATGTCCACTGTGGCCCCCCCCCGCCCCCCCCCCGGGATTCACCAGCCCGAGCCCCTCCCTCCCGGCCAGAGCCGCCTACCTGGAGCAGGTCACTGAGGTCCAGGAGCATGTCTGGGCAGGGTCAAGGAGCACTAGCTCCGAGGCACCCCCCCCTCCCCGCAGCAGTGCCCAAGCGGGGCCCAGATCGTGAAGCTGGTGGGCAGCTCCGGCCACCAGCACCTTCCCGGATACCTCTGAGCTACTCCCAGGCCCCAGGGCAGACGAGGGTCTTGGAGTCCTGAGCCTCACATGGTCTGGACGGGAATCAGTCTCGCTGAGGGCCACGCAGAACCCCACGGGCATCAGGGCTCAGGGGGACAGAGGCCAGGCCACCCCTGGGGTGCGGCCACAGGGCCCTGGCGTGGGCCCGTTCTCGCTCTCAGCAGGTGCACAAACAGGTTGTGGCCAGGCCCTCAAGGCCAGGAGACAGACACAAGGGGCGGGCCCCACGCCCCTTCCCATGGAGGGGATGGCTGCAGCCGCCGCCCACCGCGGGCACTACTGTCAGGGCCGGGAGCTGCCAACCGCATCAGTGGACAAAACCTGACGATCATTTTAAAGCATTCAAAGACCAGGTGAAACAGACAGGCTGGCAGGGGTCCCGGGGGCAGTCTGGGGAGCGGCCGGCTCAAAGGATACGGGGCGTGCCCTCGGTGCGGCACACCAGGTAGAGGCAGGCTGCCACCACGTGCGCCATCTTCCGGCCGCGGGTCAGGTGCTTGCTCACGGCCATCTTGAAGAAGTTGAAGGCCGTGTCCAGGCAGTGCTGGTTCAGCTGCAGCTGGTTTCCCAGGTGGTGGATCTGACGCCGCCCTGGGACACGCCACAAAGCATCACGGCTGTCCCCACCCGGGCCACGCTGCCCTTCACGGCCGCCCTCCACAGCAGGTTCCTGGGGGTGCCTGCGGCCCCACAGCCAAGGCCCCCCGTTGGCCCAGCCGGCCGGCCGCCCACCCAGGGCCTCAGCCCAGACACTGCCCCCACACCTTCCTGGGCCGGCCAGTCTCTGGAAGAGGCCCCGGAGTGGAGCCGCGGCCAATGAGCAGAGACCAGGCGGGGAGGCCACGCCAGGCACCTGCCTGTCAGCCTCTGGGCCCCACCGCCCCCACGTGGGGCTGCCCTGTGGCCACAGGAGGCCAACCACCCCACCCTCGCAGGAGCCCCGAGATGAGCCCGTGCATGGGGACTCCCCAACTCCAGATGGAGCCTCTGCTGCGCCAGCCAGGCCACCCACGATCCCCCAGGGAAATGCCGCTCCCACCCTGCGAGAAGAGGACAGGGTCCGGGGGCCAGGCCAACCGTGCCCCGTGGCTGCTCACAGTGACCAGTGCCGGAAGTGGGCCAGGGGCCAGCACCAGGGGCGTCGGCAGCGAGGGCTCTGCTGAGCTGCCCGGTCTCAGTGCCCCACAGGCCAGCAGCTTTGGGCTCCAGCCAGGCCACTCAGCGCCCAGAATCGCAACCCGCATGGCTGGGGCTCCTTCAGGGCTCCCCAGCACAGGGCCTGAGCTCGGGGAGCCCGCCGGCAGCACCCCCCGAGGGCTCACTTGCTGGCCAGTGCACCACCAAGCCCAGCCTCGGGGAGGCCCCAGGGCCAGCCTCAGCCGCCACCCGCAGGACAGTCAGCACCGGCACACCACGCCCGCGAGGTGACCGCCTGCAAGGCCAGCCGGCCTTCCCTGGAGCCCGGGGAGCCTGGAACCCAGACTGTGGGCCGGGGAGCCGCACTGGCCCTCTGCCCCCAGCACTGTGGCTGCACCCCAGGGATGGCCTGGCTTCTGCCCCCCTGAGCCCCAGCTCAGGACTCTTAGCCTCTCCTGAGGGCCTTTGGAGCCTGGGGGCCCTGGGGGCAACCGTGGGGCTTACACTAGAAAAGGACCGAGAGGGGCGACAGGCCAAGAGGGAGTGGGCAGGAGCTGCAGAACAGTCTCCAGATGAGCTACAGGGTCTGGCCACTGCGAACTCGATGGCAGCAAAGAGGGCAGGCCACAGAGACAGCATTCCCTGCCAGCACCCCGGGCCAGTGGGGGCTCCGCCTGTTGGACAACCGTCAGTGGTCTGGCTGACCAGGGGCCGGCAGCCCAGGAACCAAAGACCTGCCGAAACCCAAATGCCCACCGGCCATTTGCCAGTGACCGGCCAGCAACCCCCCAAAGGAAGCGCAGGCAGGAGAGCGGTCAGTGGTCTTCCGGGCAGCAGCTGACCTGGCAGGGGCCAAGGCCGGCCTCACAGGATGGGCACTGACCACAGGACACCAGGAGTGAGTGGCCCTGGCTACCGCAGCACCCTCCAGAAAGACGCCACCCCCAGGGCTTCTGCAGAAGGTGCTGCCTCAGGTGTGGGGGCAGGGCCTGGGCAGGTGCAGTGACTGCAGGCAGCAAGGTGTGGGGGCAGGAGCACGGGGAGGGGGCCACCCTCCCGGCCTCTGGCTAGAGTTCGCAGGGATCTAAACGCAGCCCCCAAGCAGGACAAGCAGCTCCAAGGGCACAGCTCAAAGCACCAAGAGGCGTGGCGGGAGACACGAGAGTCAGGAAAAGGAAAGGCCATGCCAGCTTTGGAGAAAGAGTGACAGACGGGGGGAGCAGACCCAGGGCAGGAAAGCCCCCCAGCGGCCCTCCACCCCCAACCCCAGCCCCACTGAGCGCCCCCAGCACAGCCCCACAGCCGAGGGCCACCCCGCTCCTGCCGGCTGAGTCTTCCCAGCAGAGCCCCCCCAGTACAGCCCCACATCTGCAGACCGAAAAAGAAGCAGGGGTCAGGGCGGGGAGCAGGTCAGGCAGGAGGACACGCCGGTGCAGGTCTGAGGCGCAGCCAGAGCACGAGCGGCTAAAACCCACAGCACAAGAGGCGGCACCTCCAGACCCGTCTGCGCCCACTCACGGGCAGCGAGAAGCAGAACTAGGGCCAGACTGGCCTGGTCGGCGCCCCAACTCTCGCCCTCAGGCCGGCTGGACACCCGGGCAGGCCCCTGCTGCCCCACACCCCACAGGCCCGGGCTCGAGTGAAGACATCTCCACTTATCCAATGAAAACTTGAAGACAGCGAAGGGAAAAGTCCCCAGACTGCGAATCCCAGCGAATGAAGCTCGACCCGGACCAGAGAAACCCCGAGGGGCAGTGTCGGGCCCCGCCCTGCCCGCCCGCCGGCGCCGGTACCGTTCTGCAGGGTCTGCGCTCTCGACTCCTTGCCCAGGCTCACGTGGAAGCCGCCCCCCAGGGTCGGGGTCTTGCCAGCACCTGGAACACAGAATGGGAGGTCAGGGGGACCCGAGGGGCTGCCCCCCACCCCACGAGCCCGTGCTCTCCGGAGCCACCCGTCCCCCCTGCCCCCACTTGGCCTCCACCTGGAGCCACAGTGGTCCTGGTTTCCATGCACAAGGCCTCCGCCCCACCTCTCCCAGGAGTGAGGGAGCATGGGGGCAGGCTCGGGGGACATAGCACACCACCCCAGCTCAGGGAGGGACACGTGGGGCACCAGAGGCTCCGAAGTGACAGGACTCTGAAGCCAGGTCTTTGCCGTCGACCACCAGCACAGCAAGTGGACAGTGGGCCGGTCCTCTGGGGTACCATGGTTCCGGTGTATCCCTGATTGCCCCCAAGTCCCAAACCAATGCCAGCAACTGTTAAAAGATCTCAGCAAGGCTGGGGCTCCCTGGTGGCGCCAGGGGTCAGTCTCAGCACTATGAAGCTATCGGCAGCCGCTGCGGCCTGAGTTCCATCCCTGGCCAGGGAGCTACCCACAGGGCGCAGCAGACCTCTCCTGTCTCCCCGCTGCTCCCCTCAGCAGTGGGTTTCAGCGGATCCGCCTGTTGTGCTCCCCACTGTGTCTCTGGGGAGTCCTCGCACTCCCGTACCTCTGGCCTGCACCCCAGCTCTTGTACGCATCAATAAATAAAACAAATCTTAAAAAAAAAAACCACTGGGATTTGGACGCTGACTGCGTATCTCTCCGCACGACGGCCACTGCGGTGCACAGCCGCCCGCACCCGGGACCGCGGGGTCTCTCTCCCTCTGCCGCGCGCATCCAGCTCTGACCCCAGGTCTTAGTCGGTCGTGAACAGGCGTGATTTCAGTGCCGAGACAACATGGACCAAGTCCTCAAAACCATCAACTCGCCCAAAGTAAAACAGCATCTGAAATACAACCATCCCCTCCAGCCATTCCAGAAACCAAATTCGCCGCTTAAAACCTTCTGGAAAAGAAGCCCCGGGCACAGGTGGCCAGGAGGGCCGGCGCTACTGGACATTCAGAAAGAAACAGCACCGACTCCGCGCCATCTTCCTGGAAGCGGAGGGAACATCTCCCAGCAGCACCTCGGCAGCGGGGCCAGACACAGACGTCGCGCAACTGCAGCCACACAGCCCGCCCGGTGAGCGCGGAGCCCCCGCCCGGAGCCCAGTCTGGAAACCAGTTACGCTCAGGGGCTGTAAGAACATTGTATCCGCAGCGCCGCCCGGGCACAGGCCGCACGAGTTGGCCCGGCCAGGGAGCAGCCCACAGGGCGCCGCAGACCCGCCGGTCTCCCCGCTGCCCTCTCAGCAGTGGGTGTCCGTGCATCCGCCTGTCCTGCTCCCCGCTCTCTCTGGGGAGTCCTCTCACCCCCACGGCTGGCCTGCGCCCCAGCTCTGGTGTGCATAAATAAATAAACCTTAAAAAAAACAAAAACATTGTATCCGCTGATAGAGAAAAAGCATCTCAGGAGAGCCAGGCGCCCTTATGAAAAGCCCCCGGGCCAGGGGCCGAGAGGGACGGTGGCCACCTCTGCCTGACCAAGACCCGGACCCCAGCCTCAGGGGGAGCGCCTGGGCGGGGCCAGAGGCGGAAGGAAGAAACGGAACGGCCCCCCCTACACACAGCACCCTCCCCGGGAGACCCAGGCCCGCGGCGGGCGCGCTGGGAAGGTCACCGGTGACGGCGACGGCAGCCCCGGCCCACGCTGGCTCCGACAGGCCCGGCCCGGCCTCCGGGAGAGGACAGGACAGGGGCGGGCGCTGAAAACCACCGGTCCCGAGCAGGGAGAAGAGCCGCCAGGCCGCCGAGACGAGTCGCTGCTCCCGGGGAAGACCAAGGCGCGAAGGCGTCACATCTCCCGGGGAACAGGACTTCAGCGCGGCCCGCGGCCCGTCACAGGCGTCTGTGTGACACTCCGCGGCCTCCCGGTGGCCGGGTCGGTCTCAGGCTGTCACCGCCCGGCCCGAGTCCGTCCCGGCCAGGGAGCTGCCCGCAGGCGCGGCCGACCCCGCGGCCCCCTCGGCAGGGGGCGTCCTCGGTCGCCCGCTCTGCCCCCCGCTCTGCCTCTGGTGGGTGCTCTCACCCCGCACCTCCGGCCTGCACCCCAGTTCTTGTGTGCAGGGATAAAGACATCTTAACAAATCAGATTTACTTTCAAGCGGGAGATTCTCATCGGAGAATATCTGCATTTCAACTTTAAAACAACAGTTTAAAAGCAACGTGCGGTCTTTCGGGGGCGCTGCTCCCACACGCGGTGAGGAGAACAACGGGATGAGGGCGCACCCGGGCCTCCCCGGGGCAAGGGGGTCCGTCTCAGCGCTGCCCCCGCCGAGGAGTCCGCCCCGGCCAGGTGCTGCCCGCCGGCGCCGCGGACCCTCCGTCTCCGCGGCCTGGGCTTCGGGGGTCCGCCCGCTCCGCTCCGCGCTCGCCGGTGGGGAGTCCGCTCACCCGCCGCGGCCTGCACCCCCTCTTCCACACACAGAACACAAACAAACTTTCTCTCGGCCCCACCCCGCCGGGCCTCTCCCGCCAGGGGAAGCGGAAGGACGACGCGCCGCAGCCGCGCAGGGGCCGCACCGTCCCCGGCCTGGAGACGGAGGGAGGCCCCGGGGGCGCGCCCGGCCGCCAAGGCGCCCGCGGGAGCGGCGAGGCCTGCGGGGGACCGCGCGGCACCTGCGGCACCTGCCAGGCCGGACGCTGCGCGCGGCCCCGTCCCCCCCAAACGCCGACACCCCGGGCGACAAAGGCACCGGCTCCGCGTGCGGCGAGGGCTTCTCGCCGTGACAACAAACAAGAGCCGGGGGCGCGGGGCCCCGACCCCAGCGCCCCCCGGGCCGGCTCCGCGCCGCGCCCCCGCCGGGACCCCCGCCCCCGCCGCGCCCCCGACCCCCGCCGCGCCCCCGCCGCGCCCCCGCCGGGACTCCCGCCCCCGCCGCGCCCCCCGCCGCGCCCCCGCCGGGACTCCCGCCCCCGCCGCGCCCCCGCCGCGCCCCCGCCGCGCCCCCGCCGGGACTCCCGCCCCCCGCCGCGCCCCCCGCCCCCGCCGCGCCCCCCGCCGCTGCGCCCCCGCCGCGCCGGTTCCGTAGAAATGACTGAGTCTTGGAGAGGCCCGGGAGCGCGGGGAACTGCCTCAAGTTGCACGCGCGCCCCCCGCGCCCCCCGCGCCCCCGCCCGCGGGAACCGGCCCTCCGGGCAGAGAAAGTAAATAACCGACTCGGGCCGCGTCCGCGCCCGGCCTGCGGGCCTGCCGGGCGGGGAAGCGACCCCGGGGGGCGCGGGACGGCCCCGCACAGCGCGGCCCGCCCGGCCCGGCCCGGGGGTCCCGCGGGAGCCCCGCCCGCCGCCCGCCGCCCGCCGCGCTCACCGTCCAGCGACACGAACTGGCCGACGGCCGAGGAGCCGCCGCCGCTGGTCTCCACGAACTGCACCTCGGACACGATGATGTTGTCCTCGAGCACCGAGCCGCAGGCGGTGCACACGGCGTCCCCGCGCGCCGCGTCCAGCTCGATGTCGGTGCCCCCGCACGCGCGGCACTCGCGGCCCGTCATCGCGCCGCCCGCGCTCCGCGGCCGCCGGGCCGGGGGCGGGGCCCCGAGGGGCCCGCGCCCCAAGTTCCCGGGCGCCCCGGGCCCCGCGCGCCGAGGGGCGCGTCCGCCCGCCGAGGGCCGGCGCCCGAGGTCCCGCCGCCGCGGGCGCCCGCTCCGTCCGCCGAGGGGCCCGCGCGCGAAGTTCCGGCGCCCCGGGGCCCCCGCCCGCCGCCTCAGCCGCCTCAGCCGCCCCAGCCGCCCCAGCCGCCCCAGCCGCCCCAGCCGCCTCAGCCGCCTCAGCCGCCTCAGCCGCCTCAGCCGCCTCAGCCGCCTCAGCCGCGAGACTCTCGCGAGGCCGCCGCCGCCGAGCGCCGATTCGCAGCGGCAGATTCGCCGCGCGCGCCGCGCCGCGCCTCCCGTTGGCAACGGCCGCGCCCGCGGGGCCCGAACGGACACCAGGGCTGCGCGGGAAGCGAGGACTCGAACCCGCGACCCGCCGCCCGGGCACGGCCAGGAAAGCGCGAAGGGGCGAGCCCGCGGCCGGCCGGGGGACCGCGGCCGGAGGCGGGGCCGGGGCCGGCGGGGGCGGGGCCGCGGGGGTGAGCACGGGCCGGGCCGCGTCTCGGAGGGGGCGGGGCCAGGGCCTGGGCGGGCCCTAGGGGGTGAGCGCGGGCCGGGCCGGGGCGGGGCGGGGCCTAGGGGTGAGCTCGGGGCGGGGCGGGGCGGGGCGGGGCCTAGGGGTGAGCTCGGGCCGGGGCCGGGGCGGGGCGGGGCGGGGGCGGGGCCTTGGGCGGGGCCTCGGCGTGAGCTCGGGAGGGGGCCGGGGCTGGGCGGGGCCTCGATGCGGGGCCGGGGCGGGGCCTGGGCGGGGCCTCGGGGTGAGCGTGGGCCGGGGCGGGGCCGGGTCTGGCCGGGCCTTACTGAGGGAGCCTGGCTTTGCTCGTGGTCGGGGGATGGCCGACCTCAAGGCCCCCCGGGCACAGCCCGTGCTCCTCCACGCGGGGCCGGAGCCCCATGCGTCCCACCCAGTTGTTGTCCAGGACGCCCCGCGTGACAGCAGCTGTGCTCGCAGCGACGGTCAGGGCTCAAATGTCTGCGCTGCCCCTTGCGGCTCCCAAACACCCGACCTACCTGATGCAGGTATACAGAACTCCATACTTTTGGGGGCCAACGGGGGCGCAAAGTGACGTCGGAGAGCCCACTCCCTGGGGAAGCCCAGTCCTAGCCCATAAACTGCCCCAGCGTCCAGTCCCCCTGGCCCCGCCAAGTATCAAGGTTTCTCAGGTAACTTGAGAAGCTGATCCCATAGCTGATGCTATAGACACCTGGGAGACAGCAGCTACAGGGCAGGAGGCCGGATGGGGGGACAGAGCGGCCGCCCCCCGCCCGGGCCCCGAGAGCCGCCAAAAAGCCCCAAGAGGCCAAACACCAAAACCAAGGGCTGCGGCGGCACAGCGCCGTGGGGGCCTGTGGCCGAGCCAGCACAGGACGGGCTCGCGGGGGACGGGCCACCGTCTGCGGGTCTCCCCCGAAGATCCCTGGGGCCGTGGGCTCCAGGGGGGGCCGTGGGCTCCAGGGACGGCCTCCCTGGGGTGTCTCCCAGCAGGAGACATGAGCCCACGTGGCCTGCGGGGCGGCCGCCTCCCCCGGGAGCCTCTGCAATGGCCACACCGTTCGGCAGGCGTCTGGGCAGCCCCGGCCGGCAGGGACGCCCCGTTGGCCCCAGAGGCGTGTCGGGACACCCTAGTCCGCCGCCCAGGAGCTGCCAGGCAATGCCAGCAGCAGCCGCGCTGTGAGCCCCGCCGGGCTGCGGGTCCTCTCGGGCCGAGACAGGATGGAGGCCCTGGCCCTCCCCAGGGCTGCTTCTTTCTTCTTGGGGGCCAGGAGCAGAGTCTCCCCGTCTTTCTTCTTCCTCTGGAGGCGGGAACCGCCTCTCCTATGCAGGGACCAGGGTTGTCTCTGATCCTCAGCTCCGGCCCACCCTGGCTTATATCCCCTCTCAGGTGCCCCCTCAAGTCTGATTGGACCGTGTTTCAGTCCTGTGGCTGATTGGGCCATTGAGCACCAACTGGTTTAGAGCTCACAGCTGACTAGTCCATCCCACCTCCGGGAAGTACAGTTACATAAAGGGGCTCTGGGGTGCAGGGAGAGCCCAGCATAGCTGCTGCCCACCAAGGGGCTGTGTCCAGGTAACCCTGGAAGAGGTGACCCAAATATAGTCAACACAGTCCTCGAACACCCGGGCTCCCGAGCAGCGCCCGCGCCCAAGAGGATGAGAGAACGGGCCCACATGGAGCAGGGGCCACCACAGCTGCGGGGGTGACATCAGTACGGGCCGGCTTTCCTTCTCTGCTGTGTGTATTCTGTTAAAAATAGAAAACTCGGGCCTCCCCGGAGGCACAGCGGTTGAGTGCTGGGTTGCAAAGCTGCCCGCAGCCTCTGGAGCGCTGGTGCGATCCCCGGCTGCCAGGCGAGGGCCCTACATGGAGCGCAGACCTCTCCTGCCGCCCGCTGCTCCCCTCAGCAGTGTACTTCGTCAGTCTGCCTGTTCTGCTCCCCACTATGGCTCTGGTGAATTCTCTCACCCTCCCGCGCTTCTGACTGTACCCAGTGCTTGTATAAATAAATAAATAAATTTTTAAAAAATAATACAAATAGAAAACTCAGGGCCTCCCCAGAGGTGCAGTGGGTTGAGCGCAGCCTATGGAGCTGTCCATAGTCTCTGAAGCGCAGGTTCAATCCTGGCTGGCCAGGGAGCTACCCACATGGCACGGCAGACCTCTCCTGTCTCCCCGAGGCTCCCCTCAGCAGTGTGTTTCAGTGGATCTGCCTCTTCTGCTCCCTACTCTGTCTCTGGTGAATCCTCTCACCCCCACCCCCGCACCCCTGGTCTGTATCCCAGCTCTTGTATAAATAAAATAAATCTTTTTTTTAAAAAAAAAAAAGACTCCCTTTCTGGCCCTGGAGCCCAGCTGAGTCCAGGCTGGCAGAAGGCTCTGCCTCCTGTTTTCTGTTTGGTGTGACGCTCACACCTCCGGGCTCTGCTGCCCCAGCCCCCGGGCCAGACACTCCTGCTGGCCAGCGCACCACCTTGGGCTCCCGCTGTCCTGGAGGCGATCCCCCACCCAAATCTCCCCAGACCGGGGGCAGACGAGGAGAGGCCGGCCCGCCCAGAGCCAGATCCTCGGCCGGCCCCACCTCTGGCTCCTGCTCTGGAGCCCACAGAGGCCTTGTCCACCCTGGCTCTTCCCCCTGGCTCTGGCTCCCAGCTTGCGCCTTCTGGAACCCCTCCCCAAGTCCGCGTCTCCGTCTGTCACCCCCCAACAAGCTCTGGGGACACTTTAAACAGGCAGCGGGCAGCTGGCGAGAAGTCCTGGCTGGGGTGCGGGCTGCCATGCTGCCTGCTGTGTGCTGCAGGCGGGCTCCCAGCTCCGTCTCTGAGTCAGGCCCAGGACCTGCATCCCGGCGCTGTGGGGAGGGGAAGGGGACCCTCTACTTACTGGACACATCGATTATGTTTGCAGATAACCCAGAGCACACAGTCCAGATGCCGTTGGCCACCCCCTGGTGTGACTCGAGCCCTGTGTCCACCACAGAAGCCCAGGGCAGAGCCCTGCCTGCCTCCCGGCCTGGCCAGCCAATACCAGGTGCTGTCTTCTGTCCACAAGGGCAGGTGGCGCCCATGGGCAGCTCAGCTGGCTAGATGTGCCTGCCCTGGACCAGGAGGAGACCTGACTCCTCTCGTGGCTCCTTAGAGGCCCAAGGTCTGCAGCCCACTGGCCCCCAGGCCTGAGGATATCCCGAGGCCAGGGGAGACCATTCTGAAACGTGGCTGCCTGCCTGCCAGGAAAGGTGCTTCCCCTGTGAAGGGAAGACAGTCTGGGGACACCCTGACATGGGCAGGGAGCAAGTAGGGTCACCCACCTCTCCTCTCACCAGCCAGGACATATCTGAAGAGCCAAGCTAAACATATGGAGTCTTGATGGAGACTTGGGGCAGGGGGCTGCTCACCCCTCATTGGGAGGACGTGGCCTGCTGTTCAGGGTGCCTCCCCTGACCACCCTGCGCAGGGGCCTGCAGGGGCGCCTGGTCTGGGGTGGCCGGCCGGCTGTCCCAGCGCAGCACGTGGGCCTTGCCCGCAGAGGCTGAGCGAGCTGGGTGCGGGCGGCCTGGCTATGTGGACTGAGCCCGGCTCCCACCAGCAGGCGAGTCTGGGAGGCAAGGCTTCAGTGGATGGGGGGATGGGACCGCCTGGGGAACGAGCGAGCGCGAGCGGGGCTGATCCCACCACAGGCCGGGGCACGCCCACTGCCGGCTGCCTGCACCGCCATGGAGACCCAGAGCCGCGCAGACACCTGGCCATCCAGCCTCGCCCCTTCTTCCCGCAACGCCGCGCCTGAGGGGGCCGAGGGCTGAGTCCTGCAGTGGCCCGACTGGATGCCAGTGGGCTGGTGGGCAGACTGGGCCCCGGGCGGCCAGCGTGGGTGGCTTTGACCACAGAGATGGGTTCTCTCCTTGACGTGTCTGTTCCTGGCACAATGAACCCCGCTTATTGCAGACAACACATGAAGTGCAGCTGAACCCACCATCCAGACCATTTCTCAAGCCCTGATCGGTCTCCCACCTCTCAGTGTTTCCCCCAAACTTGAAAATGGGCGTCTCACAGGCAGTCGCTGCAGAGAGACATGGCACGTGCGTACACACCTGCCCCACGGCCCATCTCCGCCTGGGTGTCCCGGCCAGCGACCACTCGCACTCCCACTGGGGCCTGCTGGTCAGGGTCAGCCGCCCACGCGTGTCCAGCCCGCCGGGAGCTGGCAGGGCAGAGGCAGGACCCAGCCGGCCCCTGTCACTGCTCACCAGGGCGGTGCAAGAGGCTCACCTGGGCCCCCTGGCCAGTGACACACCTCAGGGCCTCCTGGCTGAACTTCAGATGGACCTCAAGATTCTAGCGTGGGGGCCTCCCCGGTGGCACAGCGGTTGAGCGCTGGGCTGCGAACCTGCCCGGCAGCCTCTGCAGCGCCAGTTCGATCCCCGGCTGCTCCCCGGCCACCGGAGGAGGGTCCCACATGGCGCGCAGACCTCTCCTGCCGCCCGCTGCTCCCCTCAGCAGTGTGCTTCGGTCCTTCTGCCTGCTCTGTTCCCCGCTCTGGCTCTGGTGAATCCTCTCACCCTCCCGCGCTTCTGACTGTACCCAGTGCTTGTATAAATAAATAAAATAAATCTTTAAAAAAAAAAAAGATTCTAGCGTGGGGCAGGTCCCTGAGGGAGCCACCCAGTAGCCTTCAAAGGGCTGATGCAAGGGGTTGGCCCAGCTGGTGCTTTGGGTGGCCATCCCCCCAGCTCCCGGGATCCTCCCCTGTTCCCCACATCCAGGGAGCCCAGGGTGCACCGAGAGGGCAGCCCTGGCCACGCACCCTGCAGCCGTGAGGAGCCCAGAGGCCTGGCCTGTCCTCCCCCTGGTGGTGGCTCCTTTGCCTCGGTTTCCTGCCATGTCTCGCCTGGGATGGGGCTGCCGGGCATGTGCGGGGCTCCAGGCCGGCCTGGGAGGCGACTCTCCCACAGTGTGGCCCACACGTGCTGGCCCCAGCCTCTCCTGGGTGGCCACGGCAGCCCATCCGCGGGACTGCAGCTGTGACGTCCCGGCCCTACACTGAGGCCAAGCGGCCGGTGCCAGTCGGCTCCAGCACCAGTGGAGCCTGCCCCCCCCCCAGGGCCCCCTCTCTGAGCCCAGCCCCGCCTGCAAGGCCCGGCTGGGCAGCGGGCGCTGCGCTGGCCGGGACACACAGGCCCGGCCCCTGGGGTGGGAAAGGCAGGGACACAGCCCCCTTGTTCTCCACAGCGGGGCTGGCTCCCAGCAGAGGCAGCTGTTTGCAGCTGCACCCCGCTGCAGCTGGAGGCCCCTCCCACCCAGGAGCACTCACTTTGGGGTGCTGGGAGGAAAGCCCCAGGGCCAGGGAACAGAGTGGGTGGCAGGGGGACCTGTGACCCAACGCAGTGGAGCCTGCAGAGGCCGCCGCGCGGACGCAGCAGGGGCAGGAGAGCCTTCCCGCTGGGCAGCTCTGGGCCCCAGAGCCTGCCAAAGGCAGCGAGGGGTCCTGCATGGGCCCCACTCCCAGATGTCTTTTCTCAGGGCCTTTCTGAGCCCCAGCTGCGGCCCAGTGGGTCCCCAAGTTCCCCGTGAGCTGGGGGCTTGGGGACGTGCCCTGCCTGGCTCTCATGTCGGGGGGAGGCTGGCAAAGTGGCACTGCTGAGCCAGGAGGCTGGGCAGCAAGAGGGCCCGGGGGACTGGGCGGAGCCTGCCTGGGCCCCAGACCCGCCGCCAGGAAGGAGCCCGGCTGGGCTGCGGCCCCTGCGGGGTCGGCGCGTCCAGCTGTCCAGCCTCCCAGCGCGCGGGGCTCTGCCTCCACGGCGGGGGCGCCGCAGGGGCAGGACGAGGCGCCCACCGCGGGGACAGGCGGTTTGGGGGGTGGCAGGGCAGCGGGGGCGCAGGGTCGGCGAGGGCCGAGGGTCCGCGCGGGGGCGGGGCGGTGGGGGCGGGGCGCGCGGATCCCCGGAGTCAGCGCCGGGGGCGCTCGCGCCGTGCGGGGCCGGGCGCAGGCGCGCTCCCGCGGGCCGGAGGGCGGGGCCGGCGGGGGGCGCGCGTCCCCTCACTTCCGGCGGGCGCTGCGCGGGCTGCGATTGGGCCGGAGGCCGCGCGCCCGCGTCCCGCTCAGCCAATCGGCGGCGCCGGCGCGGCGGCGCGCGCGCGGGCGCGCGCGGGCGGGGCGGGGCGGCCGCAGCTTGGTCGCCGCCCGCGGGCCCGTCCGACGCCGGCCCGGCCCGTCCCCGCCGCCGCCCGGCCGCCATGTGACCGCGCCGCCGCCCTCCGCGCGCCCCGCCGCCGCCGCCCAGGCCGCCGAGGGAGCGGCGGGCGGGCGCCATGGCCGAGCGGGGCCGCCCGGGCCTCGCCGGCGCGCCCGGCGTGCTCGACACGCCGGTGCCCATGAACCTGTTCGCCGCCTGGGAGGTGGACGGCGCCAGCCCCAGCTGCGTGCCCAGGTACGCGCCCCGCGCCCCGCCCCCCGGCCCGCGGCCCCGCGCCCCCGGCCCCCCCCCCCGGCCCCGCGCCCCCCGGCCCCGCCCTCCCCGGTCCGCGCCCCGGCCCGCGGCCCCGCGCCCCCGGACCCCCCGGCCCAGCGCCCCCCGGCCCCGCCCTCCCCGGTCCGCGCCCCGGCCCGCGGCCCCGCGCCCCCCGGCCCCCCCCGGCCCCGCCCTCCCCGGCCCGCGGCCCCGCGCCCCCCGGCCCCCGCGCCCCCCGACCCCGCGCCCCCGGCCCCGCGCCCCCCGACCCCGCGCCCCCCGGCCCCGCGCCCCCCGGCCCCGCGGTCCGCGCCCCCCGGCCCCCCTCCCCGGCCCCGCGCCCCCGCCCCGCCCTCCACCTGCGCGCGCCGCACCTGAGGCCGCGCTCCCGGCTGAGCCCCGCGGGCGCCGGCCCCGCGCGTCGGGCCCGGCGATGCGGGCGTCCCGGGCGCGGCTCTCGCCCGCCCGACCCGCCGCCCGCGCGTCCGGGGCCGGGAGCGGCCGCTTTGTTCCCGGCCCGCCGGCCCCGCGCGCGCGGGCGGGAGACGCGCTCCCTGGGGTCCAGTCCAGGGGCGGCCCGGCCTCTGCGGGGCCCTCGCGGGGGACGCTGCGCCCCCAGCCCCGCCGCCTCCTCCCGGCCCGAGCGGCGCCCCGACCCTCCTCCGCCTGCCGGGCTGTGGGGGCGCCCCCCCTCCGTCCCCCGTCCCCCGTCCCCTCCGGGCCGCCCCGCGCCCGCCCGCGGCCCGGCCCTGCGCCCCGGCTGCGGCGGCGCCGGCGGGAGGCGGCCGGGCTGGCGCAGGGGCCTTGTGAGCCCCGCGGGGAGCGGCCGGCTGGGGCTCCACAGAAGCGTTTGGGGGTGAGGGCGACGCGCCCCGCCTGGTGCTGCCCTCGGGTCCTTGGCTTTGCCTCTCCGTGGGGGCCGGGCGTGAAGGGGCCGGGTGCCCGCAGTGCGCCCCCCGTGCGGCCCCTGCCGCGGGCCCTGTGCCGCCCCACCACGGGCAGCCCCGCTTGCCTGGTCTGCGGCCGCGGGCCTGGCCTCCGGCCATCTGTGCTGCCCATCCTGAGGCCCTGCCCGCGCTCTGCCCGCAGCTCTCGCTCCCCCATCTGACCCCGGGTGCCCTCTTCCTGCACGCCCCACCCTCCTCTGCCCTCCTGTGTGGTCTGTGCCACCAGGCCATCCCCCAGGCCGCCCACCTGCCTTTGGCCTCCGGGCTCCTTGGCAGCGCTGCGGGCCTCCGCCCCCTCCGGCCTGTGCAGGTGGCTCTGAGCACGAGGGCTCAGCTTTGTGCCCCCCGGACCGGTCACCACCTGACCCTGCTGAACCCCCAACTGCGGGTCTTGGTCACTTGGGGCTGTGAGGTCTTCAGCCTCTGAGTGTCCTGGGGCAGACACGCTGCTCGGGCCACTCCGGGCTGTCCCCGCTCCCCAGTGGCGGGGGGCAGGTGCTGTTCTGTGTGGCCGCCATGTCCAGAGTGCTGGGGCCACAGGCCAGCGCGGGGCACGTGTGCTCTCGCTTCCCATGGTGGACATGGCCCCCAGAAGGCAGCAAGGGTCCCCTGAGGGGACCAACCAGTCTGCTCTCTAGTCAGCTGCCCTCAGTGCCTTCTCGTGGCCAGCCCCTGCAAGTTCTACTGTGCATCTGGGGTGCCCTCCCCACACCCCCATCAGCCACGGGAGGTAGGTGCCTGGCAGGCCCCAGCCCCCCTGCAGCAGGCCAGGGAGCAGGATGGCCTATGGCGCTGGCCGAGGACACCCACGTGGCCCTGTCGTGCTCCCTGGGCACCTGCCTGCTCCTGCTGACGCGGCGTCCTCAGCCACCATGTCCCTGGCGTCCATCTGTCCCGCAGCCGTCTGCGGGGTCTGGGAGCCCCGAGACCCCTGGTTATGACTGCTGGGGTCTGCCCGGGGCCCCGAGGGCCGCCCCTCCCCTTTCCTCGCTCTGGGGCTGTGGTGCCGCCTTGGGGTTTAGGTGAGCGCAGGCGTCTCTTCTCCCCGTGGGCGGGCGCCCTTGCACCCCCGCCCCGGCTGGGCCTCCTCCAGCTCCCGGGGGGCTGCGGTCAGCCTGCCTGGTGGCCAGGGCACCCTGGCGGCTGCGCACGGGCCTCTCAGCTGCTGGCGGCCCGGTCCCCCGTGGCTGGGGCGGCCCTCCCGACCCCCAGCAGTGGCTCCTGGGGGCCCCCGGCCTGCCTGGCCTCTGGGCGTCCTCCTGTCCCCGGCGTCAGGCAGCCGTGCCTCCCTGGACGTGGGCTAGGTGCACCCTACCCAGCGTGGCAGCTGCTGCCGGCCTCCCTGCCGGGCTGAGGCGCGCTCCTGTCTGCGGCTGGGCTCGCGGGCAGGCTGCTGCAGCCCAGCAGGGGCTTTCTGCCCGCAGCCTGGTGCCCACTGTCCTCGGGCTCTGTTCGGGCCTTGGCCGTCTGCCTTGGCCGCGAGCTCTCCCTGCCGTCGCACCTCCGGCCTCAGCAGTGCGGGTGCCTGTGCGCCTGGGGTGCCCTCCGTGCTGGGGTGTCCCTGCATGCTGGGGTGCCCCCCCTGTGTTCTGGGGTGCCCCATGTGCTGGGGTGCTCTCCGTGCTGGGGTGTCCCTGCATGCTGAGGTGCCCCCATGCAATGTTGGGATGTTGGGGTGTCTCATGTGCTGGGGTGCCCCCGTGTCCTGGGGTGCCCTGTGTGCTGGGTTGAGGCTGAGCTGGGGCTGGGCAGGACCAGGCATGGGCAAGGCTGGGGTTGGGGTCAGGGTTGGCAGGGACCAGGAGGGGTGGGCGGTGTCTTGGTGGGGGGCATATCTGTGCTGCTGCCCGAACAGCCTGCGTGTGTGGGCAGGTGCAGCTGCCCAGGAGGAGCGGGCAGGTGTGGGGCTTGGGCACAGGCTTGGCCTGGGTCCTGGGGGGCGGTGACAGGGAGGCCATGGGGGAGGGCGTGGGGACTGCTGTCGGGGGCCCGTCCCCTGTCCAGGGACCACGGCCTGGTGGGCTCTGCTGGACGCCCAGGGGCCGGCGCTCCTTGCCCCCACCCGCCCCTCCTCAGGCGTGGCTGAGGCGCCTTGGGCATCCAGGGCACCAGCCTGGCCCGGGCAGGTGGGCCCAGAGTAGGATCTCTGGCCATGAGCCCCCAGGGGCTCGGCTGAGCCCCTCACAGCCTGCGCTGGTGCTGCCCGGGCCTGGCAGCCTTCCATGCTGCGCGACCTCCGCCTTCAGGCTGTGGCCTGTGAGCTGGCGCACGTGGCTCTGTTCCCCTATAGGAGAGGGGTCCCCGGGGCCCTGCGCACCCACGGTGACCTGGGGGGCTGGAGCAGCCTCGACAGCAGGCTCCCGGGCAGTGTCCCCGCAGTGCCAGCTCTGGCCCCTCCCAGGGGGACACAGGGACTCTGGTCTCGAGAGCAGTGGCCGCCCGCACTGCCCATTCTTAGCCAGGACCAGGGCCCCACGAGGGAGGCCGTGGGCAGGCCTAACCCCGCAGCCTCCTGCAGAGGACCCCGAGCCTCCCTGCCCTGCTTGCCTGCGTGCCAGCAGCCCTGCCCTCTCCTTCCTGGCCCTGTGCCCTGCCCCCCACGCCCCCCAGCAGTGTCCTGGGCGGATGGCGTTTCTTTGCTGCCTTCTCTTAGCGCCCTGTTTTCAACCCGAGATAAAATGCGAGTAGTGCCGACTCTGACTCGCTTGCCCCCAAATATGGCGGGATGGAGGGCGGGGCCGCCCCCCCGCACCCACTCGCTGCTTCCCCAGATGGGGCTCTTCCCGGGCGGCCTGTCCCCTCGGGGCGCCAGGGTCGAGGTCAAGGCCGCCTTCCTGGCATTGGGCTCTGGGCGCGTGGCAGGGCCGGCCTCCGTGGGGCCCCACGAGCCCGCTGCCCTTGGCCTGGGAGGAGTGCGGCAGGGACACTGAGGCGGCGGCGCTGACCTTCCCCCTGACCAGCAGGAAGCCGCCGTGTCCCTACGAGGCCTGGACACCTGAGAAAGCTGGGCGGGGCCAGGGACCTGGCCGCTGCTCCCACCCCTCCCCCAAGGGACCGGCACCCCTGCCTGCCTGGCCTCCCCAGGTGTCTGGACTGCCTCTGCCCACGGGACCCTGTCCTGCCCCCGCGGGACCCCGAGCCAGCAGGCCAGCAGCCCCCCAGAGCCGCCCTACAGAGGCCCGCATGGCTATTGTGGCCCGAGCGCCAGGGCGGACGCACCCTGACGGTCGGCCAGAGATGCCGGAGGCATGTGGGCGTCCCCAGTACGGGGTGCGCTGGACAGTGGGCCCCCCGCCCCCCGTGCAGCCTGCTTGTCTTCTGGCCGCGCTTCTGTGCCCCTTTGTCCCCTTGGCGCGCGGACACTGGCCCTTTGTCGGGCGGCTCCGCGGCCTCCTCCCCTCTGCTGGCCCATGCGCCTCCACTCCTGTCATGTCCAGCTGTTGACCCATCCCGGGCAGGGGTGTTCCTGCCTGGAGGGACCCCCAGGCACCTCCCGGCGGCTGGAGTGGAGGCGACACTGCCTGCGGCCCTGCGCGGTCAGCGACGGCCAGCCGGGCCCTGCGTCCCGGGTCTGCCCTGAGACTGGCGGGCCCTCAGGTCTTCCTGTGAGGCGACTCTGCCCGTAGGACGGGCACTGATGCCGGGCGGAGGGGGCGGGGGGCGCCCGGGTGATGCTGGTCCCCAGCCGCTGCCCCCCGCGCCCGCCCCTCACGGCCCTGCACCAGCTCCCCTGGGGCGTCTTCCACTGGGGGTTTGTGTCTCTGGGGAGGGCCGAGCTCCCCATATTTCTCCTCTAAGGTGGGTGCACCTGCTTTGGCCTGAGCATGGCTCTCTGGCTCTCGCAGTGCCTGGAGGGTGACTGGGTCCTGGCGTGGAGAGGCCAGCGCCCCAAGAGGCAGACAGGCCGGCCCCGACTCAGGACTGGAGCGGATTGGAGCTCAGGACTGACTGTGTGGGCAGGTGGGGCTGCGGCGGTCAGTGCACCCACGGGCCTGCCCCGCCTGCGGGACGTGCTGGCGCCCCGGCCGTCGGGGCCTCTGCGCTCTGCCCGGGGCCCAGGCCCTTCTCCACATGGAGCTCCAGCCGTACTGGGAATGAGGCATGGCCCCTTCCGTGGGGCCAGTTGGGGCCTGGGCGCTGGCCACGCACAGCGGGCACCAGCACCTGCGTCCTGAGCTGTGTCCCCCCCCGCCCCGGTCTTCCCTGGGCCACGTGCTCTCCTGTCCATGACTTCTAAGCAGGAGGGGTGGGGGCCGAGGGGCCTGGCGAGGCCCGTGGGGGCGGAGGGCGGGCGGAGGGCCCGGCTGAGCGCCCCCATCCTGCAGGCTGTGCAGTCTGACCCTGAAGAAGCTGGTGGTCTTTAAGGGGCTGGAGAAAGAGCTCATCTCCGTGGTGATCGCCGTCAAGATGCAGGTCGGCCTCACTGGGCTTCCCTGGGGCCGGGGGCCAGGGTGGGCACTGCCCCGACACTCTGGCGGAGCTGGGCCCTAAGCGCAGAGGGGCCCTCCTCTCCTGCCAGCACCCCCATGGGATTATAGGGTCTGTGGGTTCCAGGGGAGCCCCCTGGGGAGGGCCCCAATCTGTTGGGTAGTCCACAGTGGTCTCTGGGGCTGCTGCGCGGCCCGTTTCCCGTGCCGCCGTGGCCCTGGGCCCAGCTTGCATTTTGCAGGCCGCCGTCCCGCGAGCGTCCCCGCCCCACCTCCACCACCCCGTGACCCTGTGGCCACCAGCACTCGGCCTTCAGGCTGTGTTCCTGCCAGGGCCACCTCCTGCGCTGCCCGCCCCGGCCCCTCCCTATGGCCTGCGCCTCGGGGGCCACACTCCGCTCTCCGCCGCACTCTGCCTGGTCCCCCGTGCCAGGCACCTGCCCCGTCCCTCCAGGGCTCCAAGCGTGTGCTTCGGTCCCATGAGATCGTGCTGCCCCCCAGTGGACACGTGGAGACGGACCTGGCCCTGACCTTCTCGCTGCAGGTGGGCCTCTCCGCCCACTGGGACGGTCGGCAGCGGCCCAAGCCCCGGTGGGCTGCGGGCCTGGCCGGCTCCCAAGTACGCTGGGCCCTGGACTTGCCACCGCTGCCTCTGCCTGCTTTAGAAGCCGGTGCCGAGCTCAGCCTCCGTCCTTCTCAGAGTCGCTGCCCGTTTACTCCCCGCTGCCCTCCGCACATAGCAGCTCAGGCTCGGGGTGGGCTCCGGCGGGCGGTGCTTGGGCGGGAGGGGCCGGCCCCTGCAGCCCGCCGGGACAGATTCCTTTGCCCATAGTACCCCCACTTCCTGAAGAGGGAAGGCAACAGGCTGCAGGTCATGCTCCAGCGCCGGAAGCGTTACAAGAACCGGACCATCCTGGGCTACAAAACGTTGGCGGCCGGCTCCATCAACATGGCTGAGGTGGGCTGCATCTGCAGGCTCCCTTCGGGCCGGACCAGCCCTCGCTGCCCCGCTGTGTCCATGGCCAGAGCGGGCTGTCCAGGCAGGGGAGGACCCTGCCCCCCGAGGCCGGGTGCCCAGCTGGCTGCTTCCAGAACAACTGTGCCCCTCCCCTCCCCTTTGCTGCCTCCGCGTCTGGGCGTGCTTGTGCCCCTGTGTGGCCTCCGTGTGCCCAGCTGCAGGCGCGGTCTGGGCTGTGGCCTATGCACTGGCCTGGCGCCGCCTGCTGGCCCTTCCGCGCTGCTCCTGGAGCGGGGTGCAGGCCGTGCCTCCCCTAAGAGCTTTATTTTCTTTCTTGACTAAAAGCCAATCCCTGGACCGGGCTCCAGGGCCTCTGGCGGGCAGCTGGTGTCCCACTCTCGGGACAGTCCTGGCCACCCACAGGGGCTGCTGCCCGGTTGCACCCTCTGGCGGGGCGGGGAGGTGAGGTACTTGGTGCCCCTAGAGCCGCCCCTGCCCCCAGGTGCTGCAGCACCCCCCTGAGGGCGGCCGGGTGCTGGGCCTGTGCAGTGACGGCAAGGAAGCGGCTGCCAGGGTGGCCGAGGTCTGGATCTTCTCCCTATCCAGCCAGCCCATCGACCATGAGGACAGTACCATGCAGGCTGGCCCCAAGGCCAAGGCCACAGGTGACGCCTGCCCACCCGGCCACATCTGCGGGGGCAGTGAGGACCCAGGGTGGGCGGGGCCGTGGCCTGTTGCCCGGACGCCGTCCGGAACCTTGGGGCCTGCCCCTTCCGTGTCTCCCCGCAGACAACTACTCCGAGGAGGAGGACGAGAGCTTCTCCTCAGAGCAGGAAGCCAGCGACGACGCCGCACAGGGCCAGGTAGCCGCCGGGCGGGGCCGCTGCAGGGCGGGGCGCAGCGAGCTGGCAGGCCCTGGGGCCCCGGGGCCCTGGGGTGCGTCAGCGGCCTCCCTGGGCACCAGGACGATGCTCCAGAGCTGGCCCCAGGAGGGGAGCCATGGCATGGCGGGGTGGGGGGCTGGGACAGAGGGCCGTGACTGGCCACGTGGGGGCAGGGAGGAGGTGGGGGGCTGTGGCCGGGTGGGGGTGCTGGGGAGGAGGGTTGGACTGGGGAGTGAAGGTGCATTTGGGGGGGCTGTGGTCAGGTTGGGACACTGGAGGAGGGGCGGGGGCCTGCGTGGCCTCAGGCGTGTGTCCACCAGGAGCTGGACGAGGACGACTTTGATGTGGGGAAGCCAGGGAAGCAGCGGCGCTCGCTAGTAAGAACGACGTCCATGACCAGGGTCGGTGCTGCTGGTTTTACTAACCCTGGGGCGGGCGGGCGGGGCTGGACATAGGCCTGGGCTCCCCCAGATACAGCGGGCTCTGCGCCTGCCCTGGCCGTCATCTCCCAGAGCGGGGCTGGCCGGCGACGGGGCTGCCAGGTCTGGGGTGGTGGGCGGGCAGGCAGCTGCTGCCTCGTCCAGGGAGCCCGGGTGCCCAGGTGGGGCCCGCTTCTGTCCAGCCCACTGGCACCGTGGCCCCTGGGGCAGGCAAGGGCTGTCAGCTGTGAGCCCTGTCTGTGTGTCCACTGCCAGGGGCCTGGAGAGGGGCCCATGCCCAGCTGCCCTGCAATTGGGGCTGTGGCTCTCAGTCAGGCTCAGGGCCCCCACACGTGTGTCCACTTGGGGCTAGTGTCCGGTTTTTCCAGAGGGAGGTGTGGATCCTGGGTGCTGGGAGGCAGTGCCTTGCTCTGTGGCCAGTGGCCAGAGCTGAGCTGCTACCCCATGCCCTGGGGCAGGGGAGGTTTCTGTGGGCCTGGTGTGCACGCCTGCCTGGTTCACAAGGGCGGGGCGGGGCGGGGCAGCTGCAGGGACGCGGGGTGCCCACTCGCCAGCCTGTGTTGCAGCAGCAGAACTTCAAGCAGAAGGTGGTGGCCCTGCTGCGGAGATTCAAGGTGTCTGACGAGGTGAGGCCCAGGCGCGCAAGTGTGTCAGGGCAGCTAGGCTGCACCCCAGAGTGCGTGGGAGGCAGTGTCGAGGGGTGCCCCTGAGTGAGCCCCACCCATCAGGTCTGGGATGGCCTGCAGCACCCATACTCTCCCCAGGGCTTGTGATCCGCGCCTACCGGCCCCTGCATGCAGCCCCGCGTGGCTGGTCCTTTCCAAAACGGCTTGGCCATGTGTGGGCAGGGCCTGGGCACTGCCTGCTGGCCCCCGGGGTGGGAGCCCTGCTGCCTGCATCCCAAACCTGCTATAAACTCTCCAACCAGGACGGTGGACAGCTGGTGGAGGGCCCAGGTCCACTCCAGGGAGAAGGGTTCTTCGGCCAGTGGTGCTGGAAGCAGCTGGGCCTACAGGGTGTTGTGGGGGGAACCGAGGATGGGTGTGCGGGACCCTGTGGCCTCCCCGCAGTGGCTCCCAGATTGGGCCAAGACGTTGGGCAGGAGGGCACCCTCATGGCCGGCGGGAGGTCAGAGGTCTCCAGAGGAGACCACTCGGGGCCTGCAGGGGACGCCACTGGGTGTTGCTAGGCTGCAGCCTGTCCACGGGGCTGGCACATGCTGTGAGGACAGCTGCCAGGTGTTCCCCGCCTGCTGGGGACACCAGTCACAGCACAGCTCCTCTGTGCCGCAGCCGGACGGCACCATCGCACTGGGCTGCTGACCATGGCAGCCCCGTCCGCCAGGCCAGGCATGGGCAACAGTCAGCTGGGTGGTGTGGAGGGCGCTGGGCGCGAGCATGGGCTGCTGGGCTGGGGCCGCGAGGTCCGGGTTGGCGGGCAGTGTTGACGGCGGCCCAGCCCCTCACGGACTGTGCTCGGCCAGGTGCTGGACTCGGAGCAGGACCCCGCAGAGCATGTCCCCGAGGTGGAGGAGGACCTGGACCTTCTGTACGACACACTGGACATGGACCCCAGTGACAGTGGCCCTGATATGGAGGACGATGACAGTGTCCTCAGCACCCCCAAGCCAAAGCTCAGGTGGGCCCAGCCGGGCGGGGGACCTTGGGCTGGCGGGGTGGGGCGAGGCGAGGGGGTCAGTGCTGGCGGGGCTCCCCCCACGTGGCCCTTGGGAGCAGGTCAGTGGCCCTCGGGGCTCCACATCCCTGCAGCGGTGGCTGGCCACGCTCCCCTGGCCTTCCTCGGCCCTGCGGTGATGCCCTGACCCACTGTCTTCTGCTTAGACGTCCAGAGTCTGTGGGCCCCTGAGCTGCCCCCACAGCCCCCCGTGGTGGACCGCGCCCTCCCTGAGACCCCAGCACCTCAGGGTGCAGCTGGGAGCTCTCACTGGGGCTCAGATGCAGCTCCCTATGCCTTGCGAGGGGCCAGTCTTGCTGGGATGGTGGCCACCCCAGGGTGGAGTCTGACCGCTGTCCTCTTCCACAGGCCATACTTTGAGGGTCTGTCGCACTCCAGCTCGCAGACGGAGATCGGCAGCCTCCACAGTGCCCGGAGCCAGAAGGAGCCCCCGAGCCCCGTGAGCCGCGTGCCCACTACCCTCGCGGTGTTCTCCAGCCCGAGCCCCAACCAAGGGGTGTCAGCCTCACCCCGCCCCGCCTCACCCCGCAGGCCGACGCACCCGAGAAGCCACGGACCCCGGTGGGCCGGCCGCCGAGCGACACCACCCCTGACCCTGCAGCCAACGTAAGAGGCGCGGGGGCTCCTGGGCACAGACCCGCAGTGCCCCGAAACCCTCAGTCTGCCCTGGGGGCTCGCCAGTGCTTGGTGGGCGCAGGGGCCCCAGCGGGCGTGCATGCCACGGGCTGTCCCTGTCCAGCAGAGCTCCCCGGCCCCAGGGGAGCAGCCCGCGCCGTCTGAGGACAGCCCGGAGGCGGACAGCTGCCCCCTGGACGTGTTCTCCGAGCGGCTGCCACCCAGTGGGCGCATCACCAAGACCGAGTCGCTGGTTATCCCTTCCAACAGGTGAGGTTGCCACCCTGGGGGGGAGGCCAAGCCCGTGGGGTGCCTGCCCAGCCAGGCCTGTGACCAGGAGCGTCCTCTGGACCCCGTGTGGCTGGCTGCAGTGGGCGGGGCTGGGGCGGCGCCCTGGATGCCCAGCGAGCCCGGCCAGGAGCGCTGCACCTCAGGGCCCTGACCGAGATTCTGGCCAGGGCCGAGGGGAAGCCGGCCGGCCGCCGGGGTCGGAGCACCTCCCTGAAGGAGCGGCAGCCGGCCCGGCCGCAGAGCGAGCGGGCCAACAGCCTGGACAACGAGCGCTGCCCAGACACGCGCAGCCCACTGCAGGTGAGGTCGCAGGGCTGCGGGCAGAGACGGTGGCGGTGTCCCGCGCCTGAGGACCTGGCCGGCCCGGTCCCAGGCTTGCTGGACGAGGTTGGGGAGCCGCCAGCCCGGCCCATCGCTGGGGCCCCCCCATCCCCCGGGGCCCTGGCCGGGCTGGGGGCCCCCCATGGATGGGCCGGCCGTGTCTGCAGATCCCCCGGAAGACCGTGTACGACCAGCTGAACCACATCCTAGTGTCCGACGACCGGCTCCCTGAGAACGTCATCCTGGTCAACACCTCAGACTGGCAGGGGCAGGTGCTGGGTCCCCCCCCCCCCCCCCCCCCCCCCCCCGGCGGGTGCGGGCAGGGGCGGGGCAGGCTGTGGCTCACGGCGTCCTCTGCAGTTCCTGTCCGATGTGCTGCAGCGGCACGCGCTGCCCGTGGTGGGCACCTGCTCGGGGGCTGACGTGCAGGCCGCCTTCAGCACCATTGTCTCCCGCATCCAGAGATAGTGAGTCCCCCCACGCGCCCCCACACGCCTCCATCATGGGGGGTGGTCCCTTGCCCCCTCCCCGTCCCCAGCTGCTCGGGCAATCTGGAGGCCTCCCGGCGGGCTTGGCTGTGGGGTCGCCCGTGCGGGAGAACCTGCATGGGGAGCTGACGCCTCTGAGGCCCCGTCTCTCCCGCCCCGCCTGGACCCAGCTGCAACTGCAACTCCCAGCCACCCACGCCGGTCAAGATCGCGGTGGCCGGTGCCCAGCATTACCTCAGTGCCGTGCTGCGGCTATTCGTGGAGCAGCTGACCCACAAGACACCCGACTGGCTCGGCTACATGCGCTTCCTGGTTATTCCGCTGGGTGAGGCTGCAGGTCCGCGCTTGTCGGCCGCCCCACAAGGGCAGGGAGGCCCGTGGCATTGTTGGGTGGGGACCGGCGCCTCCGCTGCCACCAGGGCCTCCAGCCGGGCCTGGCCGTCCCCCACAGCAGACAGGACAGGGCCGCCTCTTGTGAAGTGGCCGGCAGCAGCGAGGGGCAGTTCTGGCATGGGCCCATGGCTGACCCTTCGCCCTGACCGCAGGCTCCCACCCGGTGGCCCGGTACCTGGGCTCTGTGGACGACCGCTACAATGACTTCTTCCAGGACCTGGCCTGGCGGGACCTGTTCAACAGGCTGGGCGCCCAGAGCACAGGTGAGGCCGGGTGCCAGCTGGGGGGGGGGTGGGGAGCGGGGGGGCAGGCAGCAGGTGGCCAGCCCCTGCCCACCCGCCCGCCCCGCCCTGCAGTGCAGGACACCCCTGACATCGTGGCGCGGATCACACAGTACATCTCGGGGGCCAACTGCGCCCACCAGCTGCCCATCGCCGAGGCCATGCTGACTTACAAGCAGAAGAGGTACCTGGGCGCCCCGTGGCCTCCAGCCCCAGCCCCCAGGTCCCTCAGACAGGCTCTGGGAGTTGGCATCCGCTGCTCTCGGGGCTGAGGTGGGGCTGCTGGGGCCTCCGGACCCACCCCTGGGACTGCGGGCCTCGTGGTTCAGAGGGCCGAGGCCCCGGCCCGGCACAGGCTCTGGCCCCTTTCTGAGGGACGCGGGCATCTTCCCCAAACGGCCAAGACAGTTGAGCAGAGGTCCGGGCGGTGCCGTGGGGCCCTCCTGACCCTGTCCGGGCGCGGAGCCCTCCGGAGCCCCTTCCCAAGGGGAGCCACTGAGCCCCTCGTAACGCGTTTGTCTTCTCTCTTGGCGGCTTCCTGAAAGGAAAAAGAACTTTCACTTTGACTTTGCTCTCAGGTACTGCTGTCTGGGCCTGCCCCCACGCTGGTCTTTGAGGCTGTTTAGCAGTGACCCCTGAGCCAGGCCCTGTCCCCTGGGCTCTCCTGGGAGCCAGCCAGCTGCCAGAGGGGCTGGGGGGGCCCTGCCCCTGCACCCCACCACACCCCCCCGCGCCCCCCGCTCCAAGGCCACCTGCCCCACCCACTGAGGCTCAGCGTGTCGCCCGTTGTGAGCTGCCGCCTAGGGTGGCCGTGGCCAGCACGTGGACTTTGTCCCCAGTTCGTGCTGGGGCTGCCCGGCAGGCCACTGGGCTGGAGGCCCCTGGGGGCCAGAGGCTTTGCACCCCGAGGGAGACGTTCGTGTTTATAGCCAAACGCAGGTGGCCCTGCCCCCGGGTCTCCACTCTGGGCCCCTGGGCCTCCGGCTACTTGCTCTGTGGGAAAAACTCCCAAGGTGTGTGTGTGAAACCCATTCACTGCCCTGCTGGACCTGGGGCAGGGGAGCCTCTGAACTCCACAAGTCTCCTGCTAAACCAGCCTTGGCAGACATAAAGACCAGTGAGGCCCCGCCCCCGGCGCCTCCCCTGAGCGCCCCGCCCGCCCCTGCACGCCTGCCCGGCCCACCCTGTGCACGGCCCCTGCTCGCCACCGGCCTTCTGTGTCAGTGCTCGGTGCTCTAAGCTACAGGCAGGGCCCCAGCACTTCTGTACCCCACGATGTGGGTCACACTGGTTCGGGGTGGTGGGGGGCACGCGGGTCAGCCCTGGCTGTGTGTAGACCCTCCTGTGCTAGCGACCACCACGGCCCTGTGCCAGCTGCGCGTCCAGTGAGCGGGTCAGCAGATGGCCTGCATGTGGCCACCACCATGCGCAGCCCAAGGATCACGTGTGCTGGCTGTGCCACTCCCCACCCCCCCACCCTCACCCCCCACACGGCCTGGCTGGACTTGTCTGCATGGCCGAGGCTTGTCTGGCTGCGCTGCCTCCTCAGGCATCCCAGCCGGGGTGCTGCCTCTGCTGCTCGTGGGGAGGGTCTGGGGTGACCGCCAGGGCAGGGCCCGGGTGCGCAGTGGGTGCCCGCCTCCAACTGCACACAAAGGGCTGGGGAGCAGAGGGTGGGCAGCCGCTTGCCCTGGGGGCCCCTCCCATCCGCCTCAGGCATGGGACCATCCTGGGAGGTGTCAACTGTGTCTTTGGTGGAGGTGCAGCGCCTCCTGCCTGGAGCACTGAGCCTGCTGGGCACCAGGTGCGCCTCTGGGCCAGCCCCATGCTCTCCTGCCATGAGGGGCTGGCCAGGACGCAGGCCAGAGTGGAGCCGCCAGAGAGGGCCTGGAGCCCAGGCCACCGCCAGAGGCCAGTTGCGCACCTGCCCATCTGCTCCTGACTGAGAGCACGGGTGCACTGCAGGCAGGATGGTGGTGGCCCCTCACCCAGCCCTGGGCAGTCCAGCTCTCCAGTGGGCCTGGGCGGCTACTGGCAGTGGGCACTGTAGCCTGCTGGGGCACCTCAGCCCATTGCTGGAGGGCACTGCAGGACATGGCATGGCCCCACTGGCCGGCCCTCAGGTGTCCCCACCTCGTGGCCGCTGGCACAGGCTCGCATTTGTCCTGCAGGTCTCACTGGGAGGGCCCTGCAGGCCCAGGTGCTGGCCAGGGTACAGCATGGGGGAGGGCCTGCTGGGCCCTGGCCACAAGAGGGCACCCACACGGGGTTGTGGTGTCTGCTCTCTTCCCAGCCCCGACGAGGAGTCCTCCCAGAAGTTCGTCCCCTTCGTCGGGGTGAGTGCCTGGGCAGCCGCCGCTGCAGCACCCTCCAGAATCCTCCTCCTGTGCAGACTTGGGTGCTTGGGAGCCTCCAGGCGGGGCTGCCCCATGCTGGGGCCCCCTCTGTCCCTGGCTTGGCCTCTTGCAGAGGCGGCTACAACAAGGGTGGTGAGGCCCTGGGCCCACGCGTGCCAGCCAGGCTAGCTGCTGTGGGCCGAGGTCCTCCCTTGGTGGGCAGGGTTTCTACACCTGCATCCTGGCCTCTGGCCCTGGAGTTGGCCACCACACAGGCTGTTGGTGGGTAGCTGTCCGAGGGCCAGAGCCTGAGGCCTGTGAGGCTCAGCCACGGAGAACAGGAGCCTTTCCTGCCAATGGCCATGGGTGCCCGGAGCACCGGCTGGCCAAGCCTGGCCAGGGGCCTTCAGTAACTATGGCCCCTCTGGGCACTGCTGTCCCCTGGACACAGGGTGGCCATGACACATGCCAGGGTGGCCCTTCTGAGCTCTGCTCAGCTGCACGAAGGGTCTGGCGCATCTGGCACGAGGGCGGGCCTGGGGACACCCCAGTGCCCCTAGCCAGCGCCCCTGCTTTGCAGGTGGTGAAGGTTGGGATAGTGGAACCCTCCTCGGCCACCTCAGGTGAGCTGTCCTCCTGCCCGGGGAGGGGCGCCCATGGCCCTGGGCAGAGCGTGGGGTCACGTGCTCCTGGCTTCTCTCCAAAGGTGACTCGGATGATGCGGCCCCCTCAGGCCCCTGCGCGCTCTCATCCACCCCTCCGTCCTCGTCGCCTGCGGCCAAGGAGGCCTCCCCCACCCCACCCTCCTCCCCGTCAGTCAGCGGAGGCCTGTCCTCCCCCAGGTGATTGTCCTCGTGAGTGGGTTCTAGCCTGACCCCTCTGACGGCCCAGCCCCCGCAGGACACCCAGCCGCGACTGCTCAGAGCACGGCCTCAGGCCCGGGCCGGGGCGTAGGCCCAGGGCAGGCTTGGGGAGTAGGGCTGGGCCCTGGCTCACTGGCCCTGGGGCCCACAGAGGGAGGGCACCAGAGACTAACCCAGGGGCCTACTGTCTCCCCCACTGCCACTATATAGACAGTGTAGACAGTGGGGGATGAGGCACAGCCAGCTGGAAGCTGAGTGTGGACAGAGGGGCTGGGGCCACTGGGGAGTCGCCCCACCTTAGAGGTCGGGGGTCATGGCTGCCCTGTTGGCAGGCCCAGTGGTCAGGCCACTGACCTTGGCCCTGCAGACTCAAGGGGACGACTGGGGGAACAGGTGGGAGGCTGGCCAGGGTGCTCCGGGTGACCCTGTGTGGCGATGACGCCAGGGCCCCAGTCGGGCGTCCTAGGGACCTGGGGGGCCTGAAGCTGGGGACGCCCGAGGCCAGAGAGCGAGGCCCATCTGCTTCACAGCCAGGGCATCGGCGCCGAGCTGATGGGGCTACAGGTGGACTACTGGGTCGCCGCCCAGCCCGCGGACAGGAGACGGGACTCCGAGAGGAGGGACCTGCCAGCCGCCAAGAACACGCTCAAGTGCACCTTCCGGTCTCTCCAGGTCAGCAGGCTGCCCAGCAGTGGCGAGGCTGCGGCCACGCCCACCATGTCCATGACTGTAGTCACCAAGGAGAAGAATAAGAAGGGTGAGGTGGGGGGCTGTCGGCCCCACGGGAGGTGCGCCCGCCCTGGCCCGGCTGCAGAGGCACAGGGGCAGCCCTGCCCTTCCCTCCTAGTCATGTTTCTGCCCAAGAAGACCAAGGACAAGGACACGGAGCCCAAAAGCCAGCGTGTCGAGGGCATCAGCCGGCTCATCTGCACGGCCAGGCAGCAGCAGACCATGCTGCGGGGTGAGCCGCCTGCCCGTGGGTCCCACCCAGGCCCCATGAACCCACCCAGGCCCCAGGGACTCCTAGCCTCGGCCTCCCTGGCACCAGAACCAAGGTGCTTCCTCTCAGAGGCCTTAGTCAGGCCTCCCGGCCCTGGCCAGCTCCCTCCGGGCTTCTGCTTTAAGTGAGGGGTTTGAAATTACGCCTGCAGGCGCCTTGGGGGTGAGGTGGGTGTGGGCGAGCCCAACTGCCTGCCCCAGGGGTGACCAGGGCAGCAGGGAGCCCTGTCCGGCGGCTGGGCTGGCTCCGCACCCGGGCCCCCATCAGCGACCTTGTCCCCGCAGTCCTCATCGATGGCGTGGAGTGGAACGACGTGAAGTTCTTCCAGCTGGCCGCCCAGTGGTCATCCCACGTCAGGCACTTCCCCATCTGTGTCTTTGGGCATCCCAAGCCCGCCTGCTAGCCGCCCGCGCTGGGCCAGGCCCTCTGCGCCCCGTGGGCAGCGCCACCACGGGACGCCGCCTTGGCCCTGAGACCGGCTCCCGCTGGGCGCCCGGGCCCTGTGCTCACTGGCGCAGGCCTGGCAGGCAGCCGCCAGGGGAGGATGGTATGTTGGCGCCTCTGGACCCCAGCGCCCCAGCAAGAAGGGGGCCCTCACCTTCACAGCCAGCCCCTCCTCGACGCCAGCGTGCTTCCTGGGGGTGCTGGTGGCAGGCACAGGGCCGCGCCCCTTCTTCAGGCCCCAGCACCCCCTCCTCCTCCCAATAAACTCCAGCCTTGCGGGCAGATGTGTTGCCGCCAAGTACATGCCACGCCCCCCGCCAGCCGGCCAGGGCCTCCGCTGCCGGGGCTGGGCCCAGGGCCCTGGCCCTTGGGAACCCCGCACCCCAGGAGGCGCCCTTCCGACTCCAGCCTGGTCTCCCCACGGCCACCTGGACGTTGCCGCCTGGCCATCTGCCCCGCGACCCCCGCACCCCCTCCCCAGGCAGGTGCGGGTCTGGGGGGCCCGGCAGGTTGGACCACAGGACTTGGGCCACGTGGCTGCAGATTGCTGGCTGGAGCCCCCCTCACCGGTGCTGGACCCCAGGGGACCGGGGCGCTGCCCATCCCGGGACGCACGTGGTGTCCCCGCCTTGCTTCCACCACCAGCCCCGGGCTCCTGCAGGGGCCGCGCGGGAAGGCCCGGCCGTGGCCAGCCCCGCGCGTCGCACCTGCCGGGGCTTCCTGCGGAGGCCGAGCCCACCCGGTGCCCCTGGACGCGGCGCGCGGGCCGCTCGGCGCAGGACGGCGGGGGCTGCCCGGGCTCGAGTGGCCGCAGCCGAGGCCCGGCCCGGAGGCCCGGCGGCCCCGCGGCCAGCGCTGCCCGCCGGAGCAGAGGGACGCGCCGGGCCCGCCCGCCACGGCGTGGCACGTGGGTTACTCGACGGTGCTGGCGCGACGCTAATAAATCTGGAGGAGCCTCTCGGCGCCCCTGTCGTGTGCTTTCTCCGGCGCCGCGGGGCCGGGCCCGGGCCGGGGCGCGCGGGGCCCACGGGGCGCCCGTCGGCCGAGACCCCGCCAAGCGCGGGCCGCGGCGGCCAGAGCGCAGGCGCGGCGCGGCCGGAAGCGGAAGCGCCCGCCCGGCGGAAGTGCGCGCTCGGCCCGCGTCACGCGCCCCGCCCGCCGCCGCCCCCCCCAGGCCGGAACCCCGCCGAGCGGGGCGCCGGGGCCGGGCTGCGCGGGGCCGGCCCGGGGCGTGGCCCGCGGCGTCAAGCTGAGGTCACAGGGGCGGCGGGCGACGCGCCGGGCCGCAGCCGCGAGGCGGGCCCCGGCGCGGGCGGGCAGGGCCGGGAGTCCCGCGGGGAAAGCGGGGCCGAGGACTCAGCCCCATGGGGCGCACCCTCAAAGCTCACTCCGCGGGCGCAGCAGGCTCTGCCCCGCCGCCCCTCGCTGCAGCGCCCCGGCGAGCCAGGGGGACAGAGGCGGCCTCGGGGGCCGGCCCCCAGGGGGACCGACCGCAGCCCGCGGGCCGGGGTGTGGACAGCGGCGGGGCGCCCCGCGGGAGGCAGCCAGAGCTGCAGGCCCCCTGGGGGGCCGAGCCGGCCGGGGCGCGGGCCTCCGTGCGCGCCAGCCCGACAGGGCCGCTGACCCAGGACTGGGTAAGCCCGGGGGCCGGCCCTCCGCCCCGGGACCCAGGGCTGGCTCTGGGAGGGCTGCTGGGTAGAGTGGGGCAGGGGCGGGCCTGGCGGGGAGCAGGCGGGGCTGGGCACACCCCAGGACCTGGAGGGCCTTGGTGGGACGCCCCCTCCGGCCTCGCGCCTCGCCTCGCGCCAGCACCTGCTGGCTCCTGCGGGGTCCCTGTCCTGGGCCGCCGGAGGGAGAGCTGCCCACAGCAGGGCCGGGCCAGCGTCACGTGGGGGTGGCGGCAGGACTGGCCAGATGGTCCCAAGAGGCTCTGTCACTGAGCGCCCAGCGGGAGCCCTCTCTAGCCCGCCACTGGCCCGCACCCCTGCCCAAGTGGGGCCCCTTCCTGTGCTCCCCCGAGCCTGGCACCAGCTAGCTGCCCTCTCTGACTGCCCTGAGGGTCCCTCCATTGAGTTCCCCAGAGCCCCTTCCGCGCGGAACTCTTCCCGGCACTGTCCGTGGTGGCCCCTGGCCATGCCAGAGCTGCCCCTCTGTGTCTTTTCCCTTCCCTTCTGGCCTCGCCCGAGCCTCCCCCACAGGGGCAGTGGGGAGCTTGCTCCCAGAGGAGCCGCCCACTGCTGGGGGCCAGGGTTGGGGGATGCCCTCTCGGGGCCTGTGGGCAGCAGCCCCCCCGGGGAGGGGCTGACCCAGGCGCTGCACCCTCCAGGCCCCTAGAAAGGCCAGAGAGAAGTACTGGAGGATAGAGAACAGGAGGACGAGAGACAGGCCAGCAGGAGGGACCCACTGTCTAGGGCACCCTCGCTGGGCAGAGGGTGCGGGGCAGCCCTGGCCACCCAGCACCTGCCCCCACGTTTCTCATCCCTTGAGATGGGAGTGGACAGGTGAAGCACCAGAGAGCCTGATAGGGCGGGCGGCCGAGGCCCGGGGCGTCCGGCGGGGCTCCTGCCGCCCATGTGGGGGCTGCCTGGCACCGCCCTGCAGAAGGTGCCCACCTGGGCCACGGCAGGGGCGGGGCGAGACACCGCGGCCATGTCCACTGCAGTGCAGTCGGCGTCCGGCAGAGGCCAGCGCCATGGCCTGGCTCACAGGGGGCGCGGGCGGCAGCCGCAGTCCTCCGGGCCACACATGGGGATGCACCTGGGCCTGCCAGGTCCCTGGAGGGCCAGGCCGCAGCGAGGGGAGCGGAGGGTGGCCCCTCCACAAGCTGAGGAGAGTCCTGGGTGGCACCTCCTGCCCCAAGCCGGCCCTAGACGTGGCCCAGGTGCCCATTACGCGTGTGTCATCATGGTGCACAGGGAGGGTTTTAGGGGAGGAAGGAACAAGAGGGCTCTGGACGCGGGCACTGCCGTGAGGAGCAGGGTAAGAGGCAGGAGCCCCCATCCAGGAGCGAGGCCTGGCCTGGCCCGGGTTGCCCCTGGGGTCTGATGCTGGGAAGGTGGCAGAGAACAAGGCTGGCCAGCGGGGCCTGAAGCCCCCAGGCCCCGGGAGGACCTGGGAGCAGCTTGAGCCCAGGGGAGGACAGGAGGGGCCGTGAATGCCCCCACCTGGCCCTGGTGGCTTGGGCCTGTCAGGACTGAATAGCAGGCAGCTGTGGTCAGCAGGGGGATGCAAACCATGGGGGGTGGTGCCCCTTCCTGAAGGAGACCCCAGGCCCCTGGCTGCCCGACACAGACAGAGCGAGACACAGAGGGACGGGCACGGGCTGGCCAGCAGGTGGCCAGACACAGACCTGCCTGCGGGAGGACCGTCCGGGGGCACGGGTCTTCCCAGAGGCCCCTGCCTGGCCAGAACGGCTGCTGAAAGGTGCTTGGCGTGGAGGGAAGGGAAGAGGCCCCCGTGTGTCGCATGCCCGACGCCCTGCCCCCCGCAGGTGTGCGAGGCCCCCCACAGCAGGAGCCCACGGCGCCACTGGAGCCTCAGCATCGAGGAGCGCCGGCAGCTGGCCCTGCTAGGCAGCGGCGAGACGCAGGAATCCGGCCTGGCGGTGCGGTGGGCAGCGGGCGGGGGAGGCCGGCCCCCAGCTCCGCAGGCCCCAGGCCTGACCCCACCCCCACGCCCCCACCCCCGTCTCCCACAGGACGTCCAGAAGCTGGTGGCCCGGCTGGTGGCCCAGGACGTGGGCCAGGACCTGCTCCTCCCCCACCCGCTCGGGCCCGGCAGGCCCAGCAACGCCTTCCGCGCCTTCCTGGCCCGCAGCGCGCCCTTCTGGCACAAGATGACCACGGAGGCCCTGCCGCCTCCACCCTCCTACATGTGTCTCCAGTGCCTTTCCTTGGGGTGCCGGGGGGACCCCAGGCCCAGGCTCCTGCCCCTTCTCAGGCCCCGGCAGGGCCGGCCCGCAGGTGCAAACACAGGTGGGAGGAGGTCTGGTGCCTGCCTCCTGTCGTCCCAGGCCACCTCTGCCAGGGACAGCGCCCGCCCCGCCAGCCTGACCACAATGGGGAGCCTGGCGTCGGGGGTGCCGGGGCTGACGACGCAGGTGCCTCTGGGGTGTGGGGTTGGCCTCAGGACCCGCACAGCCAGCCTGGGACACCGGTGGCATTGCGGGCTGGCCACGTCTGAGGGCTTCTGGGGGAGGGCGGCCGTGGCCGCACAGGCAGGCAGCCTGGTGACTCGTGGGACAGATGGCGGTGCGGGCAGAGGGCCAGGCAGCAGCAAGAACCGCTGTAACTGTCCTGGGCGCCCCGGGGGGGCCTTTGTTGGGGTGAGGGGTGGGCAGGAGGGTACCAGTGGTTTGGGGAGACCCAGGTGGAGGGCAGCTGGGAAGGAAGGGATGGAGCGAGGTATGTGCTGTCCTCAAAGCTGGAGATGGGACAGGACTGCTTGACCCTTGTCCCCTCTGTCCTGCCCCCCATGTCCCGGAGCTGGCTTCTGAGATGCTGCCACCCCCCTGCCGCTGGCGGAGCGCCCTGACTCCGCCTGCTCCATGTCCCCTGTCCTCCAGGAAGCTTTCCCAGCCATAGAGCCTGGCCCTTTCGCCGGACCCTGGATGGGCCTGGCCTGAGCAGGTTGAAGGGCGTGGCTGGGGCAGGGGTCGGGCCATAGGGGGCAGCGTGGCTCCCCCAGGCCCCTGATGGAGGGTCAGGGAGGGGTGTGCTGAGCGTCACAGTTGAGACAGCAGTGACGTGTGCTGTGGCCTCTGTCCCCGAGGCTTCTGAGCACCCCAGTTGTCCTCTCCTGCAGCCGGGGCTCTGCCCAGGCCTCTCCTGGGCTGCAGGCCGTGGTGCTGGCGCAGGTGCCCTGCAGCTGGGCGTCCGCATAGCACTTGGCCCCCCACTCAGGGCCTGGCCCTCGGGGCCTTCTCTGGACAGGTGCTGTGGCGGCCCTGAAGTGCAGGAGTGGGGAGCCCTGAACACTGCTTGGCACTGGCAGCTGAAGCCCAGGGGTCAGCCTGGCCCCTGAGAAGCAGGCGGGCAGGCTGTGCTGCCCGGCACTGAGGGCCCAGGAGAGGCCGGTGCTAACCTGCGGGGCCTGAGGCCGAGCGGCTCTCCTGTCCTGACAGTGGCCTGCGCGGCCCAGCTCTCTTCACCCTGTGGGCAGGAAGCGTGGCCAGCTGGGTCCATGCCAGGAGCCCAGTCCGCTGGTCCCCCCTGCAGGCCAGCTGGGGTCACCCATAGACCCCCAGTGGCCATGACATCACCCCCCAGACCACAGGGACCCCAAGGCTCTGATGTTGGCCCTGTCCAGCAGCCTGGGCTCCTCGTGATGGACACCTTGTCCTTCCCACCTGCTCTGGCCCTGGCGCAGCTGCTCTGCCCCTAACCCCGCTGCTGTCAGAGCACCCCACACCCCCACCCCTACGCCCCGCCGCCCCGGGCAGACCCCACCTTCTGACCCACGGCCCCGCTTCCTACAGTTTCCGCAGCTGTGCTGCTCTGCCTGTGCCCTCCCTGGCCTGGGGCTGAACTGGGGTCAGGGTCACTCTGTGCTGCCCCGACAGCCTGGGTCCTCTGGGCCGTGCTCACCCAGGCGCTGGGGGGAGGGGGGAGGCCTTGGGCCCCAGGGGCAGGGCTGGCGGCTGCTGAGTGTCTCCCGGCTTCCTATGGGACTGATGTGGGGCCCAGAGACATGGGACCCCGCAGCCCGGCTGTGACCTCCCCAGAGGACTGGCCCTCTGCTGCCCCTAAGGACGACAGCAGACTGACCCCGGCCCCCGGCAGGTTAGGGCCTCCCTCCCACTGGGTGGGGGCAGGTCCTCACGTCCGCAGACACTGGCCCTGTTTCTGGGACCCTGTTTCTGGGTCCGAGCCAGAAGCAGCCTCTTCACAGCCCCCCGTGTCCGGGTGGCAGGTTCTGTTTTGGGGTCGGTGTGGCTGGGAGCGGCTGCCACGCCACTTTCCAGATGAGGAGAGCAGGACTCCAGCCTCCGCCCCTGGGGTGACGGCACCCCTTCTCCCTCCGCTCCCCCGCCCCAGCACCATCAGCCAGACCTGCTCCTGTGTCCACCCGGCCCCCCACCAGGCCCCCTGTGCCCCCCTGGCTCCCCGCCAGACCCTCTGGCCACCCAGCCTTCCTCAGGCACCCCCAGTCCCCAGCGTCCACCCAGCCCTCCCCACTAGACCCCTGATGTCCACCCTGGCAACCTGCGTGCTGGCCTGGGCCTTTCCTGGCTCCTGCTCTGGCAGGGACATCCCCCATCTGGACCTGGTTCCCCTCCAGCCACAGACCTGCCCATCAGGGTGCGCCCGGCCCGGCCCGGCCGGCAGGAGCCGTGGGGAGGTGGCCGACCCCCACCGGGCTGCCGGGGCTGGGCTGCTGGGGTCTGACGAGGGGCGCGGATCCGGCGGGGCGCGAGGGTGCGGGCACCCCTCACCGCGCCCGGGCCTGGCCCGCTGCTCCCGCCTCCGGCGATGCCCCTTGCTTGGCCCTGGTCGCCTGGGCTCCGGGAGCTGCGCGGTGCCGGCCTCGGCCTCGGCGCCGCCCCGTGTGAACCCCGGCCCGGCCTTGGGGGCCCCGGGGCGGCGAGCGGGGGCGCGGGCGGGAGGAGCCGCGGGTGGGGCCGTGGCGGGCGGCGTCTGGGGCAGCACCGGGTCGGCGGGGACCGCCCGGACCAGCGGGGCCCCGGGGGGCGAGCGGGGGCCGTCCGGCGTCGGGGGGGCCGCCCGGGCTCCCCGCGGGCCGGGGGTCACGTGGCGGCGGGCCGGGGCGCCGGGGCGCGCGGCGGGTAACGGCCCGGGGGGGGGGGGAGCCCCGCCCCGCCCCGCCCCGCCGGAGGCTCCGCCCCTTCCTCTCCCGCCCGCGCCCGGAGCTGGGCCTCGGCGGCGGCGGCCTCGGCGGCCCCTTTAAACCGCCCGCGCCCCCGCCCGCCCCCGCCCGCCCCCGCCCCCCGCCCGCGCCTCCATCTTCCCGGCCCGCCCGCCCGCCCGCCCGCGCGCCCGGCCGCGGACATGGCCGCCAACATGTACAGGGTCGGAGGTAAGGCCGCCGCCTCATGCGCCACCCGGCCGCGGGCGCCCCGCGCCCCCCCGCGCCGCCCCGCGCCCCGCGCCCGGCCCGCCCCGCCCTCCCGGCCCCCCATCCCGGCCCCCGCGCCCCGCATCCCGGCCCCGGCCCCTCGATCCCGGGCCCCGCTCCCGGCCCCGGCCCCCGCATCCCGGCCCCCGCGCCCCGCATCCCGGCCCCCGGCATCCCGGCCCCGGCCCCCCGCTCCCGGCCCCGCTCCCCGCATCCCGGCCCCCGCACCCCGCATCCCGGCCCTAGGCCCGGGTCCCGCTACCCCGGCCCCAGCTCCCCGACCGCCCGGGCCCCGACCCGCCGCCCGCACCGACCTCGGCGCCCCCAGGCCCCGGAGCCCGCCCCTCCCCCCGCCCCTCCCGGGCGCCCCCCGCGGCCCCCCTCCGCCTCTGCCCTCCCGCCGCCCCCCTCCCGCGCGCCCCGCTGGTGCGGCCGCCGTGCCGCCTCCCGGGCCCCTGCCCGCCCTGCGGCCCGACCCGAGACCCGAATGGCCCGGGGCGCGCGGGGTGGGGGGCGGCCCACCTGTTGGCCCCGGCGGCGTCGTCCTGGCCCGCGGCAGCCGGTCCGCGGGGCCTGCGGCCCTCGCCGGGCAGGAGCACGTGGCCTGGGGGCAGGAGCTTGGGGACACCCTGGGCTGGCCCCCAGGCTGGGCTGGCCCCGTCTCCTCCAGCTCGGCCCCTGGGGTGGTCACGCTCCTGCCCAGGGGGCCGGGAGCTGCCACTGGGGCTGGGAGTGTGCCTGGGCCCTCAGGGGTCCTGGGCAGTCCCGCGCGCTGCCTCCCCGCCCAGCCCGGCAGGGGGGGCTTTCACGGCTGCTGAGCCCCAGGTGGGCCACCCCTGCGGGCTGGGGTGCCCGGGGCCTGGGCCCCTGCCAGAGCTGTCTTCTGGCCCAGAGAGCCCCCGGCTCGCCCAGGCTGTGGCAGGGGCCGGCGTCCGGGCCAGCTCGCTCCTCGGGGGGTGGGTGGCCCCGGGTCCCGTCTCGGCCGCTGGGCCCGACGACCCTCCCTGGGACTTGGGCGTCTCATGTGCCCCCACAGGGTCCGGGCTAGGCCGCTCTGCCCCGTCCTGAGTCTCTGTTCCCAGCTGCCCCCCGGCTGGCTGACGCCCCCTTTGGGGGGGCTGGCAAGTGCACCCTCCTCCCCCGGTGCCAGGACCCCCGCCTGCCTCCGCCGCCTGGCTGGGAGGTCATTGCAGGAATGGGGTCCGCACCCATTTAGCGGCAGCCCCTTGCACAGCCTCACCTCTTCCTGGGCAGGGATCAGCACAGCACAGGTCCCTCCAACCACACTGCTCCCCGCATGCCCTCTGCCCCCCAGGTTCCTCACCAGCCTGCTGCCTGTTTCACCCCGACCCTTCCTGCCGCAGCTCCCCTGTGCCCCTGGGGCTCGCCCGCCAGGTGGGGTCGAGCGTCTCATACTCAGCAAGTTGGCAGTGACCCCAGGAGGGACTTGCCTGCCCCTGGCGGAGGTCCTGCCCAGCCCGTGTCCCCTCCCTTGCCATGTGGCCCCTGCTGTCCCGGCTGCTTGGCCAGGGCCTGGCCCCAGGCCCCTGAGCCCCTTCTGATGCGTGTCCCTGGTGCCCTGTGGGTGGGGCCCTGGGGTGCCCCTGGGCCCGGCAGGGCGGGGGTCACGGGTGGGGGCACATGCCCGAGCAGGAGCCTGTGGGCTCCTCAGGCCAGGCAGAGCGGGGTGCTGGCTGAGGGAGCCACCGCGGCCGTCTCCCTGGGTACCTGAGAATGGGGGCCTGTGCAGGTGCGGGCCCAGCAGAGGTGCATGGCACCCTGGCCCACCGCTGGCCCCATGTGCAGCCCCCGCCCCGGCACACCTGAGCTTGTCCAGAGGTCCCCACGGCCTTGCCTGGGCAGCGCATCCCCCAGCCCCGGGGCGGTCTTGCCTGCTGCCCGCCCCCGCCTTCTCCTGGTGCGTCCCTTTTTTTTTTTTTTTTTAAAGATTTATTTATTTATCCATACAAGCACTGGGTACAGTCAGAAGCGCGGGAGGGTGAGAGGATTCCCCAGAGCCAGAGCGGGGAGCAGAGCAGGCAGAAGGACCGAAGGACACTGCTGAGGGGAGCAGCGGGCGGCAGGAGAGGTCTGCGCGCCATGCGGGACCCTCGCCCATGTGGGACCCTCGCCGGCGGCCAGGGATTGAACCGGCGCTGCAGAGGCTGCGGGCAGCTTCGCAACCCAGTGTTCAACCGCTGCGCCACCGGGGAGGCCCATGGTGCGTCCCCTTTCTTGTGAGAAGGGAAATCTCACTCTTTCGGGTAGTTTGCTCCTTGAGAGCAAAGACACAGAAGTGGTTCAGTCTGCGGGCAGCGTCCACCTCGCCGGATAAGTCTTTTTGCTTCTGGTGTTTTCTTTGCTTTTGGCGCCTGTGAACTCTGCAGCCTGTCTCGTGGGCAGGACCCCGCCATGTGTCCCCCCCGCCCCGCCCCGGCCTCCTCAGGCTGGAGAGCGCTGGCCCAGCAGGCCTCCTGCTGGCCAGGCCTGGCGGCCACAAGAACACAACACCTGCCCTGGGGTTCCATGTGTCCACAGGGGCCTCCCTCGTTCTGGCCCTGCTTACTGGGGCCTCTAGCTGCACTTGGGGTGCTGCGCCTGGATTTTGGGCTGAGTCCCACAGAGCCCCAGGGATAGCTGCCGAGGTGTCCGCGGACTCCGCTGGGCGCCGCATCTGCTGCAGGCGGTGGAGATGCCGTGCGTGTGGGCCCTGGGCAGGCGGCCGCTCCCCCTGCCCATAAGGGTCGGGCTACGCGGGGCACCGGGTAGCGGTCCCTGCTATGCCCCAGGGACTCTGGGGCGCCCCTCACCCGCAGCTCCTGGCTTGTGCGGTTCCTGTGGGGGTCTGTCAGGCTCAGGACTCCAAAGCCTAAGACCCCGGTTGCCGTGAGAGGCAGGGCTGGCTGCCCGTGTGGGCCACTGGGCTGTGCCGGGGTCCCTGACACCCCAGAGGCCCATTTGAGCGCCAGGCAGGGTGGCCGTGCAGGCCGTGTCCTGTCCAGAGGAAGCAGGCTGCTCAGGCCCGTCTCCAGAAGCCACTCCCTCCTGGCTGGGTTGGTCTGCTCCTGGACTTTGGGGGCACCTGGTGGCTCTCGGGGCCCTTGCTGCCCAGCCCTGCAGGGCCTGTGGGGAGCGCAAGGGGTGCCCAGGTGCATGGGTGGAGCTGCAGGGCCCGATGCTGGTCCCGTGGGTGTTTCCTGGTTCCAGCCCCAAATCAGCAGCGACAGCACCTGCCTCAGCCTGTGCTCGTCTGGGGTGCGCGGCCAGCCTGCGCCCCCACCTCCCCCCACCCCACTGGGGGTCCTGCCGGGGGTGGGCAGGCGGGAGGCGCAGTGCGGAGGCAGCGCCAGCTCCTTGTGGCCTGTCCAGGCCGGGCCGGGCAGCAGGCTTGCAGTCCTACGGCCGTGAAGGCCAGAGGCCTGGCGGACTTAGGGGGACGTTCCGCTTGCCGTGGGCCGGTGGGGGCTTCTTCGAGTTCTGCAGCGTTTTGTGTCCCTGCGGGCCCCGTAGAGGGGGCGGCTGTGGACCCTCCCTCCCCCCCCGTGCAGCTGCCGGGCACCGGCTCGCGGTCCGTGCGTCTGGGCCCTGGGTGCTCGCTGGCTGCGCCGTGGTGCTGGGACCCGCCAGCAGGGCTGGGGCGTTGCCCCTCGGCGGAGAACTCACCCTCTCGCCATCCCTAGTGCGTGGAGGCGCCGGCCAGTGACCCAGTTAGGGTCAGGTGGGCCGGGACTCCGCGGGGAGATTTGCAGCGTCGAAGCCGTGTCTGAAGTGGCCCGAGGACACCCACTGTGGCCGAGCCCCAGGGGGTGGGAGACGCCGGCTCACTTAGATCCGCCCGGCGGGTCTCCCGGCCTCCACACCCTGTTTGCTCGCACCCACTTCTGTCTGCAAGTGGCTCGCTCTGTGCGGCCGTCCGCCAGCCAGTGTCCAGACTTGTCTCTGTCCTGGCGGCCCCACAGCACTTCCCCCTCCAGCTCCCTCCATTTTGCCTTGAGGGTGCTTTTGTTTCCTGCCGTGCCCCCCACGCGCCCGTGGACCCCCCCTGCCAGCCACGCCCCCCGCGTGGACAACCCCCCTGGGCACGGTCCTCCCCCACGGGCTCGGGGACTGTAGGCCTGCCTGGTACTGTGGACGGCTGCACCTGAGTTGTGATTCCTGGGGGCCTGGATGGAGCAGAGGGGTCGGGGGTGCGTCCTCCTCTGGGCCGGACAACACGTCGCAAGCTCCAGGGCCTCCAGGCGGCTCAGGCAGGGAGTGGCAGAGGCTGCGGGTCGAGGGGTCCACAGTCTAAGGGGCGGGGGCGGGCCCACGCAGGGCACCCCCGGGCTGTGAGGGCGCTACCCGTGGAACCCTCCCTGCCCCACAGATGAGGGCCCCCTTCTGTCCTGCCTGGGGGGCCACGGGCTCCCTGCAGCTTGTGGCCCTGGGGCTCCCCCCGCTTTTCTGAGGTTAGACCACCCCAGCAGAGCTCTGCGCCTATGTCGCCACCGGCCCACGGCGCCTGCTTGGCCCCAGGGCCAGCTGGGCGGGATTGTGGCTGCCATCGTGACAGCGTCCGACTGGGCCAGCCAGTGACCACTGCTGCAGGCCTGGCTGTGGGGACCCCTCACGAGGGCACCAGAGGCGGGGCAGCACAGCCAGGCAGGGCCCCCTTAAGGGGCTGCGCTTGCTGGCCCAGGGCATGTGGTGCTGCGGTCCCTGGCGCGGCTTCCGCCTCCCAGACACCGGCTGGCTCGTCCTGGCGCAGACCTGGCAGGCGGTAGCTGAGGCCGCATGCACCTGCCCGCCCTGCACAGAGGGACCTGCAGGGGGAGGGCACCCCCCGGGCTGCCCCGGGACCTCCGGGAGGCCTTTGATGGTGGAGGGAGCTCCTGTAGGCCCCGCTCGGCTGGTCGGCAGGAGGTGAGCTCTGCCGCAGCGGGTCCAGCTCCGCTGCCCTGGGCGATGGCCCCTTCTTCCAGACCCGACGTCCGGGGAGTCCTTTTTCCTTCAATGTCCTCCCCGGGCCCGCCTGTGCACTGCGTGCCCCTGCCAGCCCGGCTGAGACCCTGCCTGTGCAGCCGTCTCACGGGGCACCCCGGCCCTTGGCGCTCTCGGCGCCGGCTCTTCCTTGCTCTGCTGCTTAGGGGGGCGGGGGGGGGCCTGCGCCCAGGTTGTGGGCTGTCATGGCAACATAGCCTGCCCCACGCAGCCCCAGGCCAGCCCCCTGACCGCCCCCCCCCCGGGAACCTTGGGTGGCTCCGGTCCGGAGCACGTGTGGGTAATGACCTGGCTGTGTCCCGGAAGGGAAGCGTGGGTGGCTGATGGGGAAGGTTTCCTTAAAACCCGCTTTGTGGCGACGTGACCGACAGGTAAGACGCCCCGGGTGGGGGTGGGGGTCCGCGAGTCCCGTTCTCTTCAGGTCACGTCCAGGTCGAGAGCACCTGAGGGCCTGCTGCCCATTGACCCCGCGGCCCCTGTCCCTCATGGGGTGCTCTGCTCGGCCATGGTGTGGGGCCCAGTGCCCTGCGTCCTCTCTGCTGCCTCGTCTGGGGCTCATTCACCTGTGCCCACGGGGCTGGCAGTGTTCACAGGCGTCCGCCCCTCTCCAGGCGCAGCTCCGCCCCTCCCGCGGCTCCCCAGGTGCGGCCCCGGAGCATGGTGAGGTGCTGGGGTGCCTCCCAGGATGGGCCAGGGCTGGGGCTCTGCCGCTTGCCTCACGCTGCCCCCAGCCCTGGAAGCCGGTGGAGGTCTGACTGGAGGGGCTCGTAGGGGTACGGGCAGCGCCCCACTGACCCTGTCCTGTTTGCAGACTACGTCTACTTCGAGAACTCCTCCAGCAACCCATACCTGATCCGCCGGATTGAGGAGCTGAACAAGGTGGGTGCGTTCTGTGGGGGGCCGCGCCGTGTCGTTCCCGTCCCCCGCCCCCCTCCGGGCCTGGCCTGTCCCAGAGCTGAGCACCCCAGGTTTCCTCCCTGGGCCTAGGCTGCCCACGCCTGCGCAGAGTGCCTGGGGTGCTTCTGGGGACCCACCCGCTATCCCAGAAAGGGGTGCCCAGCACCTGGGCAGCACTGGGTCCCCCGGGCCGCTCCCTGCTGGCGCTGTATCCTGCGGCCACGGCGGGAGCAGGCAGAGCGAGCCTCCAGGGCGGGCGCTGCGAGGGGGACGAGGGTGGGCCTCGGGCATGGCCTCTGTGCCCAGGTCTGCGTCGTCACCAGGCCCCCGCGCCAGCACCTGACACGCGTGAAGGACCAGGACCCCAGGTCCTTTGCCCTGACACCTCTAAAATAGCCAGAGCACGCCAGGCTGTGGCTCCTTGCATGGGCAGCGGCAGCGGGACCGCTGTGTCCACTGGGCCTTCCTGGGTGGGTCAGGTTGGAGCAGGATCCCCAGGAGGATGTGGGGGTCAAGTAGACAAGGGCGGTGCCTCCAGGGAGCAGGAGGCCCATGGCCGCGCGCGAGGTGAGGCCAGGCGGACGCCTCCAGACAGCTCCCCTCACAGAGAGCCTGCCCCCGCCCCATGTGGCTCTGCAGGGCCCAGAGGGTCCAGGGTTCCAGGTAGCTGAGAGGAAGGGAGTGCACCCCTGCAGGCCCCTCAGCTCAGGACAGCACGGCCTCTCCCTGGGCCCAGCGCACGGGGCCCCGGGGTGTCGCTGGGTACGAGGCTGCTGCTTTCTGCAGCCAGGGGACCCCACTCTGCCAGCTCAGAGCCTGTGGGGCCAGCCTCTGTGACGGGGTCCAGCCAGTGCTGCCCAGGGTTGGCGCAGAGCACAGGCTTCAGCCTGGGCGTGTCTACCTCACTGGCCAGTGGGCAGGGGAGCTGTGTCTGGTATCACTGCCCGGGTCACTGGGGACCCGCTTTCTGGTCACATCTGGACCCAAAATTGCCCTGGTCTAGGCAGCTGCCCAGCCGGCTGGCCCCCAATGTCCCAGAGCCGAGTGCCCGGTGCCGGTGTGCCAGCCCGCGCTGGCGTGGGGTTTGAGGCGGGCAGCTGGCCTTGGGCGGGCGGTGGCGGCCGGTCTCGCCTGGACGGCAGGGTCCCAGATGCCTGCGGTCTGGCATGGGCGGGTGGGAGGCTGGGGGGCTGGCGTGCACCCCCCTGGCCGCTGCTCGAGGGTGCCCCTCCTCGCTGTTGCAGACAGCCAACGGGAACGTGGAGGCCAAGGTGGTGTGCTTCTACCGGCGCCGGGACATCTCCAGCTCCCTCATCGCGCTGGCCGACAAGCACGCCAGTGAGTCGCCCGCCCGCCTGCCCGCCCGCCGTCTCTGGGGCCCGCCCTTCGTCCTGCCGTGGGCGCCTGTGGCGCTGGCAGTGTGAGACCGGAGACCGAGTCCCGTGTCCATCTGCCGAGGCCGCAGGGCGGGCCTGAGTGGAGCCCTCAGTGGGCCTGCAAAGGGACTGACCCTGCCAGCTTCTGGCCGGGACAGCTGCCCTCACGCCCCGGTTCCCCGGCCTGGCCTCCCTGCCCACCGCAGTGGGCTTGCCAGCTCAGGGGCCCGGACTCCTGGCCGCATAGGAGGGCCAGACTGCTGCGCAGGGGGCAGCCGCCCGCCGCAGGGCTGCTGGGTGTGAGCCGGCTGGGGAGGGGCCCAGAGGCTGGGGGTCGCCCAGGGCTGTGTGAGCAGCGGGTCCAGCCGTTGGGCCTCCTGGGTTGTGCCTGTGGGTCTGCTCCTCGGCCCGATGTCCCCATCAGGTGGCCAGTGCCCGGTGGACAGCCTGCGGGGGACGGCTATCTCTCCGTCTCCAGCCCTGAAGCCTGTGGCCACCACACGCTCTGGAAAAGAGTGGGGTCTTGGGGTCCACAGGCTGCGTGTCGGAGGTTGGTCAGGAGGGTGCTGGCCCACATGGCCGCTCACCCCTGCTGGACAGCTGGTGGCCAGGAGGTCTGGGCCAGGTGTCCCCGAGGGCCCTGGGACCCAGTGTCCCGGCCTGGCTGGGCCCTCCAGCCCTCCAGCAGAGTGCCTGGGGTGTGAGGTGGGGTGAGGCCGCCTCTGGACCCAGCCCTGTGTCCCTGGAGACGGAGCACCCCGGCCCCGCATGCTCCCCGGGAGGAAGGCTGATGTGGGGCAGAGGGCCTGGGTGGGGGGTGAGCCCAGAGGACGTGTCCCTCAACCTGTGCTGGGCTGGGCTGTTGAGCCGCGGGGGTCGGGGGAGCCGGGTCCCCTGTGCCAAAGGGCCCAGCCAGTGCTTCCATGGGATCTCCGCTGCCGCCACAGGGGGGCAGCAGAGGGCACGGCATACCCCCACTTGGGGTGCTGGTAGCTTGGGATGCTGTCCCAGCCCTGGTTGACGTCCTGGGGGCCGCCAGCTTGTGCCACTGACCTGCTCCTGGTTCCTCTGCCCGGGCCTAGGTCTGCTCTGCTCCCTTGGACTTTGGGGGTTGGGCCAGGGTTGGCAGGGGGGATGTCCAGCAGCCTGGGGCTCTCCAGGAGGCCCGTGACCCCCGAGTCCGCCTGCCTGCAGCCTCACAGCCCTGGTGGGCCAGCGGGAGCGCAGGTTCTGGCTGACCCACCCCGGGCATCTCTCACGCAGCCCTGTCAGTCTGCTGCAAGACCGGACCCGGGGCCGACACCGGTGAGGAAGGTACCTGCGCCTCCTGCCCTGTGCCCCCCCCACCTCCCAGGCCCGTCCGGCCCCAGAGCCTGCTGGGCGGGCGGGCTGAGCCTGTGCCCTCTGCTTCCAGCCAGCCGGGCCCGCCTCCCTCCTGTCCGCGGGTGCCCCCGTGGGGCGGGTGTCCTGTGCTGGGGCGACGCTGGCCATGTGGCTGATGGGACATTTGTCCTCAGGCGAGACAGAGGAGGAGATGGAGAATCCCGAGATGGTGGACCTGCCCGAAAAGCTCCGGCACCAGCTGCGGCACCGGGAGCTGTTTCTCTCCCGGCAGCTGGAGTCACTGCCAGCCACCCACATCAGGTGAGCCCCATCGGGTGCCCCCAGACCACCCACATCGGGTGAGCCCCATCGGGTGCCCCCAGACCACCCACATCGGGTGAGCCCCATCGGGTGCCCCCAGACCACCCACATCGGGTGAGCCCCATCGGGTGCCCCCAGACCACCCACATCAGGTGAGCCCCATCGGGTGCCCCCAGACCACCCACATCAGGTGAGCCCCATCGGGTGCCCCCAGACCACCCCGTCAGGTCAGACACCCCCCAGCCTGCTGACTCTGTCCCGCAGGGGGAAGTGCAGTGTCACCCTGCTCAATGAGACCGAGTCCCTCAAGTCCTACCTGGAGCGGGAGGTGAGCCCCCACTCCCCCCTCCCCCATCCTCCTAGGTCCCTCTCCCCTCTCCTCCCGAGTGACCTGCACCTGTGGTGGGAGGGGGGTGGGATGGAGGGTTGCTGGGTTTAGGAGCCCAGAAAGGCAGGGCCAGCCCGGGCCACCCTCCTCTGCACGGCAGCCAAGGCCACAGGCATGGGCGGGCAAGATGTGGGCAGCAACCAGCCCTGGGACGTTGGGCCAAGGGTCATCGGTAAGAAGGGCCAGGCTGGCAGTGTCTAGTGCAGCACACTTGTGACTGGCCAGCATGGGCACCTGTGTGGTCAGTGTCCTCCAGGACAGGCTATCTGGGTCGCGGAGGGCAGTGGCTGCTGCCAGCTGGTGCCTAAACTGCCTGAGCGGCCCCACCATGCCCCTGCCCGGCCCTCACCAGGCCCCTGCCCAGCCCCTGCCCTGCCCCCGCCCGCCCCGGCCCACTGGGCCGCGCCCGCCCACGCCCGGCTGCTGTGTCGCAGGACTTCTTCTTCTACTCCCTGGTCTACGACCCCCAGCAGAAGACCCTCCTGGCGGATAAAGGAGAGATCCGCGTGGGGAGCCGGTACCAGGCGGACATCACCGACCTGCTGAAAGAAGGTGGGGGGAGGGTCCCGGCGGGGAGGGGCGGTCTGCGGGGCGCTGTCTGCTGGGCTGACTGCTGTGCGTCCACCCCGGCGCTGTCCCCTCCTCATCTGAGGCGCCTGCCTCTGGCACCTGCCCTCACTCTCTGCCGCGCCCGCCTGGTCCCAGCCGCCCTGGGGCCTCGGGGACCTGCCTCGTGCTTCTTGCCCTGTGACCCCTCCCAGCTCGGCGTGGCGGGGGGGGATCCTGGCAGAGGCGCCTTGAGGCTGCAGTGTCTCCAGAGGCCACCAGCGGGTCACAGTGGGCGGTGACTCAGGGCACCCCGTGTCTCTGGTGGTGACCGGGGGCCTGGGGTAGGAGACAGAGCTGGTGGCCGTCACCTGCTGGCAGCTCAGTCAACCCCATGGGCCACTGTCAGTCTGATTCTGGAGGCCGTGGCCTGCTGGCCAGCTGGCCACTGTGTGGTCCCAGGCCACCCCCTCCCACCACTCGGGACTCACTGCTGCCTGCCGGTCCCGCCTCAGCCCACTCCCGACCCCGTCTCCTGAGGGTCCGGGCCCGCTGCCTTCCCTGGTGACCGCTCGGGAGGCCCATCCCTGAGGGTGTCCTGGTGTCCCTGACAGCAGGTAGCCCAGTGGCAGGATTGCCCCCTTCCCTGTCCCCTCTGAGACTCGAGGGTGGACCCCGCTTAGGCCACAGTGTTGCTTGGCCGGGGGCCGACTGGTGTCCACGTGCGAGTGCCCAGTGCCTGGCTGGCATGCGGACACCCCTTGCGTGCCTACCCGCCCTCCAGGACCCAGTGGCTCTGTCCTGGTCTCCCTGGGGTGCCTGCCCATGTTCTGGGTGTGTCGTGATAAGAGCTGGGGTAGGTAACCTCCAGCCTGGCTGCCGCCCCCAGGAGCAGGGGGCACCTGGTGTGCCCTGAACGTGTGCCGCCCCCCCCCCCCCGCCCCCGGCCTCAGTGCACCAGCAGGCCAGCTGGGTGTGGCCTCGGAGCCGGGCGCTGCAGGGCCTGCAGTGGCTGGCTGACCGGCTGGTCTCCCTGGCAGGTGAGGAGGACGGCCGCGACCAGGCCACGCTGGAGACCAAGGTGTGGGAGGCGCACAACCCGTTAGTGGACAAGCAGATCGACCAGTTCCTGGTGGTGGCCCGGTGAGTCCCAGGCACTGTGCGCAGGGGCTGCCCCACTCAGCCTCTGCTGAGGGCCCCTCGGGCTCCAGAGCACCCTGCCTGGGTGCCCAGGGGCTGCTGGCCACTGCAGGGCCCACTCTGTTCTGAGGCCCCGGTGCACCCTTGTCCAACCCAGCCCCGGCCGGAACTCCCCAGCCTAGATCAGATGGTGCAGTCTCTCTGCATGGCCCGGCCACCCTGCCGGTTGCTCCTCAAGATGCTTACCCAGTAGCAGCATCTTCAGTGGGGCCGGCCGGGCCGCCCTGCAGCCCAGTCTGCTCTGGTGTCCAGCGTGCCTTTCTCCCCAGCTCCGTGGGCACCTTCGCACGGGCCCTGGACTGCAGCAGCTCCGTCCGCCAGCCCAGCCTACACATGAGTGCCGCAGCCGCCTCCCGTGACATCACCCTGGTGCGTGGCCCCGGCGGGGCAGTGGGCGGTGGTGGGGAGCCAGGCCGTCGCCCCGCCCCTGCCCCGTCCTCCCGGGGCCAGCCCTGGGGACCCAGCGGTACCCCTCACTCACGCAGTTCCACGCCATGGACACTCTGCATAAGAGCGTGTACGACGTGGCCAGGGCCATCTCGGCGCTGGTGCCGCAGGGCGGGCCAGTGCTCTGCAGGGACGAGATGGAGGAGTGGTCGGCCTCGGAGGCCAGCCTGTTCGAGGAGGCCCTGGAGAAGTACGGCAAGGACTTCACGGACATCCAGCAGGACTTTGTGAGTGCCAGGGCGCGGGCTCGGGCCCTCCAGGCCAGCCTGCAGGCGCAGCAGCGCCAGGGTCCTGTGGCCACGCCTGCCCAGCTGCTTCTGCACCCAGCAGGCCCCTGGGGCTTCTGTGTGGGCAGGGCCTGTGTCCCTGGGGCCCCACCAACCCCAAGTACCCCTAAAACAGTTGGGTTCTCAGGAGAGGCTCCTCGAGGCAGAGGGCAGCCGCTGGGGCGCCGGCCTGACCACTGACCACGAGCTGAGGCTCCACACGCTGGCTGGTCTCCTTAGGGGTGTGGTCACAGCAGGCCAGTCAGTCCAGCCGAGCCACTCGAGAAGCTTCCAGATGCAGAAGAGACCATTGAGGCAGGGGGGTCGGGCCCCTGGGGCCATTGGGCCCCTGGGGAAGTGCCAGGCCCCTGGAGCCATGCTGATGCCTCGGCTGTGACCAGCCAGAGTGACCAGGCGAGCCTGAACTTGGAGTTGACAGACACGGGTAGAGCCGCAGGTGCAGCCGCCTACCAGGGCAGCAGGGCAGCAGGGCGGGTGACCGCGGAGGACCCAGCATGGCCTACACCCACCTGTCCAGGACAGGCCCGGGCGCCAGGTGTCCTACATGGTGACCCCCCGGGCCGACCTCAGGCTGGGGGTGGGGTCCTGGCCGCCCTGGCTCTGGACGGAGCTCTTCCTCGTGGCCCAGCCGGCTGCACCTGCAGGAAGGGCCTGGGGTGGCGCCCATTCCAGAGCTGTGCCCCTGGGCGCGGCCGTGGGGGCGGGAGCCACGCTTCCCTGCTGTGTGACCCAAGAACTGCGGCCGTGGCGGCCGGCCTGACGCGGCTCCCCCCGCAGCTGCCCTGGAAGTCGCTCACCAGCATCATCGAGTACTACTACATGTGGAAGACCACCGACAGATACGTGCAGCAGGTGCGCGGGCGCGGGGGGCGGGCGGTCCCGGGGCGGCTGCCGGCCCCTGACCCTGTTTTGTGTTTTAAGAAACGCTTGAAAGCGGCCGAGGCGGAGAGCAAGCTCAAGCAGGTGTACATCCCCAACTAGTAAGTGCGCGGGCGGCGGGTGGCGGGGGCGCCCGGGCGGCGCCCTCCGTGACCCGCCTCCTCCTCGCCCCAAGTAACAAGCCGAACCCGAACCAGATCAGCGTGAGCAGTGTCAAGGCCGGCGTGGTGAACGGCGCGGGGGCGCCCGGCCAGAGCCCCGGGGCCGGCCGGGCCTGCGAGAGCTGCTACAGTAAGTCCCCGGCCCGGGGCGCCCGCCGCAGGGCCCTGCACCCCGAGGGCTGGCGGGCGGGCGGCTGGGCCGGGGCGCCGGCGGCGGCGCGCGGCGCTCTGCCGTCCCGGTTCTGCTTAAGAACCCGCCTATCTCCCCCTTTGTTGTCCGTAGCCACCCAGTCTTACCAGTGGTATTCTTGGGGTCCCCCTAACATGCAGTGTCGTCTCTGCGCGTCTTGTTGGACGTATTGGAAGAAATATGGTGGCTTGAAAATGCCAACCCGGTTAGATGGGGAGCGGCCCGGGCCCAACCGCAGCAACATGGTAAGCGGCCCCGCCCGCCCGCCCGCCCCCGCCGGCCGGCCCGCACTCACGGCTGTGTCGGGGCCCGCGCCCCCTTCCGCAGAGCCCGCACGGCCTCCCGGCCCGGAGCAGCGGGAGCCCCAAGTTCGCCATGAAGACGCGGCAGGCCTTCTACCTGCACACCACCAAGCTCACGCGCATCGCCCGGCGCCTGTGCAGGGAGATCCTGCGCCCCTGGAGGGCCGCCCGGCACCCCTACCTGCCCATCAACAGCGCCGCCATCAAGGCCGAGTGTGAGTGCGCCCCGGCGGTGGGCGGGTGGGCGGGCGCACGCTGCTGGGCTCTGACCCGCTCCCGGTGCTGGCCCACAGGCGCGGCCCGCCTGCCCGAGGCCTCGCAGAGCCCCCTGGTGCTGAAGCAGGCGGCGCGGAAGCCGCTGGAGGCCGTGCTGCGCTACCTCGGTGAGCGCCCCGCCAGCACCCCCGCTCCCCACCCCCCCGCCCGCCCCCACCAGCTCTGCCCTCGCGGGCCCTGGAGGGAGGGGGCGCCCCGGAGATGCGCCCTCCTTGAGGGACATTCCAAGCCGGGCCAGGGTGCCCAGTGTGGCTCTGGCTACCCTGGCGTCTGGGTCCCTGTCCCGGCTGACCTCGCCCGCCCCAACCTGCAGGGGTGGGTGGGGAGCGCGCGGGGTGTGGCCCTGTCTGCCACCGCGGCTGGGGTGGGGGCTGGGCCCAGTCCGCGGGGCCCAGCGGCCAGCCCTGCCCAGCCCGCTGAGGCCCCTGGCTGCTCCCGCAGAGACGCACCCCCGCCCCCCCAAGCCCGACCCAGTGAGGAGCGTGTCCGGGGTGCTCGGCGCCCTGACGCCCGCCAAGTCGGCCCCCGTCATCAACAGCGGCTCGCCCACCATCCTGGGCAAGAGGGGCTACGAGCAGCACAACGGGGTGGACGGTGAGTCTGGGGCTGGGCGGCGGCAGCTCGCAGCCCCCCGCCCGCCCCGCCCTGACTGTCTTCTCTCCTCTCTCCCGCCGCCGGGCCCGCCAGGCTCCGTGAAGAAGCGCCTCTTGATGCCCAGTAGGGGTAAGGCCCGGGCGGCCGCCGGGGTGCCTGTGTGTGCTGCGTCGCGTGCCCGGCGGGCGGCCGGCCCCAGCCGCAGGCAGTCCCCTCGCCAGCCGCCTCCTGCCCTGTCGCTGGGCCCCGGCCTCGCTGCCTGGGGGCGCCCTCCTGACCTGTGCTGGCCACGGCCTGTCCTTGCGCTGTGGCCGGCGGCCCCGCCACCCTGCCCGCGCCCGCTGTGCTGCCCGCATGTTGTCTGCTGCCGCGAGCTGTGCCTGCGACCTGGCAGGGTTCGGAGGGTGGGCTGGTCGCGGCCGGGGGCGCTCAGCCTGGCGGGCGGGGGCCCGAGCCCAGGTGGACTCCCGGGTCAGGGTACCAGAGCTGGGGCACCAGACAGGCCTCCCGGGGCCCTCCCACGCAGCAGCCTCACGTGGGGCACTCGCTCCTGGGCCTGCTGCCCCCGGGTCATCCTCAGCGGGGGCTGGCCTCTCTAGCTCCTGAACGGCTGCTATGTGGGGTGTGAAGGGGGGGACCACAGCCACAGGGCCAGGAAGGGCCAGGGAACTGTGCTCCAGGAGTGGAGGCCAGTGGCCAGTCACACTGTGGACTCTCAAGTCCGGACCGTGCGGCCAGGGTGGCTCTTGACCCGCCGCCTGCCTGCTCCTGCACCCCGCCCTGGAACCTCTGCAGCGGGCCTGCCCCGCTCTGCTCCATGCTAGCGCCTGGCAGCGGCCTGGCCGAGTGGCTTGGCCAAGTGGCCCGGGAGGTGGAGGCCAGCGCCCGTGGGCTCGCTTTGCCAAGAGCCGCTAGCAGGCAGGGCGGCCAGCCTGTCCCAAGCCCTCTTCTGCCTTTGGGGCAACGGGTGCCCTCCTGGGCCGGGGGTGGGCCCTGCCCTGGCCCGGGCCGCCCGCCTGCCACCCTCTAACCTAACCTGTCTTCCTCCCGCCGCGGCCCTGCTAGGCACTTACCTGGGTAAGTAGGGCCTGGCCCCCAGGCGCACCCAGCGCTCAGGCCCTCCCTCTGCCTGCTCAGGGGACTCAGTCCCAGTGGGGCCCCGAAGAGCCCCCCAAGTTAGGAGAGCTCTCACGGTTGGGAGCGGGGAGGACAGGCCGCGGCTGTGAGGCCCCGCTGGTGTGGGCAGTTGCCGCCGTCTCTCCCGGCCGGTGCTCGCCTCGGAGCCGGAGCCGCCCCCTGGGCAGGCCGCCCGGCTGGGCCAGGGAGGGCACCGCTGCCCTCGGCCCTCGCACTGTGGTGGTGGGCGGGCCGGACCGGGGAGCCGGGTGGGCCGGGCGCGCTCTGGGACGGTGCGCGGGGGCGCTCACGCCCGTCCTCCTCCCTGCCAGGGCTGGCGAACCACGGACAGACCAGGCACATGGTAAGGCCCCGCGCCCAGCCCCGCCAGGCCCCCTGGCCGCGAGCGCCCCTCACGCCTGCCCCCCGCGCTGCAGGGCCCGCACCGGAACCTGCTGCCCAACGGGAAGCCCTACCCCGCCAAGGTGCGCCTGGTGCGCGGCGGCTCCCTGCCCCCCGTCAAGCGGCGGCGTATGAACTGGATCGACGCCCCGGACGACGTCTTCTACATGGCCACTGAGGAGACCAGGTGGGGCGGGCGGCCCGGGCGGGGCGGGGCGGGGCGGGGCAGCGGCACGGCCCGGCCTCACCATCCACCCTGCTGCCTGCAGGAAGGTCCGCAAGCTGCTCTCGTCCTCGGAGACCAAGCGCGCGGCGCGCCGGCCCTACAAGCCCGTAGCCCTGCGCCAGAGCCAGGCCCTGCCGCTGCCCCTGCGGCCGCCTGCGCCCGCACCAGTCAACGACGAGCCCATCGTGATCGAGGACTAGCCGCTGGCCGCTGCTGGCCCCGGCCCTCCCGGCCTGGCCCGGACCCGCCCCCACCCTGCCCTGGCCGGGCCCCGGCCTGGCGCGGCCTGGCCCGCCCCCGGGGCCGCCCCGCCGGGCTCTCAGCTTTGGGTTTCCTTTTGGCTGGAACGGAGGGGCCGCTGCGCCCGGGCCAGCGTGAGTTCTGTTGTGTTCTGTTGAAGGTGCCATTTTAAATTTTATTTTTATTACTTTTTTTGTAGATGAACTTCAGCTCTGTGACTTACACCTGGAATGTCAGGGCGGCGTGGCCGGTGGCCGGTGGCCGGGCTGCCCCCTTGTCTTTTCAAGTAATTTTCATATTAAAAAACAAAGGAAAAAAAACTGATAAAAAGGAAAAAAAACAATCGGCTTTTATCTGAGTCTTTTGTCCTCGTCCCCCGCGCTTGGAGTGGCCAGCCGCCGGGGGCCAGACTGCCTGAGCCGGAGCGGGAGCCCCAGGGAGAGCCCAGGCCTGCCCAGGCCCCGCAGCCCCGAGCTCGGCCCCTCGCGGTGGCGCTGAGAGCCAGTGTCCGCCCCGGCCGGTGGCCTGGCACCCTGGGCGGGCCCCTGCCTGCTGCTGGCCATGGCCCGCCCAGCTGTCGGGGTTTCCGCCTGGAGCCTGCGCCAGCCACGGCTGCCCAGCAGGTGCCTTGTTCTCGGGTTTCAGCAGGGCCTTGTTCTCAGAAAGGGGCAGTCCCTGCGCCACACCCCCGGGGCTCCCCGGCTCCCCGCCCCCCCCCAGCCCTGGGCTGCCTACCCCCCCCCACAGTGGGTAGAAATCTCAGCCAGGGAATGAAAATAGAAACCACTTCTGTCTGCCCCAGCCAGATGGAGATAAGGGGCTCCCCCGCCTCCTGCGAGGCCCTGGACCCTGGGGCCAGTGTGGCAATTGCAGCGTCTGGCCAGCTCGCAGCCTGCAGTGTCCCGGCTGCCCCCACATCTCACCGGGGCTGCCCCCGGCCCCTCCAGTCCCTTCCACTTCTCAGGCCCAGGGCCTTCCTCCCATCCTGCCCAACTGGTCCCCATCCTGAGCCTGAGAAGAGGGGGGCCCCACCACCTGCCCCCCGGGCCTGGACCGCCTGGGTCTGAGTGAGGCTTAAACAGAGGAGTAGGTGCCCACTGGGGACCCAAAAGCCTGGGGACACCGGGGCAGCCTGGTCCCCCCCCTGAGGCCCAGTGGGGCCCAGGTCCAGGGCATGCCTGAGTGGGCAAGGGTCACCTCCGCCCGCCCTCCTTCCCTCCCGGCCTGGCATCCTGCGTGCCCTGTCCCAGGGCTGCCTGGTGCGGGGTGCCAGCCCAGCCCCTCGGGCCTGTCCCCGCCCCGCCCTGCATCCTGCTCTCCGCAGCCTGCCCTGCCTGTTCCTGCCTGGCCTGGGGCCTCAGCGTCCTCAGAGTGGACACCGCTCTCCGTCCATGGCTGGTGCCTCTTCCTGCCAGGCCCAGAATAGCCGGGCCCCAGGGAGCCTCTGGCGGGGGTCCAGGGACTGCAGCGGGGCAGGGCGAGGGCAGAGGCTGGCCACCCTCTGCCCCATCTGTGAGGCTCAGCCAGTGCCAGGTTTGTGGCCGCCCAGCCCTGCCTTCCCACGCACCTGCGCCGTCCAGCCCCGACCTCCGCAGTGGTCCACACAGCCCAGGGCCAGCGGGTCCCCATGCGGAGAGGGCATGGCAGTGGTGCCTGCTCGGTGGGGGGCAGGGTCCATGAATTATGCAGAGACACTTGATGCCCAGCCAGCCTGGAGCCTGGAACCGCTGACCTGTGGGGAGCCCCCACAGCTAGCTGGCCCCGTGTGCACCAGCTCCCCGGGGTGGGCCTGGGGACAGAGTCAGGTGGAGACAGAGGGGCGCTGGGCAGGCTGGGGGCTCAGGCTCAGGGGCCCTGTTTCGGCTGTTGTCATGGAAACGGCAGTGGGTGCAGGTCTGCGTGTAGGGAGCTGGGTGGTGGGCGCTCCAGGGGCCCCTGGGTCTGTGGTGCTCCTGACCCCTCTCCCTCCCTCCAAACAGGCCTCCCCGCCCCCAGGAGAGGGGCGGAGTCAGAACTGCCTCTGGAGGGGCCGGTTCGTCTGCCCAGTTCAGTTCAGGTTCAGCCGGGCCGGGTCCCAGAGAAGGTGCACAAGGGGCAGAGCCCTCCGGGTCCCCCCAGATTCCGCGAGGCTGCCAGAGGGAGGGGCCGGGGGAGTGGGCCGGGCGGCGCGGCGGCGCGGGAGTGGGGGAGCTGGGGAGGGGCCCCTGGGGCCCAGGCCTGGAGGCGGCAGGGTCTGGCCCAGGGCTGGCAGGTCCACGGGCGTGCCCAGGTAGGGTGCTGGGCAGCGTCCCCTCGGCCCCCCGCTTGACCCAGGGGGTCTCCCGGGCCGCCCCGCTCTCCCTTCCCTGCCGCCCTGGCCGGCGGCCCGGGAGGCGCCCCGCGCCCCTCCAGCGCGCCCCGGCTGTTCTCGCAGGGCGGGCGCCGCCCCCGCGCGGCCGCCCCCGGCGCCCCCAGCACCACTGACAGGGGCGGGCGGGGCGCGCGGGGCGGGCGCCGGGACCGGCCCGCCGGGGATCCGGCTCCGAGCCCGCCGCGCGGCGTTGCCATAGAAACCCAGCAACAAAGGGCCCCGCGGGGGCGGCGCGCGGCAGGGCGGGGTGGGGGCCCGGGCGCCCCGGCGTCGGGCCGGGCGTGGGGACCGGCTCGCCCGTCGGGGCGTCCGTCCGTCTGCGCCCCGCGCCCTTCCTGGCCGACGCCCCCTCGGACTCGCGGGGAGCCGAGCGCGCCGCCGACTCCCCGCCCCGCGGCCCCGACGTTGCCATGGAAACGGGCGAGGCGCTGGGGGCAGCCGGGGGTGAGGCCGCCTCGCTCGCGGGGTCGCAGGGGCGGCGGGCCCGGCGCGTCCGGCCCCCCCCGCCCCCCGGCAGGTGCGCCCCCGCCCCGGCCGGACCGGGGGGCGGGCTCCCCAGGCCCCGCCCCGGCCGCCGGGCCAATGGGCGCGCGGGCGGCGGGCGGGCGGGGCGCGGGCCGGCGGCGCGGGGAGACGGCGCGGGCGCGGCGCGGCGCGGGCGGACCGGGCGCACCGACCATGGCCTCCAAGTGCCCCAAGTGCGACAAGACCGTGTACTTCGGTGAGTGCGGCCGCCGGCGGCCCGGCCGACCCCGCGCCCCGCCCCGCCCGCCCGCCCGCCCGCCCGCCCGGGGCCCGGCGCTCGCCCCGCCGCGCGGCCCGGGGCGCGGCCCGAGGTGGAGCCGCGACGGCGCGGGCGGGGCGCCGGCTCCGCGGGATGCGGCCGCTCGCGGGGCGCCCGGCTCCGAGCGCGCAGCGCGGGCTCCGGGCGCGGCCGGGCGGGGCCGGGCGGGGCCGCGCGCCCCGCTGTCTTTCGGGGCGCTCTCCCGCCGGGCCCGTCCCGGCTCCCCGCGGACACGTGGTCGGGCCGGCGCGGGCGCCACCCCGCCCCCGCCCCCACCCGGCCCTCGGGCGCGGGGCGGCCGGAGCTGGGCTCTGCCTGGACGCGGGCCGCGCGGGGGCGGCCTCGCCTGTCCCTCCCGGCGCGCTCCCGCCCGGCCCAAGTTCTCCAGGAGGTTCCCACGCGCGCGCGCGGGCGGGCGGGCGGCCGAGGGCCCCGGGGCCGGAGGGCACTGCAGCCGGCGGCCAGGCCCAGCCCCTCAAGGTCGGGGCGGCCGGGAGGGGCTGTCCCCGCGGACGCCCCCGGGAAGCTGCCCTCCGGCGCCCTCCCTCCGCGCCCGCCCGCCCGCCCGCCCGCCCGCCGCGCTCCCTCCTCCCGCCGGTCCTCCCGGACCCCGCCCGGGCGGCAGCTCCTGCCCCCCCCCCCCGCCCGCCCGCGCCGCAGGGCACTGACTTGGCCCATCTCCAGGGCAGCGCCGGGCCCAGGTGCGGGCGGCCGCGGCCTCCTGCTGGCCCCGAGGGGCAGTTGTTGTTCCTGGAGTGGAGGGACCGGATTTGGCCCTGAGGCTCCTGCAGGGCTGGGAGCCCCGGGGGTTCCGGCTGCCTCCGGGGCGCCCACCCCGGCCCCGGCCCCGCACCCCTACCCGAGCCGCCCTCCCTCCAAGCCTGGGATGGGGGTGTCGCCGGGTGTCCTGCCAGCCCCGCTGCCCGACATGGTGGGCGCCCAGCCAGGTCCGTCCCGGGGCCCTGGCGGATGGGTCTGGGGCAGGCCGGAAAGGCGGCAGCCTGCTGGCCGCCCGGCGCCCGGCACAAGACAAAGGCCCTCAGACCAGAGCTCCCGGCCTGGCCTAGGCCCGGGCGGGGCGGGGGCGGCAGGGCAGGACCCAGCCCCCCTCCAGGCTGCACCCTCGCCGCCACCCCAGCTGCCAACGGCCCTGAGTGTTCGTGGCCTTTGTGTCCCCAAGATCAGCCCCACTGCTCCTGCCCGGGCCTCCTGGCCGTAGCTCTGGGCTCCCTGCCGGGGCACTCTGTGCGGCCGTGGACCCGCCTAGTGGGACTGTGGGTCACTCCCCTGCCCCTGCACGGCCACACCACCCCGCTGACCGTCCACACAGCTCTGGCTTCCCTGCTCTGCAGATGCCACGGCGGCACTGGCCAGCAGGGGGGAGGCTGGACTGGCAGGGCCGAGCCTGCCTTGGGCTCAGCCAACTCCCGCCTGCCCTGGCATGGACACAGGGGCCCAGCCAGCCTGCGTGCGGCGTCCCTGGGTCAGTGACCCTGCAGGTCTGGGCCAACACTGTCCCCAGGAGGGGCCGGCCGCACTCTCCGCCCGCCCGGGCAGCCTCTGTGCAGGGACGGGGAGAGCTGTGGTCCTCAGGCTCCCTCTGGCCCGGCCGGCCCCGGCCCCGCAACCCTCCCGCCCGCTCCAGCCAGGCCTCGACCCTGCGGAATTCCGGTTCTGCTCCTCCTGCTTCCTGCAGGTCCCCTGGGAGCCTGGGCTTCCGTCCACCCGGAGGCCCCCACACTTCCGCCTTGGAGTGGGGGCCGGCAGCCCCTGGCTCACCCGTCTTTGCAGCTGGCCTCGGGCCGGGGGTGCTAAGGCGGCAGCCGAGGTAGAGGGTGGGGACCCCAGAACTTGGAGGAGGCAAGCGGCGGGCTGGGGGCTCTGCACCAGCCCCACAGGGGCCTGGTGGCTCAGGCTGCTCCCCGCAGCAGGGCTCTGCCAACTCCATAGCCTGATTGGGGGTTCAGGGTGGTGTGCAAGGGCCCAGGTGCCTGAGAAAGCCGGGCGTGCAGTGGAGGTGGAGAGGTGCTTGACTGGGCCGCGCGAGGGGTGGTGCTGGCGCCTCCCTGACCTGCACCCCACCCGCCAGCTGAGAAGGTCAGCTCCCTGGGCAAGGACTGGCACAAGTTCTGCCTCAAGTGTGAGCGCTGCAGCAAGACGCTGACGCCCGGGGGCCACGCTGAGGTGAGCCGCGGAGGTCTGGGGCGGGCCTTGGGGTCTGGGGGGGGCTGGGGGGGGTCTGGGCCTGGGCGGGGCTGGGGGGTCTGGGCCTGGGCAGGGTTGGGGGTCTGGAGCGGGGCTGGGGGGGGGGTCTGGGCCTGGGTGGTGTTGGGGGGTCTGGAGCGGGGCCTGGGGCCCTGCCCCAGTCCCCGGGCACTCACGCCACGGCCCCGCCCAGCACGCCGGGAAGCCCTTCTGCCACAAGCCCTGCTACGCCACGCTGTTCGGGCCCAAGGGTGAGCAAGCCGCGGGGTCCGGAGGGGGAGTGCGGGGGGTGGGGGTGGCTTCGCAGTGCAGCAGACCCCAACTCAGGCTGTGTCCAGTGGAGGGCCCCTGGGGCTGCCAGGACCCAGGGCCTGTAGAGTCCCAGGCGCCCCCCAAGGCTGGGTCTCTGCCATCGCCCCTCTTTCTCGAAAGCCCAGCACCCAGACCTCTGCCCAGCTCGCTGGTGCCCTGAGTGCAGGGGCCCACAGGGCAGCGGGGGGCGCCCATCTGAGAAGCCCCTCCCGCCGCGCCCTCCCCAGGGGTGAACATCGGAGGCGCCGGCTCCTACATCTACGAGAAGCCGGCGGCCGAGGGCCCTCAGGTCACAGGCCCCATCGAGGTCCCGGTGGTCCGCGCTGAGGAGCGGAAGGCCAGTGGCCCCCCCAAGGGGCCCAGCAAAGGTGTGCGGGGCTCGCCCCTGCGGGAGGGGTGCCCGAGGGCCTCCACCCGCCTGACGCCGGCCCCTCCCCAGCCTCCAGCGTCACCACCTTCACCGGGGAGCCCAACGTGTGTCCGCGCTGCGACAAGAGGGTGTACTTTGGTGAGTGGCCCCACCCGCGCCCCCGCCTGCCCGCCCGCCCGCCGCCGCGCCGGCCGGGGTCAGCTGTGGCCTCCTCTCGCAGCCGAGAAGGTGACGTCTCTGGGCAAAGACTGGCACCGCCCGTGCCTGCGCTGTGAGCGCTGCGGGAAGACGCTGACTCCGGGGGGCCACGCCGAGGTGAGGCGCGGGCCGGGGTCGCCCTGGGGCGCCCTGCGGGGAGAGAGCAGAGCCGGGCTCGGGCGGTGAAGGGTGGACGCGCAATTGGGGGCGCGGGCCACAGGCGCAGATCATGGGTGCCGACCGCTGGCGGGGGCGCAGGTTGGGGCGCAGCTGCAGGCGGGGTGCAGGCCCAGGACAGGTGCAGGTGGGGGGCGCAGGCCGCTGGGCAGGTCCGTGCCGGGAGAGTCTGCCCCCTGGTGGCCGGAGCGCAGGCTCGCTGGCACAGGTGTTGGGGTAACTGCGGGGATCCCTGCCTGCAGGTGAGTGGACCTGGTCGTGGCTTTGGGGACTTGAGGGCTTGGGGGATGGGAGGAGGAGGGGGCAGGCGCGCGGCCCGAGGAAGCCCAGGGTGGGCACGGGGCTGTGGAGCCCTGGCTCACCCGCTGCTGCCCACCCCGCCCAGCACGATGGCCAGCCCTACTGCCACAAGCCCTGCTACGGAATTCTCTTCGGACCCAAGGGTGAGTGTGCGGGGGGTGCCGGCCGCGGGAGCCCCCTGCCCGCGCCCGCTCGCCGCCAGCCCGCGCTCTCTCCGCAGGTGTGAACACCGGAGCCGTGGGCAGCTACATCTACGACAAGGACCCCGAGGGCAAAGCCCAGCCCTAGGCCTGGCCTGCTCGGGGCATGGCCTGCAGGTCCGCGGCCGGGCAGGGGAGCTGCTGGCGCGGCGCGCTGTGCGCCCCTCCCTGGCTTGTCTGTCTAGACTGTCCATCGCCCCCTTTTGTGCCCCCCTGATCCCCGTGTCTGTGTGACTGTGGCCCCCGCTGGGTCCCTGAGGTGGGCTTCCCACCCTGGCCTCAGGCCCTGCCTGCCCACCAGTGTTATTTATGGCGCCCTGAGGGACACCGCGCCAGGCCCTCCCACTGCCCGGGGCTGGGGGCACCCCCACTGCTGGTCCCATGCCTGCGCGCACCGCCCCTCATGGCTCACGCGATTGCCCTGACTTGCTGTCAATAAAAGGTTTGAGATCCACAGGCCTGGCGCTGTGTCCTGGTGGTGGCGTGGGCCATGTCCCTTTGTCCATCCGCCAATGTCCAGGGCCCTGTGCCTGGCTTCTGGCCGGGCCTGGGGGCGGGCCCTGGACCCTAGACATGCCAAGAGTGGGCAGTGGTGCCCAAAGGTAGCTGGGTGGACTCTGGGTGGACTCTAGGTGACCTAGTGGACAGCAGAGGGCCCCACAACTGCACCCCCGGGTCTTTCCCTCACTCCCAGAGCAGAATGGAGCCCAGAATGCCCTACACGGCCGGCCGAGGCCAGCTGGGCGGGGCTCCCTCCGTGGCCGCGGGGCGGGGCGGGGCGGGGAAGGTGAGGCGCTGCGGCCGGGTTCCCGGGTTCCCGGGCGGACCCCGGCCCAGGAGGCGCCCGCGGGATGCCCCCCACGTGCACAGAGCCTCGTGCGGGCAACAGCCGCTGGCGGTCCCGGGGATGCCGCGGGAGAAACGCAAGGGTGGCCCCTCCGCGTGGGGGCGCGGGGCGGGGCGCGCCCGGGTGCCCGAGCTCACCCCGCCTTGCCCAGGGAGAGTCTCCCCCGCAGCGCGCGGAGTGGGGGGCGCTGGCGCGAGGCGGCGGGGAGGGGCGAGCGCGGCCGGAGCAGGCGCGTGGGGGGCTGGCGGCGGCGGGGGGCGGCCGGGCCGGCGTGGGGGGCTGGGGGTACACCAGAGGCGCCCCGCCCCGGCTCGCGCTCCCTCTCCCCGCGCCCGGGCAGCCCAGCAGGGGGCGCCGCCGACCCCGCGGAGCCCCGCCCCGCCCCGCCCCGCCCCGCGCCGCGCCCCCGGCCTCGGCCCGGCCCCCTCCACCCCCGGGGCCCGCCCGGCCGCGCCTTCCCGCCCCCGCGGCCGCGGGGCTCCCGGGGCGCCCGCTGGCCCCCCGGTCCCTGGGTGGGCTCCCACTCCCGCCTCAGCCCCGCCCGCCCACCAGGGTGATTTGTGGCGCCCCGGGGACACCCCGCCAGGCCCCGCGCCGGGCGCCCCCCCCCCCCCGCCGGAAGGCGCCCGGGGCGCACCGCCCCCACCCAGGGGCGGGCGGGCCCCTCTCCTCGCGCCGCGGCCCGGCCCGGCTCGGCTCGGGGGCTGCCCGGGGCGCCCCGGCGGGTGGGGGGGCCCTGCGCTGCGGGGCGGGGACCCCGGGCGCCCCGGGGGCGGCGGCCTGGGCCGGGCGGGGCCGCCGGGACGCGGAGCGCCGGCCCGTTTCCTGCCGGCGCCCACGACGCGCCGCCGTGTTTGTTGCGCGGGGTTGCCGTGGAGACGGGGCGGCGCCGCTCCTGTTTGTCTCGCGTCGCCAGGGCCTCGCGGGGGGGCCGCCCCGCCGGCCGCGGCCCCTGCCCTGCGCGCGGCCCCGAGGCCCCGAGGCCGCCCGCCCCCTCGCGCCCCGCGCAGCCCGGAGCCGTCCCGGCGCCCGCGAGGCCTGCGGGGCCGCCTGGCCAGCGCCTGCCCCGCGCGCGGCCCTTGGCCCCCGGCCGGACAGGCTCGCGCTGCCTGGCCAGACCCTCGCGCCCCATCCCCGACCCGGGACGGGGGCCCCGGCGGTGCCCCCCTCTCCCCGCACCCCCCAGGCCGGACCCTCCGCGCCCTCCGCCGGGCAGCCCCGCTGGGGGCGCGCCGCTGGCCCCCGGGCCTCCTGCACCCCTGAGGCCTGGCGGACCCCTGGGGAGGGCGGGGAGGGGCAGCGCCCGCCGCGGCCTGGCTGGCGGGGATGAGGCTGGAATTCGGGGTGGTTCTGCCAGGGCTTTGGCTCCGGACTCAGAAGTTCCTGGAATCAGGCCCGGCCTCCAGGGAGAGGAGGGCAGGGCAGCCCCTCTGGCCTGGCCCGCAGACCCCAGGGTGGGCTCCGAGGGCCTCAGGGCCCCTCCAGGCAGTATCCTGTCCCTTCCCTGCTGCCTGGGGAGAGACAGGACCTCCTGGCCAGGCAGGCCCGTGAGCAGACCCTGGGGCAGACGAGGGGGGTGTGGGGGTGTGGGGGGTGTGGTGTGGTGGTCCCTGGAGAGCAGCTGCTGAAAATAAACCCTGGGAACCGCTGTGTGTCCTCCTGGAGGGCCGGCAGGCGGACGCCCGGGCTGGGGGGGCAGCTGGCTCAGCGGGTCCTGGTCGCAGCACCCTGGGGTGCAGGGACCAGCCCTCCAGTCCTTGGAGGGGTGTCTGACACCCGGTCCTCTCTGAGAGGCTTGGAAGTGGGCACTTGGGGGGCAAGCAGAGGCCAGTGCCCCAGCTCTGGGAGGTGGGTGCGGGGGCCGCCCAGCCTGGGAGCAGAACCTTGCCCCTGGGGGCAGATTCCTCAGCGGTCACTGGCAGGGCTGCCCACCTCCCTCTCTGGGGCCTGAGCCCATCTCAGCCTCCCCGCCACGCAGGGTGGGCCTGTCTGATCCCCGCCTGGGTCTCCTGGCCAGGCATGGGGGTGTACGGGCACGGCTGTGGGGCGAGTGGCCTCCAGGCACAGGTCCTGGCGTCCTCCTGCTGTCCTGGCACAGGTGGCGCCTCGGGCAAGCAGCTGGGTGGCTGTGCATCCCTGTCCTGGCCACTGTGTCCCTGATGCCCCGATGCCTGCCTGTGCCCCTGTGGTGACTGGTGGCAGGGCCAGCACAGGTGCTGGGGTACGCGGGGGTCCCCTGCCCCCTTGTACTTGTGCAGCAAATGCCAACAACATCATCAGAAGAGGGGGGGCACCCCTGGACTGGGAGTTGGGGAGGCAGGAGCTCGCCTGCCATGGGCTACAGCTGAGGCACGTCACCCTGACGACTGTGGGGGGCTCAGGGGAGCAGGAGGGCGCCAGCCTGGCAGCTGCCCGGACCTGCAGGGGGTCTGGGCGGGTGTGCGTGTGTGAGTGTCTGGGAAAACCTTGCACCCACCCCTGGGTGTGGCCGTGGCCTTTGGCCCCCCTTGGCATCTTCCTCCCACCCCCGCCCATAACTATGGCAACGGGCAAAACAGCGGGGAAGGCCAGGAGAGGACTCATCACCCTGGTTTTCAAGGGGGGCCTGCTCCTAGCGGGGTGAGGTGGCAGGGGGTCATCTCTGGAGGCAGGGCCAGCTCCAGCTCTTGGTGTCACCTCCCCCAACATGTGCCCTGGTGGCCTGGACAGACCCCCGGGAGGCTGGTGCGCCCCAGGACTCGGGTCACATCTGCCTTTGGGAGCACTGCCCGGGGTGTGGGGGGCTGCTGGGCAGCCTGCTGTCGTGGACCCACCTCTCAGCCCGCCGGCACCCTCCTGGTCTGTCCCCAGGCTGCCCAGCACCCCGCCTGCTGTCACCCTCTCCCCAGCCCCGCCAGCAAGGGCTTCGCTGCAGAAGCCCTGCTGGGCCCCACGCCAGGCAGGCGCCCCTCGGGGAGAAGGGGGCTATGGCGGGGACTGCGCCGCACCCCCAGGCGGTGGGCAACCAGAGGGTCTCCAGGATGGGGTCCAGGGCAGGGGGCAGCGATGGAGAGAGGCTGGGGGCAGGATGGCTTGGGGTCCGGCAGGCCTCCGGCTGTCCCGTGCTTGCCCTGGGAGGCAAGGCGGAGATGGGGGTTCCCCTTCCTGTCTTGGGCGGGGCTGGCTGGGGTGGTGGGCTTCAGGGAGGCTGGGGCTGTGGTCGCTGGGTGCTGCCAGGGTCCCTGAGCCCCGGGGCCTGAGGACCAGAAGGGGCAGGGCGGAGATGAAGTTTTGTTTTCTATTCGGGCGTGTCTGGGGCCATGAGGACATTGGTGCTGCCCAGGGGAGGGGGCAGGGCGGCTGGGCTGGGGCGGGCACGCAGGGGCGCAGGAGGGTCTCCGAGCCTCGGTCCTGTGGGTGTGGCGTGGGAGCACCGCCGAGGAGGGTCCACAGAGTGGACATCCCTCTCCCCAGACGGGGGGCGGCGACCTGGGTGACAGTCACCACCAGGGAGGAGGGATGGGCCAGGCACTGCCCCGGGGACACAATGCGGGGACCTCACCCGCTCAGCAGAGGCTGCTACCCCCACCCTCACGCCCCGCCGGCAGCTGGCAGAGGACTGAGATGTCTTGGGTGGGCATATGGGGAGCGCCTGCCACCCCCACTTCCCTGTCCTGGGTGGGTGGGTCAGTCCTCGCACTGGGAGGCCCAGGCCAGCCTCTGCTTTACCTGGGGAGGGACGTGGACCGCTGGGCTGCGCTGGACACTGCCCTGCCCGCCCCCCCAAGGCGCGGCCCTTCGGAGATGACCCAGGTGGCCACACCCACATCATCCCCGCAGAGGGTGGGCCGCGCCAGGGTCGGAATCCCCCCCAGTTCCCTGGGACGCTCCCTGCGGCCTCTTGGACTTCCCGGCCAGGGGCGGGGCTGGGGTCTCCCGGGGACCTTCCCAGGGATCCCCCCTCAGTGCGTGCGGTGAACCCACACGCTGGCTGGTTTGTATCTATTTGCATTTTGGAGGCGACCGCCCCTCGGGACTCCCGTCCATCTGGAGGCGCGAGGGGGTGCGTGCAGGCTGGGCTGGGGGTGCACCTCCTGCTCCTGGGGGGCCGGGCAGGGGTCCTGACCCGGGCGACTCGGGAGCCCCGGGCGGGGCCGCAGCTTGAACCTGCCCGAGGGGCCCCGCCCCTTTCAATAGGGCCCCGCGGACTCCCCCCGCCCCGGCCCCCGCGGGCCCCCCGCTCGCGGTGCGCCTGGCAGGCAGGTCCTCCAGAGGCGGGTGGCCGATGACCTCTCTGATCCGGTGCCCTGGACCCAGGGTCCGCGGGGGTCTAAGCCCCGGGCTCGGGGGCGGGGCCAGGGGCGGGCCCCGAAGGGGCGGGGTCCCGGGGTCCCTGAAAGGAGCCGACCCAAGCGGGACCCACCCAGTCCCGCGCTGTCCGCCCGCTGCCGCCTCAGCCTCCCGCGCCGGACCGGCCGCGCCGCCATGCCCAAGTGCCCCAAGTGCGACAAGGAGGTGTACTTCGGTGAGCGCCCGTGTCCCCGGGCCCCGCGCGCCCCACGCGGAAGCGAGGCCGGCCTCCCCCGGGGCCGCCGGGGGTGGGGTCAGCGCCCCCTCTGCGGCCGCGCTCTCCCGTGCCTCTCCGGCTGGGCCGTCCCCATGCCCCGTCCGTCCGGGCCTCCCCGGCTCCGGGCCTCCCCTCTTGGGGCGTCTCCCGCCTCTTCTCGGGCGCGCCCAGGGCGGAGACCCCGCGGGGCAGGAAGGAACGCGGGGCGCTGGCCGCCCTCCCGGCGCTGAGCAGGAGCAGACGCGGAACCCGCGCCCGGGGCGTCCCAGCGCGCCAGGTCCGCGCCCCCTTCCGGCCCGCGCCCGGGCACGGGGGGGCGCAGGAGGAAGTGGGGAGCCCGCCCGCCCGCGCCCCCCCCCAGAGCCCGGGGAGCCCGGAGCGCCCACCCCGGCAGCCCCGCCCCGCCTTCCCGCCCCGTGGCCCCCCCAGCCCGCAGGGGCGCGGCCCTGGGCCGGCACCTCCCTGGAGGGCTCCCGCGGGGCCCCCGCCGGGCCGCCGGGCCGCCCCCGCCCCGGGCCAGCAGCGGCTGCCGCTCGCGCCACGCCCGGGGGGCCCCGCGGTCCTGCGCCGCCGCTCACGGCCCGTCGCCCACAGCCGAGCGGGTGACCTCCCTGGGGAAGGACTGGCATCGGCCCTGCCTCAAGTGCGAGAAATGTGGCAAGACGCTGACCTCGGGGGGCCACGCCGAGGTAGGTGCCCGCCTGGGGGCCGGGGTCCGCGGCAGGGGCGTCCCCCTCATGGCCTTCTCTCCGCAGCACGAAGGCAAGCCCTACTGCAACCACCCCTGCTACGCCGCCATGTTCGGGCCTAAAGGTCAGCTCCCCTCCGGGCGTGGCCCTCACCTGCCCCCTGTGCCGCCCCCAGCCCCTTCCTGGCCTGACCACCCCCCCCCTTGTCCCTGCAGGCTTTGGGCGGGGTGGCGCTGAGAGTCACACCTTCAAGTGAACCCAGGTACGTCCCCATCCTGCCCAGCCCACCCCCTGGGCCCCAGGAAGGGACCTCCTGCGTGTGGGCCGGGGAGGCGAGGCTGCTTCCCCACTGTCGGTCTCTCTGCAGGTGGTGCGGACCCCCTTCCTGGCCACCCTCGGAGCGTGGCCCCTGCGGCTAATTCCAGGCTGGTCCCGGGCCCCGGTGTCCCCGGAGACCCCATGCCCTCAATAAACTGAGCACCGGGAAGACCTGTGTGCACCTGTGTGTACCTGCGCCGAGCTGGGGGGCCAGCCTGGTCCTGTGGAGGGGGGCGGGGCAGGGCTTGTCAGGGACACCTGTCTGCAGGCACCCACAGGGCAAGCCCCCACGCCCCTGGACCACAGCGGCCTGGGCCCAGCTCCAGCGGAGATCGGCTGCAAGGCTCCCAGATGGGTGCAGGCAGGCCCGGGGGTCCGTGGGGACAGGTGGCCAGGGCGGGACCAGCTGAATTCAGGCTGGTTCCCTTTTTGAGACACTTTGGGGGAGTTGTGGTGGGGCGTCCTGCTGCCTCTCCCCACTTCCTGCCACCCCACTCTGGTGCATCGTCGACTGGGGGAGCCGCCCCTCCGTGCCCGGAAGCTGGGCGGCCAGCTGCCCCCACGGGACCGAGGACTGGCTGTGCAGGGGGCATGTCAGTGGGGCAGCAGCTGCGGACCAGGCCCCTCGAAGGCCCCCTGGGCGCCCTGCCCCGGGGCTTTGCTGGCCCGCAGCAGGCCTGCGCTGGCCAGGCCAGGGCTCCCGCGGGCGGGGTGGGTGTCCGCGGGTGGGTGGTCCGCAGCCCAGGGCGCTTGGAGCCAAAGGGGCGTGCAGAAGGCGCAGGCTTGAGGGTCTCTGCTTGGGCCTGGGTGGGGTGGGCCTTGGGACAGCGCTGCCCTGGCCGGCAGGAGGGCACAGCGGCGCCGGCCCTGGGCCCCGAGGCGCCTGCCCCTGCCGTCTCCCGCGCCCCCGCGGCCCCCTCCCAGGGCTCGTCTGTCCAGGGCCCCGGCCGCGCCCCCCTCCCACAGGGCCCGGCTCCGAGGCTCCTGCTCAGCGCACGGCGGCTCTGAGCCCCGAGGCCTCGGCGCCCGCGGGGTCCCCCGCCCCCGGCCTCCGTCAGCATGGGGGGCAGCGAGGCCCGTCGGGGCTGCGCCGGGCGGCGCTGCAGAGGCCCCGGGGTCGCCGGGGGCCGCGAGCGCGGGGCGCGCCGGGGAGGGCGGGTTCCTCCCGCGCCCCCGCCCGCGCCCAGCGGGGCGGCCACGCGCTCCGCGCGGCGGTGCGGGCTCCCGGGCACAGCGCGGGCGGGCAGGGCGGGCAGGGCGGGCGGAGGGCGCCGAGCCAGGCCCGGAGGTGGGGGCGCGGGGCGGGCGCGAGGGGGCGGGGCGGGCGCGAGGGGCGGGGCGGGACCGCGGTGACGCGATTGGCTCTCGGACGGCGGGCCGCGCAGCCGATTGGCCCGCGGGCCGGAAGTGGCTCCGCGGGACGCCCAGCCGGCGGCGGCGGGGCCAGCGCGCTGATTGGCCGCGGGGACCCAGCCCGCGCGCTGATTGGCTCCGGGCCGCAGAGCGGGCGCGGCTCGGACTGGGCGCGGGACCCGCGGCGGCGGCCCGGCGAGGCGACATGGGGCGGCGGCGGCGCCGGGCGGACCGGGCAGAGGGCGCCGCGGGCCTGCCCGAGGCCATCGCCGCTCTGAGTCGGACGCTGCCCGATGGGCCCAGCCCCGAGACCTTCCGCCGCGCCAAGTTCGACCGTCCGGAGGCGGTGAGGCCCGAGGGCGGCGGCCGGGGCGCGGCGGGTGCAGGGAGGGGCCGCCCTGCCGACCGCCGCTCTCTGACCCCCGCAGGCGCCCGCGCTCTGGCGGCTGCTATTGCGCCTGCTCAGCCCGCCGCCCGCCGCCGGCGCCGCTGCGGCCCCGGGTAAGCCCCGCCCCTCCGCGAAGCCCCGCCCGGCACGCCCCTCGCCGCTGCCCCGCCCACTGCGCCCGCAAAGCCCCGCCCCCAAACGCTGCCCCGCCCACACCCTAAGCCCCGCCCCTCGCCGCTGCCCCGCCCACGCGCGACCCGCCCCGCCCCCGACGAGCCCCACCCCTGGAAAACTCCACCCCCGACCCCCGCCCACCGGCCAAGCCACGCCCACGGGCCGGGGGGCCCCCCCCTCGCGTCCCTGGCCCCGCCCCCTCGCAAAGCCCGCCCGCGAGCCCGGCTCCCCGGCCTGACCGCGTTGGCCGCCCGGTTCGCGCTGCCCCTGCACTGGAGAAGGCCCAGCGCCCCGGCTGCCCCTCCCCGGCCGGGCCCCTGCCGGCGGGGCGCCTGGGGGCCTGGGCGGGGTCACTTCCAGGCGGTGGCCCCGCTGAGCTGTGGTCCCTCCGCAGAGGCCGAAGCCCGCCTGGTGAAGGCCGCGCTGCGCCGCCAGGGCTACCCGCGGCGGGCGCTCGCGCGGCTCCCCGAGGACGGCTCCCAGGGCAGCCGGGAGCTGCTGCTGGCCGTGGCCTGGCTCCTGGCCCGCGGGCCCCTGCTCCAGCGGCTGCTGACCCGCACCCGCGTGCGGCTGGGCGACGAGGTGCCGCTGTGCCAGGTGCGTGCGCGCCCGCAGCCCGGGCCGGAGCGCGCAGCGGGGGGTGGGCACCCTGGCCCAGGCCGCCCCCGCCCACGCAGCCCCCCGTCCAGCCCCCCGTCCAGCCCCTCGTGCAGCCCCTCATGCAGCCCCCCGTGCAGCCCCTCGTCCAGCCCCCCGTCCAGCCCCTCATCCAGCCCCTCGTGAGCCCCTCATGCAGCCCCCCGTGCAGCCCCTCGTCCAGCCCCCCGTCCAGCCCCCCGTCCAGCCCCTCATGCAGCCCCCCGTGCAGCCCCTCGTCCAGCCCCCCGTCCAGCCCCTCGTGCAGCCCCCCGTGCAGCCCCTCGTGCAGCCCCCGTGCAGCCCCTCGTCCAGCCCCCCGTCCAGCCCCTCATGCAGCCCCCCGTGCAGCCCCTCATCCAGCCCCCCGTCCAGCGTCCCCCGTCCAGCCCCCTCGCCCCTCCAGCCCCTCGTGCAGCCCCTCGTCCAGCCCCCCGTCCAGCCCCTCGTCCAGCCCCTCTTCCAGCCCTCCGTCAGCGCAAGCGCCTTCCCGGCCCGCCCCGACGCTCCTCCCCTCTCCCCGCGGCGTCTTCCCGGGCTGTGGGAGCAGGGGTGACCCTCGCCCCCCTGCAGTGTGAGGCCCTGGCCAGCCCCGGCTCTCCCGCACCCCACGCGGACGCAGACGGCCCCGTGGACGCCCGCCGCCTGCAGTGGCTGACGGGGAAGCTGCGGCTCCGGCGGCGCGCCCTGGCGGCCAGCCAGCGGGAGCAGTGCGCCCTCCTGAGCAAGGTAGTGTCCGCCACCAGCCCCCGGCTGTCTTGCCCGCCGCCCTGCTGCCCCGCTGCGTGCTCAGGCCACTCCCGGCCTGGCGCCTGTCCAGCTTGCCCAGCTCGCACTGGGGCCCTGACTTTGGCAGGGTGTGGGCTGGTGCGGGCAGCGGGCAGCCCTCGGAAGGCCCCTGCAGGCTGGTGGGGCTCTGCTTTGGGGGCACAGGTCCCAACTGAGGGCCCCGTTCACCCAGGAGGGGTGGGCATGTGGCTGCAGGCTCCCCCGCTGGCTCCGGGGTGCTGAGCCCCACCCTGTACCTCTGCCCTGGCAGTCTGCTCAGCTGCCTCTCCCGAGACCCTGGTCCCTCTGGCCCCTGGTCCCCTTGTCCCCGGGCCTCCTGGCTTGGCCTCCAGCTGCCCCTCTTGCTTGGGACCCGGCGCTACCTTCAGCTTCCCTGCACTGGGGGGGTCGCTTGCATCACCAGATGGTGACTCGGTGTCCCCACCACTGCCTGTCCAGAGGCCCCCGAGGTGCAGCCTCCCTGAGCCCTGCCTCTCTGCAGGCTGGACTGCCTGCCCCACCCCCCTCCCAGCCTGGGGTCTACACTGTTTCAGATCCACTCATATACCCGAGGTTGCCATAGCGACCAGAGCCTTGGCCACCTGTCAGTTGCTGAAACGGAGCTGCTCAGGGACCCGGAGGGCGGCCGGCAGGTGAGGCGGCGGGCAGTGCATGTGCTCCCGGTGGGGGCCGGTGGCTGCCCTCCAGCCTTTGGCGTGGCTGTTTGCCAAGCTCACGGTCCTGCCCCAGCCCAGCTGGGTTTCGTCACGGGAGCCCCGGTGGGCTGCGGTGTGGACCCACGGCCAAGCCAGGCCAGGCTGGCAGCGGCCAAGGTGTCACCTCGTGGTGGGCACGTGGCTGGGCTTGCCTGGCACACCCACACTCTGCTGGCCCTTGGGGTTCCCGTCTGTCGCCCGCTTCCTTGCCTTGGGCAGTTCTGGTCAGGGGCTCCTGGTCCAGACTCAGGCTGGCCGTCCCCCGAGGACAGGGCTTTGGTCCGTCCAGGATGGGGGCGTACTGCCTGGCCCGGGCACAGGCTGCGCAGGAGGCCTGAGACAGCCAGGGCGGCCCCTCCTAACAGGCACAGACCCCGTGCCCTGTCCCTTCCATCCCCAGGCCCTGGGACCTGGGCGGGTGGGGCCAGGGGTATCCAGGGCCTGTGGCTCAGGGGTGGGGCTGTGCTCAGGGCCGCTTCTGGGGGTTCCCATGTGCCCTTGGCTCCATCTGCCCTTTAGGGTGACTTGGGGAGCCCAAGTTGCTTGCCCCTGGCCCCCCAGCTGCAGCGGAGCAGATGTTGTCCCCACTCCAGCCCCACCTTGCCTGAGGCCCGCTCAGGTGGGGTGCCCTCCCGGGGAGGCTGGTGGGGTCGGGGGGCTGCTGCCACAGAACTGCAGGGGTGGGTGCTGCCGACCCCAGGTCCTGAGCGTCCCTGGCAGGGATGGTGGGGGAGCCCCTGTGGCTGCTCTTCTGTTAGGTGGGTGGGGTGCCCCTCTCCTCGCTGGCCAGCGTCGGGGTGCGCCCTGCGTCTCTCAGACAGCTGTGGTGTCCCCTGTTCTCGCTCTGCCAGCAGAGGCGGGGCCTCCCAGCGAGCAGATGTGCCGTGCAGCCTTCTCCTTGGGCCCCGCGGGCCGTCTGGCGTGTGCTGGGTGGGGCTTCTGCCTTGAGCCGTCACCCCAGACCCACCCTTCGCCAGCACCTTCCCCTGGGCCCATGGACCCTCTGCCCTGCCTTTGGGGTTCCCGGGATGGGTGCCCCTTCTCCGGAGTGCGGCCTCCTGGGCGCAGCCCCCAGTCAGGGTGGAATGTGGGCGGAGACCTGAACTCAGGCCCTCACCTGTGGGCTGGAGGTGCTCGGGGCCACGGCAGATGGGCCCACCTGGTCGTGCATGGCGGTGGGGCTGCCCGGGCCTGCGGGCGCTGCAGAGCCGGCGTGGGCAGTAGAGGGGGGTGGGCAGCGCGGCAGGTGGTGCCTGGCAAGGGGCGTGTGGTGGGCGGGGCGGCAGCCCTGCGGTGCCCACCACAGCCGTCCCTGGTTGCCTGCAGCTGCTTCGGAGGCTGGAGAGTGAGAACGCGCGTCTGGAGGCCTTTCTGCAGTGGCGACGCCGCGAGCTGGTCTTCTGGCAGTGGATGGTCAGGAAGCCCAGGCCCCGCTCCCCCGCCCCCTCCTTGGCTGCAGCGGCCGCACACCCAGGTCCTCCCGCATCCAGGTCGGGGCGAGGAGACTGCAGAGCCCCCTCCACCAGCTGGCTCTGCTCCAGGCTGGGGGCTCTGGGCCAGCCCCTCTGTCCACCCTGCCCAGCTCGGGGGCCTCAGCCCGCGGGTCAGGGGGGCTGTGCAGCTGTCTGGCTGTGGTGTGACCTGGACGTGGGCCTGGCCCCCCACGGGGCTGCCTGGGGTGCTGGCTGGGCTGGCGGCTGTGCCCAGCCCCTCACTCGGCCTCTCCCCGCAGGACTCGGTGCTGGGCGCGAGCGCCCCGGAGGCCTCAGAGCCCACACTTCTGCCTGAGATTCCCCAGCGTGGGGCTGGCCAGCTGGACCTGCTGTGCGGGGAGCTGCAGGCGCTGCAGGCGGAGCTGCAGGGCGTGGCGCTGCCCCGGCGGGCAGCCTGGGAGGCCGGGGTGAGGACGGGGTGCGAGGGCCCTCTGTGCGGTTTGCGCTCTGGCGAGCGAGGGTGTGTGGGGAGGCCCCCCGGCTTCTTGAGGGACCCCCTTGGAGGTGCCGCTGTTCTCCTGGGGACTCTGCTGGCCCCAGCCCCTTCCCTGCCCTGTGACCTGTGGGGCCTTGCGGGGCCTGCTGCGGCGCTGTCTCTGCTCCCGAGGCGTTTCCGAGTCCGCTGCTGGCGTGGGCCCCCCAGCGAGTCCCAGGGGCCGCGGAGGGCAGGGGTCCCCGGCCTGCTGCCCCGTCGTGGGGGACGGGAACCCCTCAGGAGGAATGAGGCTGGCTTGTCCTGCAGGGTCTCCCAGGTCTTGCGGGGGCCTCGGAGCTGGTCCCTGGGGCTCGGGAGGTTCCTAGGCCAGCGAGTGCAAACCGCCCCCCCCGCAGCTGTGCACTAGGCCTGGTGTGACCTCAGAGACCCCCCCCTCAGCCTGGGCCAGCACCCCTTCCTGGAGGGCAGTGGGCAGTGGAGGCTCGGGCGTGGGGGGTGACCTCAGGGTCTGCACTCCGGGCTCTGGCTCCCAGGGACTGGCCCACTGGGGGCAGCCTGGCCTCCCTCGCACCTCCCCCCCAGGCCTGCAGCCGCGGGTCCTAAGGGAGGGAGCCTGCAGGCTGCCGTCCTGTCCCTGCCACCCTCGCCTGGCTCAGGCTCAGGCCCTGGTGAAGGGGGTGTGGGGTTAGGGCGCCCCCTCTCTCTGGGCGGTCGAGGGGTCCCCGGAGCACTCACAGCCCTCTCCCCGCAGGCTGCAGCCAGGGCCCCGGAGCGGAGAGCCTCGCGGCGGGTCGTGCGGGAGGCCGTGGCTCAGGAGCTGGAGGCCCTGCGGCGGGCCTGGGGGCAAGGCGGGGCTCCGGGCCTGCCCCATGGGCCCTGCAGGCTGGTGAGGAGCTCGACCACGGCGCCCGGGGGCCTACGGGCAGCCCAGGTGATCGGGGTGCTGAGGAGCAGGGTGGCCTGCCTGGAGGCGGAGCTGCGGCAGCTGCGGGGATGCTGTGTGCAGGAGCTGGCCGGGCTGGCGGGGGCGCTGCCTGGTCTCCTCTGGATCCCGCCACCTGGCCGCCGAGGGCCCCGTCACGGGCCTGGGGGCTCATCTGGGGGAGCCACCCCGAGTACACAGTGATGGGCCGGTGGTGGTGTCCCTGCGGGAGCCCGTCTCCAAGGCCGGGCCGCCCAGCTGCTGGGGAACTACGGGCCTGTCCTGTGCGCTGCCCGCCTCCCCCCGGGGCAGTGTGCGTGGGCACCAGAGGGAGCGGGGTGTCTGCTGCTTCCTGGGGCGATGCTTTGGGGATGGGGGCATGTGGACAGAGGGGCCACTGTTCCTAGGCGGCTGGGGCAACAAAGAGCCGTCTGTGTGGGGACCTGCCCGGCCTGCCGCACGGCCACGCTCTGCCGGGGCTGGCCCAGGCAGCCTCAGCCCTGCCTAGCGCCAGCCTTCCCCAGGGATCGGACCCTGGCCTGCTGGGCACCTGTCCAGCCTCAGCACCTGGAGGGCCAGCCTACCGGGACCTTCTCTTGGGCCAAGCCACCCAGGGGCCTGCGGCACGACCCCTCACAAGGGCAGCAGCTGCCGGCCCAGGTGCCTTCGCCCCAGTGGACACCCACCGCCTCTGTGGTCCCTGCAGGGACACGCCCCTGACCACTCCTCCAGCGTCCCCGGCCGGTCTGTCTCTGCGGCAGCGCTCCGTCAAGCCCTGGTGCCCTCCTGGGGCACACAGCAGCTCCTCCTGGCCCTGCTGGGTGCTGCCGCCCTTCTTTTCCTGCACATGGTGCTCTGCCCGCTCCGAGGGCCCTCGGGAGCCTGATTTCCGGAGAGCCAAGTGCCAGCTCTGTGTCACGGTTCACCTGGCCTGTAGCCGCAGTACGACTCTGGCAGAACCCTGAGTGTGTCGTGTGTCTGAGGGGCCCCGGCCTCTCCCTTCCCCGACGCATGGAGGTGCCGGGAGGCCCAGGGCCCAGCCCCCTGGGCAGGCCGCCCCCTCCACCTGCCTGCCCACCCTGTCCACCTGCCTGCCCACCCCCTCCACCTGCCTGCCCATCCCCGCCTCGAGCCTGTCCGCCCTGCGGCCAGCACCTCAGTCCAGGCCCGCTGTGTAGGGACAGATGGGCTCAGGGCCCTGGCCACGCGCTCAGTCTCAGGGCAGCCGGAGTGCGGCCAGCCCGCCTCGGCCTACTGGGGATGAGGATAGTGCAGGGCCCCGCCGTGGAGGGGCAGAGAATGCCCGCTGGAACGGAGGCCGGACCACCAGGGAGGGGCCTCCCGAGACCATCAGGTTTCCTCAGAACCAGAAACCGCCGGCTGGCAACACGCCAGACAGGAGCCGAGCAGGGGAGGCGAGCAGGGGTGCAGCATCAGGGATTCCTGGCATTAAGAATTGGTGGCGAGGGGCCTCCCGGTGGCCTGGGGGTCAGTCTCAGGTGGTCACTGCAGCAGCGTGAGTGTGACCCCCGGCCTGGGAGTGACCCACAGGCGCAGCAGACCCTCCCGTCTCCCCGCTGCTCTTCAGCAGTGGGTTTCAGTGGATCCACCTGTTCTGCTCCCTGCTCTGTCTCTGGGGAGTCGTCTCACCCCGCACTTCTGGCCTGCACCCCAGTTCGTCTATGCAAAAATTAAAAAAAAAAATTCTTAAAAAAACCACCAAGAGCCTGCGGGAGAGAACAGGGCAGTCTCCCGGGGGACGGGGCTGAGCGAGCGCGGCGCTGGGGTGGCACAAAGCCCTGGGCCGGGGCCTGGCCACCTCCCGGGCCATGAGTCAGAAGCCTCTGAGAATCTTGAAACGGCAGCACCTTGCGGGTTGCGATCCCGTGGGGGGAAGGGGAACCCGCGAGGCGGTGGGCAGCTGGGGGGCGGGGTGAAGCAGGCGGAGGCGCAGGTTGCCCTCCCGCGGGGCCAGCGTGTGGCTGGAGACCCCAGACCCGTGTGCCCCGGAGCGAGGCCAGGCCCCCTGCACGGGGCAAGGAGTGGGAGTCCAGGCTGGGCTCTCCGCAGCGCCAGCGGGGGGGGGGGGGAGGCTGGGCGCCGAGGGCTGGGTGGGTGTCCTGGGCCGATGCCCTGCAGCTGGCGCCACCTCGCCCCCGTGCCTCTGCCCCCCACAGGGCCTGGGTGCTGAGAGGAGCCCCTGGGTCCTCACCGCTGGTCCTTCTTGGCCACCTTTGCCCTCCCTTTCAGCCAGGGTCAGGGCTGCCTCACATGTGGTGCCAGCGTGGACAGAGGGTGCCCCCTGACCCGGCATGGTGGCAGGGCAGGCTCCTTCAGGACACGGCAGGCTCACCCACTGGCACCACGGCCCCGTGGGGCAGTGGCAGAGGTGACCCGGTGGTGGGACCAGAGGCTGGGGTGCAAGGGAGAGTGGGGGGGCCTGTACGGGGGGGGTGTGAGGTCTTCAGAGCGGGCACCGGCAGGCCAGCGGCCGTCTGCATTCTGAAGGTTCCCTCCGCCCCTGTGGGGGCAGACTGAGGGCATCGGGAAGGCGGGCAGAGGGCTGGGCCCGGCGACCCTGGAGGAGGCGGGGTCCGCCTTGGGGTGTGAGCAGGCAGCTCCCCTCACACGTATCTTCACTTCTCTTGGGCGTGACCTCCAGGATTCTTCGCTCCCCCGCCTCCCGGGGCGGTTCCTTGGCGGCGGATAGACAGCGTGTGCGGTGCAGGCCCCAGGTGTCCCCACATGCGCCGTGTGGCCAAGTGCAGGGCGCGCCCCAACCCCAGCCCCGGGCTCCCCACTCCACTGTGTCTTGGGGATTTCACTGCTTTGGCGCTGCGCCCATGTGGGCGGGTCCTGGCGGGCGGCGCGGGCCTCCTGCTGAGCTGCGCAGGCGGGGCGCAGGGCGCCGGGCGCGGGCCATGGGCAGCGGGCTTGGCGCCCCTCCGAGCTGCTGCCCAGCCCTGGGGTGGTTTATGTCATGGGACCACTGTCTTCAAGTCAGGTTGGCGGGGGCACCCTGAAGGTCGAAGCTGGGAGCCCCGGTGGCTTCGCGCATCACGTCCCCCTTCTAGCCGCTGGTTACAAACCCGCCCTTGGCTTCTCTTTGCTGGACAAAAAATGCTCAGGCTTGTTACGATGGATTCATCTTTTCTCCTCTTGGCTGCACATTAACACCCTGTGTGAGGCGCGCGCCTCCCCACCCCGGCGCCGCTCAGGCCCAACGCCACGCAGTCGTGGGGTGCCACGGCCTCTGGCCACTCGGGATCCTCCTGCCCGGCCCAGCACACCGCATGACCCCACCTGGGTGCCCGTCATGCGCCCGCTCCCTGGGCCATTCCTGCCTGCGCGTGGTCAGAGCCGCCCAGAGGGGTGGGTGAGGACGGACACGGGACACTGGCCTTCCCTTGGGCGTCTTGCGAGCTCAGCCTGCCAGGGCGGCATCCTGCTGTCCTCGCGGCCACGGCAGGCCCTCTGGTGCGGTCAGTGCCGGCTCTGCGTTTTTGGTCCATGACTTTTTTTTTTAAAGATTTATTCAGTTATGCACACAAGAGCTGGGGTACAGGCCAAAGATGCAGGGGGTGAGAGGACTCCCCAGAGACAGAGCGGGGAGCAGAACAGGCAGACTGATGAAATCCACTGCTGAGGGGAGCAGCGGGCGAGACAGGAGAGTCTGCTGCGCCCTGTGGGCTGCTCCTGGCCAGCCGGGGATGGAACTCGTGCTGCAGAGGCTGCGGACAGCTCCACAGTGTGGTGCTTAACCCCTTGGGCCACCAGGGAGGCCCTGGTCCATGACTTTTTATAATGTTTAGAAATTTTCCTTCCCTCTCCTTTCCCTAAAATCTGCTTATTTTTTGCAAAAAAGGAGAAAACCATAAGCTCACGTGTGGCGGCATCTGACGTCCACAGCGCGGACCAGGGCTGCCCCGCAGCAGGTGTGTCCGGGGACACGCTGGCGTCACCCTGGCCTCCGTGTGCCCGTCTGGCCCGGGTGCGGAGTGAGGACACCTCAGCGCGCAGAGGATGGCTGCTTACTTGCCTCATCCCGGACAGTTTCCTGCTGGGGGGCAAAATCTGAGATTTCTTCCTGGAGCGAAAACTCGCTGGTCTCTGGCCTGGAGTTTTCCTGTGAGCGTGACTTCATTAGCAGATTCAAATTCTTGTGTTGCTGCAAGACAATTCCAGTTTTCTGCTTATTCTGGAGCCCCACGGAGGCCTCTCATCTCCTGCAGTCTCACGTGGCAGCTCCTGTGGCTCCCCAGAGCCCTCTGGCTTTCCCGGGCCTCCCCCGCGCCCCTGGGCGCCCCCCGGCCCCTGTCCACGCCAGCCCTGCCAGGCGTCAGGGTGCGGCGCTTCCTGCAGCTGCTGCTAGCGGCGCGGGTCTGGCCCGGCGTCCAGATCCCCCTCTGCGTTGCCCTGTCCACACCGCCTGACGCACCGCCCCTTCCCGAGCTCTGTGCTCCTGGCCTGGGTGCTCCTGGCCTGCCGGCTCCCGCTGGGGCGTCTGCGAGTCGGGCTTGGCCCTGCCGCGTTTCTGCCCTCTCAGCTCCCACGCGCGCCTGGCCAGGGCCGCTGACCACGTGGCTCCTGTACGCGAGTCTGGACGGGCAGGCGAGTCTCCCGGCCCTTTGTGGCTCGCGGCGCTGCTCCCTTGGCGCCTGGGACTTGCTTTTCAGGCCGGTTCACGGCGGGCCCTTGTGGGCGCTTGAGGAGTGTCTGGTGGCCCGGCCGGGTGGCCCTGTGGGCCAGGCAGCATGGCCCTTGCGCACAGCCCGTCGCCGCGTCCTGTGGGGTGCGCGCCAGCGGAGGGGCGCGGCAGCTGCCCAGGCCTACCCCCGGCCGGCCCCCTGTACCACAGGCCAGGCCGTGGCTGTCCACCTGCTGCCTGCTTTTCTAGCCTCTTATTTTCAGCCTTTTTATAGATGTATTTGTTTCTGTATTTGTCTTACGATCAACTTTCCGATTCACTTGACTTTTCTGTGATTCTGGCTGAAATCCGCGTCCTGCTCTGAGCCTGCCCGTGCCCCAGGCCCCTGGCCCGGTGGCTGTGGCCTCTCTGCGCCTCGGCGGCCAGCAGTGTTTTCCAAGCACAAGCGGACCCCCCCCACCTGCGCGCGCTGCCGTCTGGGTTTTAAGTGTCAAAAAACCGCATCCGAGTCCTTCCGACGTGCGCGGTGCAGCTGTGTCCTCCCAGCCCACGCTGCCCTTTCGTCCTCTGAGCAGAGACTTTCCGGACCAGACGTCCTCTCAGATGAGGGTTCCGGGGCTGTCCTTTGGGGTTCTGCTCTGACGTCCCGTCTAGCATTTCCGTGCAGCCGGGCTCCGTTTCACAGCTCGACCTTCAGGCCTGGGCGCCTGGCGTGGGTTTGCGTGAGGTGTGAGATGGAGGTCAAGGACCACTTCTTCCATTTTTGCATGCGGACGTCCACTTTGGTAAAAATACTGCCCTTTATCTGTTGAATCGCTGTCCACCTTATTAAGAACTCAGTGACCACACCCGCAGGCAGCAGTGGAGGGGAACTTTCTTCCTGGTGAAGGAATCTACCCAGCTCCACGGCCTCGGGCGTGGCGGTAACAGCGGGGCCTGGGGTCAGACCAGCCGCGCTGCTCCTGCCCTCCACATCAGTGTCTCCTCCAGGGCAGCGGGCAAGCGGCGCCCAGCTTGGGTGGGAGGAAGCAGGACTGCTAGCAGCTGGCGTGGCCTCCAGCACTCACAGAAAACCGCCAGGACGACGCACGAGCCCGCGGGGCCACAGGAGCAGCGCCCTTGGGCCTGCAGCGGGCCGGCCAGGCACAGAAGCAGTTCCACGCACAGCGGCTCCCGCGAGCACAGGACACCTAGGAGCGCCTCTGGCCAGAGCAGCAGTCTGTGCTCCGAGAACGGAAGCACCTTCGAGGCACTCAAAGGGCCAAGTGCGCGCATAGCTGTGGCCTCCACAGGCCTCCGGCAGGACCCCAGCTGTTCTTTGATGACCACTGGCTGAAAACTCTTAGGGAAGAGAGCGGGGCCCCACGTCGTCAAGGCCATCCTGTTGCGCAAGCAGAGCTGGAAGGTCTCAGAGCTCACGGCGCTGCACTGGTCATGAGAACGCGGTGCAGAGTGGACGTCTGCCAGTGGCACAGCGTGGAGACTAGATAAACCCACATGTTTGCGGTTGGCTGGCCCTGACGAGGGTGCGGAGACAGTGCCGCCGGGACGGAACTCCTAGCAAATGGTCCAGGACGACAGCAGCTACAGAGGGCGAGGCAGGCCCTGCTCTCCCTGGGACCCTGAGCACCCCAGACTCTGGGTGGCCCAGCTGCATTAGCTTCTGCAGGCAGGCGTGCAGCCCACCCTGGTGACCCCGTGGCGAGATGGCCAGCAGCTAAGGCAGGCCAGACCCCGGTGGAGGGCAGCTGGCTGCAGGCCTGGCCTGGAGGGAGGTGCAGGTGTGGGCTGTCACCCAGAGCAAGGGCAGCTCTTCTGGCTGGGGGCGTCGCGCTCAGCAGGCAGTGAGGGCTGGCGGGTTGAGATGGGCCTTCTTGAGGGACAGGCTGGGGCAGGAAGGGCCCTTTTCGGGGCTGGAAGCTTGGTCCTTTTCCTGGGGACAGGGGACATGCCCGTGAGGGGCGGGAGGTCAGACGGGCGGGCTGGATGAAGAGGGGCGAGCTGTGCCCCTCAGGCTGACCCCACAGCTCCCTGTGGCCTTACTTGGAGTCTCTGCAGTGTGGTCCAGGAGGCCCCCAGCTGCGGTCAGTGCCAGGGCAGGCACCGCAGGGTGCTGGGGGCAGAGGCCCAGAGAGGCGGGGCCTGGAGGGAAGGCGCGGCTGCGATGTGGACTCAGGGACCCTGGGACCTGCCAGGCTGGTGTCCCCACCCCCGGGAGCCGCGGGTGGGTGCTGGTGGGGTGCCCTGTTCCTTTCTGCCTCCCACCCTCCTCTCTGCCGCGGCAAACGGGAAGGCCCGGGGCCAGCAGGCGGGGCGGGCCCCTCCCGGGCTCACAGTGGGCAGCTGCTGCCCAGGGGCCCCGTTTGGGCTGTGGGTGGGGGCGCAGGGGGCTGGGGGCTGGGGGGAGACAGGCGCCTGCAAGGCCTGGCTGGGCTCGGTGGCCGAGGCGAGGCTGGGGGGCCACGGGGCAGGCCCAGCGGGCTCCGCCTCTGGTCCGTCCCGGCCCCCCGCCGCCGCCTGCAGAGGGTCAGCCTCCGCCGCCCGCCGCCCGCTCAGGGCCCGCTCCCGAAGGGGGCGCGCGGGGCGCCCTGTGCGCGGCCCGGGGGGCTGCCGCGGCGTGTCGGGGCGTGAGCGGCGGCGGGGTCCGCGGGGCGACCTCCGGCGGCGGGCGGGTGGCCAGGCGGCCTCGCGCGGCCCCGGGTCGTCCCCCCTGCCGCCCGCCCGCGCGCGCAGCCGTCGCCGTGGCAACCGGCGCCGCAGAGGGGGCGGGGCGGGACCCCCACCCGTGGCGCGGCGCGGCGCGGCGCCGGCGGGGCGCGGGGCGGGGCCTGGGCGCGCGGGGCGCGCGGGGAGCGGGGCGCGCGCGCGCAGAGCTCGGCGGGCCGGCCGGGCGCAGCGTCTGCCGCGGCGGGTAGGCGCGGGCCGGGCCGGGGCGCGGGGCGCGGGGCGCGGGGCGCGGCGCGGGGGCGGGGGCGAGGCCCGCGGGGAGCCTACGCGGGGCGCGGGGCGCGGGGCGGCCGGGCGCGCGCCCTTGGCCTCGGCCCCCCTCGCCCGCTCCTGCCGCGGCCGGCCGGGGAGGCTCTGGGCGGGGCCGGCCGGCTGGCGGCTGGGCGGGCGCGAGGGCCGCGGGCGCTGGGCTGCCGGGGACTCGCCGGCCGCGGGGCCCTGGGGAGAGGCCCGGCGCGGCGGGGAGGGGCCCGGGCTCCGCGGGCGCTCTGGGGGCCGGGCCGGCCCGCGCTGTGCCCCCCGAGGTGCTGGGCGCGTGACCGGGGCAGCGCGGAGGCCGAGGGCGGCCGGGCGGCCGCAGCGGCTCTTCGGCCTGGCCGGGGCCGACGGGGGCAGCCCCGGGCGCGGCCGCGGAGGGGCTCCCCGGAGACGGCGGCGCGGGCAGCGGGGACCCGCCGCGCGGTGAGCTGCGGTGCGGCGAGGCCTCTGGCCCGGGGCGGGGTCCGCGCCGTCCAGGCACGTTGCACTGATGTCCCTCCTGGACGGGGCAGTGAGCAGGCTGGCCCGGGGGCGCTGGGGGGTGCTGGGGGGCGCCGCCGCCGGCTGCGAGGGCGGCTGTGCTGGGCAGCGCGTGGCGGCCTGAGGGCAGCGGCGGGAGCTGGGCGGTGGGCGCCGCGGTGCGGGCTTGGCCGGGCCCGGTGGGCGCCAGTGGCCGGGGGACGCAGGAGGGAAGTGGGCGCAGCCCTGGAGGCTCTGGGGTGGAGACAGGGCTGGGAGCACCTCAGTCCTGGGTGAGAAAACCCGCGGGAAGGCCGCGGCGGCCGTGGGGATGGGGCCCGGCGAGGCTGGGCCGTGGTCCCGCGAGCCCCCCGGGAGGCCGCTCCTTTCCCTGCGCGCCCGGCGCTGGCTGGTCCCCTGGCTCGGGTCCCCCGGGCGGGGCCGCAGAGCCCCCTGGAGCCCCCCGCGCGGGGAGGCGGGGGTCCGGCCCCGCCGGGGCAGCCCGCGCCTGACCGTGTCCTCCGTCTCCCCAGGTTCCCAGCTCGCCGGCCTGGAGGGGTGGCGCCCGCGGGGCGGCCGGACAGGCCCCGTGCCCGGCCGCGCCATGCCCGCCGGCTGAGCCCGCCGCAGGGCCTCGTCCCACCTCGCGTGGGGGCCCCGCGGCGACCATGGTGCTGCCGCCCCCGGACCGGCGCCACGTGTGCCTGACCACGCTGGTGATCATGGGCAGCATGGCGGTCATGGACGCCTACCTGGTGGAGCAGAACCAGGGCCCGCGCAAGATCGGCGTGTGCATCATCGTGCTGGTGGGCGACGTGTGCTTCCTGCTGGTGCTGCGCTACGTGGCCGTGTGGGTGGGCGCCGAGGTGCGCACGGCCAAGCGCGGCTACGCCATGATCCTCTGGTTCCTGTACATCTTCGTGCTGGAGATCAAGCTCTACTTTGTCTTCCAGAACTACAAGGCGGCGCGGCGGGGCGCGGGCGACCCGGTGGCGCGCCAGGCGCTCACGCTGCTGCTGTCGGTGTGCGTGCCCGGCCTCTTCCTGCTGCTGGCCGCGCTGGACCGCATGGAGTACGTGCGCACCTTCCGCAAGCGCGAGGACCTGCGCGGCCGCCTCTTCTGGGTGGCGCTGGACCTGCTGGACCTGCTGGACATGCAGGCCAACCTGTGGGAGCCGCCGCGCACGGGGCTGCCGCTGTGGGCCGAGGGCCTGACCTTCTTCTACTGCTACATGCTGCTGCTCGTGCTGCCCTGCGTGGCGCTCAGCGAGCTCAGCATGCAGGGCGAGCACATCGCGCCGCAGAAGATGATGCTCTACCCCGCGCTCAGCCTGGCCACCGTCAACGTGGTGGCCGTGCTGGCCCGCGCCGCCAACATGGCGCTCTTCCGCGACAGCCGCGTCTCGGCCGTCTTCGTGGGCAAGAACGTGGTGGCGCTGGCCACCAAGGCCTGCACCTTCCTGGAGTACCGCCGCCAGGTGCGCGACTGCCCGCCGCCCGCGCTGGCGCTGGAGCTGCAGCCGCCGCCGCGCCACGCGGGGCCCGCGCCCCACGGCCCGCCCGGCCGCCCCCTCGGGCCCGCGCCCCCGCGCGACGCGCCGGACACGTGACGGGCCGCGGGGCCGCCCGCGCCGCTGGGCTCAGGAACCGCCCGGCTGGCCTGGCCTGGCGCGGGGGCGCGGGAGGGCGGCCGGGGGGCCGGGGGGCCGGGGGGCCTGCCGTTTTAAAGACTCGCGTTTACAGTTTCGTATCAAAGTCGCTGCTGTGCCTGGTTCCTGGCGCCTCCTGGAGGGGGGCAGCGGCGGGTGGGGGGCCGGTTCCCTCCCTGGGGAGGTGGGGGTGTGTGTGTCAGGCTCCTGTGGGGGCAAGGTGGGGTTAGGCTCCTTGGGGGACCTGGCTCTTGGCGGGGAGGTGCCTTCTTGGGCCTGCAGCCAGCCTGGCCCATGTCCCCACCCCTCACCTCAGCCCGAAAGTGCCCCCAGGCCCCCAGCTGGGCTCCCACCCTCGGCCTGGAAAACACCCTGGCACTGCCCCCGGGGGCCACTCAGGCCACACTGTCCAGGGCACCCGGCCTGAGGCAGCTGCCTCCCCGGCGGGGCTGGAGGACGGTGTTGAGCAGACTCTGAGGTGCCCTGAGCGCCCTTCCTTCTGGGCTGGGGCCTGGCCGGCCCGTGCCAGAGCCTGCAGCTCCCCCCCAGCCCCCTCTGGGTGCTGCCCCAGCCGAGGTCCAGGAGGGCCCTGACGGCCAGGGGGTGGAGGGCAGAGCCAGGCCGGGCAAGGGTGCAGGAGTCCGGGTCTCTGCGATGTGTGCCTGGCGGAGGCCGAGGGGCCAGCTCCGGTCAGGTGTCGGGCCCTGCTCCCTGTGGCCAGCACAGCCCTCTCCCCCACCTGGCCTCGGCCTGTCCCCAGCGGCTCTGTGGACACAGACAGTGCTGGCTGCAGGGGTGCGTCCTCGCCGGCCCCGCCTGGAGCCGCTGGTCCGGGAGGCAGGCGTGGGGAAGGCCCCAGCTGCGGTGTCCATGGAAGAGTGTGGCCCCTTGGGGCAGCGCTGGGCCTCGCCTGCAGGGTCCCCCACGGAAGCTGCTGTCCAGCCACCTCGGCCCTCTGCCCTCCCAGCTTCTGTCCCTCCTGTCCAGACTGGGCTCCTCTGACCACGACCCTGAGGAGTCTGGACGGACGTCAGCTGAGGCCAGCGCTGCACCAGTGTCCGTGGCCTCCATCACCTCCCATGGCCCGTGTGGCTCCACCTGCAGGGGCTGGGAACCGGAGCGTGTGGGGTCCCTGCAGGGGGTGCCTGGGGCACGGGGGGGGGGGCGGAACCCACCTTCCAGCCCCTCCTTCCCTGGCTGCCTTTGGTGACTGGAGGTGACCGTGACCCCTGCTGGTCCGCCCCAGTTGCTCACGGGTCTGTCTAACCCCCCCCAAGGCCCATGCCGACCCCAGGTGGAGCTGGCCCTGGGCCTGGAGGTGAGTCGGGGGCCAGTCGGGGGCCGGCCAGGGGCTGAGCTTGGGGGGCAGGGCATCTGGGAGAGGGTGCTAGCTGGTTGGCCGGGTCTGGGCAGCACCCCCAGTCCTGCTCTGTGGGGCGGGTGGGGTGCCCTGTGCTGGAGGGACCCTGTGGGGATCTGGGTGCAGGCAGTGGCGGGTGGAGAAGGGCTGGGCTTGGCACCTGAGTGTGGGGCTGAGGCCAGGAGGGGGCGCCTGAAGCCTGAGCTCTGGGGGTTCTTTTGGCGACAGATCCGGGAGGCAGGTGGGCACTGGCGCCTGGAGGAGCCGGGGAGTCACCTGTGGCGTCCACACGAGACCCCCAGAGGCCTCCGTGGTTGGCCCGAGTGGAGGAGCTGGGCTGGGGCGGGGTGGGGACGGGGACAGGGCGCACTGGGGCGTGGGGAGGGCCCTGGGCTTGCGTCTGCCCTGGCCCTATCCCCAGGGCCGCCCTGCCCCTGCAGCCCCCTCCTCGCCTGCCCCCACCTCCGCGCACGGGGGCCTGGGGTGGGGAGAGAAGCCAGACCCCACCCCACCGCCGGGCGCCCCTGTAGCCCCTCTCCCCACACGAGAGGTCTGGGGAGACCCCGGCCCTGGAGCCGCTCTGGTACCAGCGCTGTTCGCAGCTGGCTCCACCGCTTGGGTCGGGCGGGCGCTGCATGGCGCGCAGCAGGGGGCTCGGGGTCGCGGCGCCCGCCGTGGGCCGGGTCTCGGCTTCCGTCTGGGGTGTCTCCGGCGTGGCGTGGCGGGAGGGGCCGGATGGCCCTTCTCTGGGGCCCAGCCTGTGCCCCCAGGTCCGGTGCCGTCGCTGGCTCTGGGGAGGGGGCAGAGCTGGTGGGCCTGGGGTCCGGCTGGCCTGGGCACCCGTCCAGGACAGACCCACGGTGGGGCCGGCTGTCCCTCTGGGCCCGGGCGGCGGTGACCAGGCCTCTGAGAGGCTGGAGGGTGAGTGCCCAGGAACGCCTGCTCGGCCCGCAGAGGTGGCCCCTTTCCTGCAGCCTCACCGCCTCCTGCCCGGCCATGGCCAGGCCCGCCTGCGGCTGCGCGGGGACACCGGCCACTCTGGAAGGGAGGCCACCTCGCAGCCACCCCTGGAGCAAAGCAGCCTCCTGTCAACAGGAGCCAAATTGGGAAGCTCCAGCCCCCACCTAAGTGCCGTCCAGAACCAGGCATGGCCACCGTCGTGTGTCCCGTCGATGTGGGCTGTGGGCCGGAGGGGGGGCGCCCTCTGCACTCTGGGGCCCCTCCACCGCCGGCCCAGGCTGAGGGGGCCCTGCAGGCTCACCGAGGCTGAAGCCCAGGGTGTGCCCCGTTGCAGCAGAGAAAGACGGAGGAAATCCCACCCCTGGCCCCTGCCTGCTGGCCGCAGCGAGGGCTGCCGGGGAGGGACAGGCGCTGGGCGGGCTCTCCGGCCGGGCTGGCAGTGCTGGTGTCCAGGAGACGGTGAGCCCCGGCCCAGAGGCGGCCCCCTGTGCCCATGTGCGCTGGGCCCTCCTCAGACTGGACGGGCCGGGTGCACAGAGGTCCTGTGCTGCTGGGTCCAGAGACCCTTGCCTCGGAGGCAGGGACTGACCAGCCCCGGGCACCACGGCCAGGCAGCTGGACGGAGAAAATTGGGCATCCGGTGGGGAGGAAGCGGGGCCACGCACAGCGGGGGGGAGCCGGGGTAAGTGGGGAGACGGCCAGTGCCCTCGGGCCTGCCTGGATGCCCAGGAGTCACCCTTCTGCTCTCCTCTGGGGTCACTCTGCTGTGGCCCCGTGTTCCCAGGACCTGGCCCTGCTGGTGCGCTCTTGGGAGGGGCACCGTGCCACCCTGTCCCGGCCTTGGGGCCTCTCCACCTGGCCCTGCTGGCCAGCCGGCCCGCGTGCTGCCCCTCCCAGGGTTGCCCTTTTCCCTGAATGTCTCTGGGGTGTCTCTGGCGCGTGAGTCCAGCTGCCGCGTCTCCAGGCTGGCCCTCGCCCTCGGGGCCCTGCAGAGGCCCTCCCCGTCCAGGTCCTGGGAACCGCGGCCAGGCTGCCCGCCCTGCCCGCCCTGCCTGCCCTGCCCGCCCGTGCCTGGGCCTCAGGTCCTTCGGCTGCGACTCCCACACCCACCTCTGGGCCCCTGCCTGCCTGGTGGGCCTCGCCCCTGCCGCACCCCGTGGCCCGGCGCCCGGCTCGCTCTTGACTCCCGGACTGTCCCTCCTCTCCAGAACGGTCACCTCCCAAAGCCAGTCCCCGGCCCCCTCGCTCCCCGTGTGTCCTCAGCCCCCCGCCCCCGTGGCCTGTGAGCCGCAGTCCCTCCTCTGCGGCTGGCGACCCCGGGTCGGGGCACCCTTGAGACTGCGCTTGCGTGGTGGCCAGGACACCCGGGCTGACCCTCCTATGGCTGTGAGGGGTTTGGCCACTTTAGTTCCCAGCGAGCTTCTCTGCCCCAAGGAATTGACGTTTTTGATTTACCTTAACAATGCCAGGCCCGGCATTGCGTCCCCCGCCCAGTGCCCGACCCCCGAGGCCCTGCCCTGTCACCCCCCTGGCGGCGGGGGCCTGCTCTGGCCACGCGCCCGCCGCCTCCTGTGGGGCGCGCTGTGAGGGCGGGACCGGCAGCCCTCCGGCCGCGAGGGGCCAGCGGGAGCCTGGGCTGCGGCCGTGGCCACCCAGCGGCCCTCTCCACACCGCGCGGCGGCCGGCCGGGCGCGCTTGGCCCCGGCACCAGCTCTGCTGGGCAGCGCGGCCGGCGGCGTCGGGGTCCAGCGGACGCGGGGAGGCGGGAAGGGCCGGGGCTCTGGGGGCTCTGGGGCCGCGGCGGGTGGGGGGCGGGTGGGGGCTGCGCGCGCGTGGCCAGGGCCCGGGCCTGCACCTGACGCGGGGAGAAGGCCCTGCGCGTTTCTGGGGAGGCGAGGCCCGGGGTGACCCCGGGCGGGCTTGGCGCCCGCTTGTCTGGGCGCTCGGGCGCGCGGAGTGCCAGTCCGGGGCGGGGGTCGTGCCCGCAGGACCCCGGGGGCGCCGGCTGCTCGGAGGCCCCCACCGGGTCCAGCGCGTCCGGCTCGGGGCCCGCCCGTCTCATGCGGCGACCGCGGCGGCCACGCGGGGGCGCCCGGACCTCAGTTTTGCGCTGCCCCGCGCGGTCAGGGCGGGGTTGGTCCAGCCACCCGGCCGAGGGGTCCCCAGCCGAGGAGCCTCCCCGTGGGGCCTCGGGACATTCTCCGCGCGGCCGACGCCCCACGGGGCCTCGGGCGACGAGCCCCGCGCGCCCTCCCTGCGGCGGCCCCGCGGCCCGTCCCCTCCGGCCGCAGCGCGTTGCCCAGCCGGGGAGCCGGCCCGGCCGGCCGTGGCCTCGCGCTGGCCCCGGGGCCCTCGGGCGGGCCGGGCGGCCGGACGCGCTGCTCGCGCCTGGGGTCCCGCCGCTCGGGCTCCGAGCCCTGCGGGCAGCGGCGCGGTCAGTTCTCCCGGGGGGTCAGTTCTCCCCGAGGGGTCAGTTTCTCCCGGGGTCAGTTCTCCCGGGGGGTCAGTTCTCCCGGGGGTCAGTTCTCCCCGAGGGGTCAGTTCTCCCGGGGGTCAGTTCTCCCGGGGGTCAGTTCTCCCGGGGGGGTCAGTTCTCCCGGGGGGTCAGTTCTCCCGGGGTCAGTTCTCCCGGGGGGGTCAG